TTCACTTCACTGCTTTGGGTGATGTGTCTGTAAAGATGTCTTTGATGTGCATATCACGTAGTGTTTCGCCTATATTTCCTTCTATATATTTTATGGTTTCAGGTCTTATGTCTAGTTCTTTAATCCATTTTGAGTTGATTTTTGTGTATGGTGTGAGGTGGTGGTCAAGCTTCATTCTTTTGCATGTAGCGACCCAGTTTTCCCAGCACCATTTATTGAACAAACTTTCTTTGCTCCAATGCATATTCTTTGCTCCTTTGTCAAAGATTAGTTGACCATAAATCTGTGGGTTTATTTCTGGAATTTCTATTCGATTCCATTGGTCTGTATGTCTGTTCTTGTTCCAATACCATGCAGTTTTGATGATTATGCTTTGTAGTATAGTTTGAAGTCTGGGAGTCTGATGCCTCCATTCCTTTCTTTTTTTCAGGAGAGCTTTGGCTATTCGGGGTTTTTGGTGATTCCATATGAATTTCATCAATAATTGTTCTATTTCTTTGAAGAATGACATTGAAAATTTTGATTGGAATAGCATTGAATCTGTATATTGCTTTTGGTAGGATGGCCATTTTAATAATGTTTATTCTTCCAATCCATGAGCAGGGGATGTCTTTCCATTTCTTTGTGTCTTCTTCTATTTCTTTTAACAGTGTTTATAGTTTTCTTTGTATAGGTCCTTTACCTCTTTTGTTAGATTTATTCCCAAATATTTGATTTTTTTTGTTTCAATAAAAAAGGATGGTCTTTTTGATTTCTTCTTCTTCAGATTTATTGTTTGTGTATAGGAAGGCTACTGACTTTTGCGTGTTGATTTTGTATCCTGCCACTTTACTGACTGATGTGATGAGTTGAATTAGCTTTTCTGTGGTTTTTGGGGTTCTCTATGTATAATATCATATCGTCTGCAAATAGTGATAGTTTGACTTCTCTTTTCCTATTTGGATTCCTTGGATGTCTTTCTCTTGTCTTATTGCCCTGGCTAGGACTTCCAGTATTATATTGAAAAGCAGTGGTGAGAGTGGACATCCTTGTCTTGTTCCAGATCTTAATGGAATTGCTTTCAGCTTTTCACCATTGACAATGATACTGGCTGTTGGCTTGTCATAGATGGCCTTTATGATGTTGAGGTATGTTCCTTGTATCCCAAGAATTTCAAGGGCTTTTATCATGAATGGGTGTTGCACTTTGTCGAAAGCTTTCTCAGCATCTATTGATATTATCATATGGTTTTATATTTCTTTTTGTTGATGTGTTGGATAACGTTGATTGATTTTCGGATGTTAAACCATCCTTGTGCCCCTGGAATGAATCCAACTTGGTCGTGGTGAATTATCTTATGGATACATTGTTGGATTCTGATAGCTAAAATTTTATTGAGGATTTTTGCATCAGTGTTCATTAGGGAGATTGGCCTGTAGTTTTCCTTTTTGTGTTGTCCTTGTTCGGTTTTGGTATTAGTGTAATATTGGCTTCATAGAACGTGTTTGGTATTGTCCCTTCCTTCTCAATTTTTGGAAGAGTTTGTGAAGGATAGGCACTAATTCGTCTCTGAATGTTTGGTAGAATTCATTTGTAAATCCATCAGGTCCTGGGCTTTTGTTTTTGGGGAGGTTTTTTATTACCATTTCAATTTCGCTAATTGTAATTGGTCTGTTTAGGTGTTCTATTTCTTCTTTATCTAGCTTTGGGTGATTGTAGAGTTGTAGGAATTTGTCCATCTCCTCTAGATTGTTGAACTTGTTTCCATATAACTGTTCATAGTAGTTACTGATTATTCTTTTGATTTCTGCTGTGTCCGTGTGATTTCTCCTCTTTCATTGATGATCCTGTTTATTTGTGCTTTCTCCCTTTTTTCCTTTGTGAGCCTGGCTAGGGGTTTGTCTATTTTATTGATTTTTTCAAAGAACCAGCTCTTGGTTTCATTGATCTTTTGGATTGTTTTTTAGTTTCAATTTCATTTATTTCTGCTTTGGTTTTATTATTTCTTTTCTTCTACTGGTTCTGGGTTTTTTTGTTGTTCTTTTTCTAGATCTTTGAGCTTCGAGATTAGGTTGTTTCTTTGAGTTCTTTTTGTTTTTGTGTGTGAGCTTCTATTGCTATATTTTTCCTCTTATTACTGCTTTTGCTGCATCCCATACATTTAGGATATTGGTGTCCTCCTTGTCATTCAATTCAAAGAATTTTTTAATTTCTTCTTTGATCTCCTCGTTAGTCCAGTGGTCTTCCAGTAGTGTGGCTTTTAATCTCCATGAGGTAGGATAGTTCCTTGCCTTCTTTTTATGATTTATTTCTAGTTTGATGCCTTCGTGGTCAGAAAAGATGGTTGGTTGGTATGATTTCAATCTTGGTGTATCTTGATGTTTGTCTTGTGCCCCAGTATGTGATCGATCCTGGAGAATGATCCATGTGCGCTTGAGAAAAATGTGTACTCCGTTTTTTTGGGGTTTAGTGTTCTATAGATGTCTGTTAAGCCCAAATGCTCTAGGTCCTTATTTAGAGCTTAGTTTCTTTACTTATTTTTTGTCTTGTTGATCTATCCATTGTTGATAGTGGTGTGTTGAAGTCTCCCACTACATATGTGTTTTCTCTGATGTCTGTTTTCAGAGAGGACAACAGTTGTCTGATATATTTTGGTGCTCTTCGTTTGGTGAGTATATGTTAATGAGTGTTATTTCTTCTTGAAGTATTGTCCCCTTAATCATAATGTAGTGACCATTGGGTCTCTTTTTATTTTTTTGAGTTTGAAGTCTGTTTTATCTGATATAAGTATAGCTGTTCCTGCTTTCTTTTTTGGCCCATTTGCTTGTAGGATTGTTTTCCATCCTTTGACTTTGAGCCTATTTTATCTTTTGTAGCTAAATGTGTTTCCTGGAGACAGCAAAAGGTTGGGTTTTGTTTCTTAATCCAGGCTGCAACTCTGTGTCTTTTTATTGAAGAGTTTAGTCCATTTACATTTAGAGTTATTGATATGTTAGCATCTGTATTTGCCATTATGTTTGTCTTTCCTTTGATTTTATTTATTTATTCTTTTAATAACTTTTTTTTTGGTCTTCTTTCGTTGTTATTCGTCCCTCTGAGGTTCTGGCTTTAGGATTCCTTGTAGTATTTTTGGAGTGGGGGTTTAGTCGCAATGAAATTCCCGGAGTTTCTCTTTGTCTGGGAAGGTCCATATTCTTTCTTCATGGAGGAAAGAGAGCTTTGCGGGATAGAGTATTCTTGGTTGGCATCTGTTTTCTTGGAGTCTGTTGACTATGTCCCTCCACTCTCTCCTTGCCCGTAGTGTTTCTTCAGAGAAGTCTGATGTCAGCCTGATTGGTTTTCCTTTGAATGTTATCTTTTCTTCCCTCTTGTCAGCTTCATTATTTTTCCTTGTCCTGGATTCTTGGGAGCTTTACTATTATGTGTCTTGCTGTGTTTTCCTTTCGTCGTGGAAGTTTGGTGTTCTTCTTGCTTCTTGTATATCAATTTTCAGCTCCTTCTTCTCATTTGGGAAGTTCTCTTCAATTATATCCATGAATATTTTCTCTGTTCCTACATCTCTCTCCTCTCCTTCTGGAATTCCTATAACTCTTATATTTCCTTTCCTCATGGAGTCAGATAGTTCCCGAAGTCTTTCTTCATTCTTTTTCCTTCGTACTTCTCTTTCCTTTTCTGTTTTGGTTCTTTTTATTTCTGTGTCTTCAAGATTACTTATTCGTTCTTCCATTTCATCTATTCTGCTTTCATTGCTTTTCCCAGAGTTCTTTAGTTCCTCCATTAATTCTTTGATCTCCTGCATTTCTCTTACTTCCCTCTTCAGGGACTCAATTTCCTTCTTCTGATCTATCACTTTTTTAATCATGGCAATTTTAAATTCTCTTTCTGGAAGGCTCAGAAGTTCTTCCAAGTTGCTGTCGTTGCAATCTGGGGAGTGGTTTTCTTTTTGTGGTGTGCTTCTTTCCTGAGGAGTTTTTTTTAGGTTGCGTGTGGTTCTTCTACTCCCTACTGTCTGTTTTCTAATTTGTCGTATGCGTTGGGACACTGTGTTGCTCGGACTGACTGACATCTTGGGTGAACTTCTCCGCTCCCCTCTGGCTCTTCCAGGAGCCATCTCTGTCTTCTAGGGGAGCTTTCTGCTGGTTTTAGGCAGTTTTTACTTAAGAAATGTCCCTGTTCTCAAATGGCGAAGCGGGATGCAGTCCCTGCGCCTCCGGTTTCAGGCACACTCTTCTGCGCACCCGGTCTGCCCCGGACGTGGGTGCCTGCTCCCTCTGTGGGCTCAGACTGCTGGTCGGAAGGGGCCTGGCGTGGAATAACTTCCCGGCTGGCCACTGGGTCCTCCAGAAACCTTCTGCCCTTTTCAAGCAGTCTTAAGAAATGTCCTGTTTTATAGGGTGTTAGTGACTTTTTTTTTCCCTGGTCGCTAGGTGGCGCCAGAGATCTCTCCTATTGTCCTTGGGGGGCTGTTTTTCGCCTCCCCCACCCGTGGGACAGAGAACAGAGGGGAATGGTAGGGTACACCTCAACAGCTTTGGGTGCTGTGTCTGCCTTGTGCCCCACCGTCGTGGAGAAACCACGCCCCGAATTTTCGTGCCCCGGGTCTCAGTTCAAAGCCCTCAGTTCCAGGACGCGGGCTGTAGCCCAGTTCAGTGGCGCGGGAATGGCGCCTTTTGCACCGCTCCCGTGCCTGGGCGCCTGGTTCCTGCTCACTCAGGGAGGGACCTTCACCTCAGTGAGGACCTCTGTGCGTCTCCCCACAAGCCTAGGTCGCAGGCGCGGGGACCTGGGCAGCCGCGATCCAGGTTTGCACTTGCTTTTCAAGCGCGCAGAGCGCGCCGCTCTCCGCGCAGGCTTACCGGCAGCCCGGGCTGTGTGCGCGTCTCCCGGGGTCTTTGTTCTTCTCTAATGGCGCCCAGAGCCGTTCGCTCACCGCCGCGGCGGATCCTGCAGGGTTCGCCTCAGCTCCCGTTCACGGGGTGTGGTGCTGCAATAGTTCCTTTCCACTCACAGGCCCGCTTGCTGCGTCGTTTGTTCTTGTTGGCAGTTTTGGTTTGTTTTTCCTCCTCTCTGCCGGTCGGAGAGTGCCGGCTCTGTGGGCGGGGAGGGGGGAGCAGGGTTCTGCGCTCCCTCCCTTCTAGTCCTCTTTTATGGCCAGTTCTTCTTAGGGCAGTTCGCTGGCGTCACCCGTTTATCTTCCGTGTCCCAGTTCTCACTGGGACCTGCCGCTTTTCCTCCCTATTAACTTTTTTTAATGGGAGATCTTACTCGCAGCGTCTCCTCGCCGCCATATTGCTCCGCCCCTCTCCCATGTATGTTTTAAAGACAATCCATGTGTGAACGGTATTAACGGGTCAGTGAGATGCGCTCACACCCAGCTCCCCGACTACATCTCTTCCCAGCATGACCTTGCTCTACAGGAGGTGGGTGCCAGGATCTGCACCAACACTAGGTAAGTTAAAATGCCACATTGTGTGAGTCTTGGTCTTTTGCACTGTTTAGAGAAAAGCCTGTGTATCATGGTGTTCACAGATCATGACTCATCTAGCAAATCGTGGATCATTCTTAAAATTACTTTTGCAAATGAATTGGACCAAAATAGATCTCACCTTGTATTTTTGTTGAAATCGTGTGTTTTACCATTTTCTTACTGATTCCTAAATGACAGGATTAGATCTTTATAAATCTTTTCCATAGTTGTGTGTGTGATTAGGTTCTAATAAATAGCTTGGTTGGTGATGTTACTTTCAGACATTACAATTTCTTAGACACAGAAGTAAGTAGATGTTGATGTTTTGTTCATGGCGGTTACAGTTTAGTTCTGGATATGATCCCCCCCATGCCCTACCTCTCCTTCTCCTTCACTCACAGAAAGAACAAATTGTGGGTCTTCATTTTTGTGTACATGGGATGTGTTTTCTGTCAATGGACCCATTGCCAGGGTAAAGGGACAATGACTGTGGCTTTGAATCCTGCCTCTGTTCACTTCGAGCATTATGGGCTCAGAGAAGTCACTGACTCCCTGAGCACCTGCTTCCTCATGTAGCAAACTTGCCTGGGGTCTCACACAGTATATAGGTGGTCTGAGAGGTAGAATTCTCATCATTGCTCAACAGAGTGCACAAAAAAAATTAAAATTCTACCTGCAGAAGCACATTTTGATGTTCATTCAATTAGCTGCATTCTCAGAACCCCTTTTCTGTGGATAGAGAAAGTCTAGTGAAGTCAGGAGAGACAGTGTCATACATTAGGGGAAGAAGAGCCTCCTCTGTTGTCTCCAAGTCTGCAGTCAGGCCTGCATTGTCATGTTCTGTTGGCTTAGAACAGCCAGGGAGGCAAAGTATTCCAAAGAGCTACTCTTCACAGGAATATTTTAACCTATCAAATGATACTGTATCTTGATTCCAGAAATATCTGGGATCAAGTTCACGAAAATATCTGGGATCAAGTTCACGAAAATGCGATATCTTGCCAGCTGCCATCATTTTTGCTTTTGGAAAGGTCAAACCTGCTGCTTTCCTGGACATGCTCAGTCACCAGAACCAGAGCCCCACTACAGCGCCTCTTCCTGGAATAAAGAGCAGCTGGAAGATCCCCTGCACATTGCATCAAGGCTTCTATGTGGGGTGTCGCCTACATGTGAGTCTTGAATCATGTAAATCCAGGTAAAGTAAAAAAGTAAACAGTTTGGTCTGGAAGTTTATTTTTCCCTCTTCTCACACAGCAGTGCAATCTGCATGGTGTTCCAGTGACTGGGAGGCTTCCTTGTGGGCAAGTAGACTGACGCAAAGAAGCTGGAGGATAAGCTGGTGCTTGTCAAAGTTCCTGATCTCTCTGGTGTCTGATACATGGGGCATTCAAAAGTGTAGAGCTCTGCATCTGTGTGACTGGAGGCACTGGGCCTTTCAGTAGAAATCTGGAAAAGAAAGTCCTTAACTGAAATGGCATAGCGCAAGCATACCAGTGACTCCCACTTTTTATGTTAGGTTTGTGGGATTTGCTACAGCATGGTTGTATGACTACTAGTAGAAATAATGCCGAAGAATGCACTTTAAAGAGTAATTATCATGTCCTTCCAGTGCATATTCTTGAGAAATAACTTTGGATGTTATTGTAGCATCTATTGATATTTTGGGTTTTAGCAATAGTTTGGCCTGTTTTCAATGTTTGCTGTCTGAAGCATATCGCCAAATTTCCCAAGTGAAGCTGCAGAGGGTGGGGATAGAAGGAGTGGTCTGTAGGTATTGCTGAGGGAAGTTCAAGAGATTTAAGACCAGAATAACAGGTGGGTAGTTACCTTTGTGGGCAGGAAGTATATCTCAGGAAAATCACAGCACGTCTCAAAAGGAAGTGAATCTTCCAGTACTTTCTTTTCATGATTCCACCTTGCCCCCTCGATGAATAAACCAAAAACATGAGCGCCGATGTGTGTGAGGTTTGTGCCCTAAGATCAAAGTGAGATGGTGTCAGTGGGTCCCCAGACAGGAGGCTCCAGTGGGTGGGTCACCTCCCTTCCACCCTGGGGGGGACCACGCCCCCACCCCTAAGACCTGTTTCCTCAGGTTATAAGCTGTTGGTGCTTTGTAGGCTTTGGTGTATATATATGAAGATACTATACTGAAAAGTATTTCAAATAGTGAACCCCCAAGTTTCTAGAGTTATCCTCCTTAGCCCAGCTTTTTAGAAGACAGAAAAATTAGAGTCAAAATACTCTGCTTAAATTTATCACCTACTTCTATGTGCTACAATGATTGATTTAGGCTCTGAAAAGTTTAGAAGGCTAGGAAGGATTCTTTATCTTATTTTTGGATGATATGAAAAAGGTTAAATAGGTTTTGTATAAGTTCTGGTAAGTAGAAAATGTACTTTTCTGGGTGACTCCAGGATGCCAGGGGCTCTCTCAGATGTGTGCAGTAGCCATGTGATCCAGCATGATCCACCCGGTTCCCCCCAACCCCCATATTAAAAAATGGGCAAAGGGCTTGAATGGACATTTCTCCAAAGAGGCACAGATGGTCAAGAAGCACATGTCAATACTGCTAGTCACTAGGAGATTGCAAGTCAAGCCCTCAGTGAGCTGCCTCTCAACAGCTGGCCACCAACAGCCAGGAGACAGCAAGCACTGGTGAGGATATGGAGAAACCGCCCTGGCATCTGGGGGTCTGTGGGCACTGGGCTTTCTGCCTACGCTGCCTCCTGGTTATCCTCAGCACACCCTGGGTGCCATTGAGTTTCACTGCAGGCTGGCTGGGGGTTTCTGCTGGGAACCTGCTCAACTCTGGAATAAGGGGCTCACCATGAGAAGTTCAGGCTGATGGCAGCCGAGAGGAGAGGCCTGCCCCAGAGGGTCCAAACACATATTTACATCCTGATTGCTACAGTGTCTGGTCATTTGTTGTGGTTATTTAAATCTTTTATCCATTTCATTCATTCATTCGTGATTATTCCTATCCTCTTAGGGAAAGAGCAGGAGGATGAAGCAGAGCTTGGGGGCCTGCCTGGTTATGCTGCCCCTTTCATACCTATGGCAGGCCTGGCCCCTCCTAAGTGCCAAGTGAGGGTTTGCTGAGGGGATGACCATGTTTGAATGAACAGTTGCCCTTCCAATCTTTTAATCATTCATCACCTTAAAGGCTCTCCTGAGGATGCTGACTTTCCTCTGGATGGTGATGGGGAACTCCTCATCATTGATGTCAGGGCTGTCGGAGATCACGTGGTGAGTAAAAGTGAGGGCATTTGTAGAGATTCCTTGGGACCTCCCATAGTCTTGAAGCAAGGCAGTAAGAAAGGCTTTGAAGCAAAACACACACCAACAAGTACCTTGTGAGTCCAGGGGGCCAAAGTTGTGCACCTCCCAAATGTTCCCATGGAGGCTACAACAGAGATGTCTTGTGGGAGGAGAGAGTGGAGAGTGAGAGACTGGTGGGAGTCAGGAGGTGGGCACAAGCTGGCTGGGCAGGAGGAGACTTCAATCCAGCCACCTCACCGCCTTGGTGACATTAGTCTGGCCAGTTGATGGGCCTCTTGGGGAACAGTGGTTGCTTTTGTAGAAACGGTTTCCCACCCCCCACTGTGGGTTCCCACCCCCATGTGGGTTTAGAGGACCCTTAAATACTTCTGACCAAGCTTGACTGATCATGTGTCATGCTCCTGACAATCAGGATGGCTCTTTAGGAACAAGCACAACACCCAAGGGTGTCAGTCTTTCTCAAGAAATGTCACATTGACTTAGGGAAAAGACAGAGTCTAGAATCGCTAAACAGGTTGTGGTCATTCCCTGCCCTCCACCCCTTGGTTTCTTGGAGAAAGGCTGTGGGCAAGAGACACACCAGGCCCCTCTGGCCTGCAGTCTGAGCCCAGAGGGGGAGCGGGAACTCACCACAGGGGCAGACCAGGCACTCAGGGGAGTGTGTCCCGACATCGGCATTTTAGAACAGGGAACTTTCTTCAGTAAAGACTGCTTGAAACCGACAGATGGTTCCCGGAGGAGTCAGAGGGGAGCAGAGAAGTTCACCCAAGATGCCAGCCAGTCCCAGCAACACAGTGTCCCAATGCATACGGCAAATTAGAAAACAGACAGGGAGTAGAAGAACCACACGCAACCTAGCAACTCCTCAAAAAAAAGCACACCACAAAAAGAAAGCCACCCCCCAGATGGAAACAACAGTAACTTGGAAGAACTTCTGAGCCTTCCGGAAAGAGAATTTAAAATTGCCATGATTAAAAAACTGACAGAAGTCATAAAGGAAAACAATGATAAGGGAAAAATAATCAACGATCAGAAGAATGAAATTGAGTCCCTAAAGAGGGAAGTAAAAGAAATGCAGGAGATCAAGGAAATAATGGAGGCACTAAAGAACTCTGGGAAAAGCAATGAAAGCAGAATAGATGAAATGGAAGAATGAATAAGTACTCTTGAAGACACAGAAATAAAAAGAACCAAAACAGAAAACAAAAGAGAAGGAAGAACGAAAAAGACCAAAGAAAGACTTCGGGAACTATCTGACTCCATGAGGAAAGGAAATATAAGAGTTATAGGAATACCAGAAGGAGAGGAGAGAGAGATGTAGGAATAGAGAAAATATTCAAGGAGATAATTGAAGAGAACTTCCCAAATGTGAAGAAGGAGCTGAAAATTGATATACAAGAAGCAAGAAGAATACCAAACTTCCACAACAATAGGAAAAATACAGGAAGACATATAATAGTAAAGCTCCCAAGAATCCAGGAAAAGGAAAAAATAATGAAGCTGAAAAGAGGGAAGAAACAGGTAACATTGAGAGGAAAACCAATCAGGCTGACATCAGACTTCTCCAGAGAAACACTACGGGCAAGGAGAGAGTGGAGAGACATAGTCAACAGACTCCAAGAAAACAGAAGCCAACCAAGAATACTCTATCCTGCAAAGCTCTCCTTCCTCTATGAAGAAAGAATAAGGACCTTCCCAGACAAAGAGAAACTCTGGAATTTCATTACGACTAAACCCCCACTCCAAAAAATACTACAAGGAGTCCAAAAGCCAGAACCTCAGAGGGACGAATAATAATGAAAGAAGGCCAAAAAAAAAGTTATTAAAAGAATAAATAAATAAAATCAAAGGAAAGACAAACACAATGGCAAATACAGATGGTAACATAGCATAATTAGCTCTAAATGTAAATGGACTAAACTCTTCAATAAAAAGACACAGAGTCGCAGGCTGGATTAAGAAACAAAACCCAACCTTTTACTGTCTCCAGGAAACACATTTAGCTGCAAAAGATAAAAATAGACTCAAAGTTAAAGGATGGAAAACAATCCTACAAGCAAATGGAACAAAAAAGAAAGCAGATAAAACAGATTTCAAACTCAAAAAGATAAAAAGAGACCCCAACGGTCACTACATTATGATCAAGGGGACAATACTTCAAGAAGAAATAACACTCATTAACATATATTCACCAAACGAAGGAGCATCAAAATATATCAGACAACTATTGTCATCTCTGAAAACAGACATCAGAGAAAACACCAACGTATTGGGAGACTTAAACACACCACTATCAACAATGGATAGATCAACGACACAAAAAATAAGTAAAGACACTAAAGCTCTAAATAAGATCTAGAGCGCTTGGGCTTAACAGACATCTATAGAACACTATACCCAAAAAAAAAAAACAGAGTACATTTTTCTCAAGCGCACACGGATCATTCTCCAGGATTGATCACATATTGGGACACAAGACAAACATCAACAGATACACTAAGATTGAAATCATACCAACCATCTTTTCTGACCATGAAGGAATCAAACTAGAAATAAACCATAAAAAGAAGGCAAGGAACTCTCCTATCTCATGGAGATTGAAAACCACACTTCTGGAAGACCACTGGACTAACGAGGAGATCAAAGAAGAAATTAAAAAATTCTTTGAATGAATGACAAGGAGGACACCAATTTCCTAAATGTATGGGATGCAGCAAAAGCAGTAATAAGAGGAAAATATATAGCAAAATAGTCTCACATCAAGAAACAAGAAAGAACTCAAAGAAACAACCTAATCTCAAAGCTCAAAGATCTAGAAAAAAAAGAACAACAAAAAAACCCCAAAACCAGTAGCAGAAAAGAAATAATAAAAACCAAAGCAGAAATAAATGAAATCGAAACTAAAAACACAATCCAAAGAATCAATGAAACCAAAGGCTGGTTCTTCGAAAAAAATCAATAAAATAGACAGTTCCCTAGCCAGGCTCACAAAGGAAAAAAGGGAGAAAGCACAAATAAACAGGATCATAAAAGAAAGAGGAGAAATCACAACAGACACAGCAGAAATCAAAAGAATAATCAGTAACTACTATGAACAGTTATATGGAAACAAGTTCAACAATCTAGAGGAGATGGACAAATTCCTACAACTCTACAATCACCCAAAGCTAGATAAAGAAGAAATAGAACACCTAAACAGACCAATTACAAGCAGTGAAATTGAAATGGTAATCAAAAACCTCCCCAAAAACAAAAGCCCAGGACCTGATGGATTTACAAATGAATTCTACCAAACATTCAGAGATGAATTAGTGCCTATCCTTCATAAAATCTCCCAAAAAATTGAGAAGGAAGGGACAATACCAAACATGTTCTATGAAGTCAACATACACTAATACCAAAACTGAACAAGGACAACGCAAAAATGGAAAACTACAGGCCAATCTCCCTAATGAACACTGATGCAAAAATCCTCAATAATATTTTAGCTACCAGAATCCAACAATGTATCCATAAGATAATTCACTACGACCAAGTAGGATTCATGCCAGGGACACAAGGATGGTTCAACAACCCTGAAATCAATCAACGTTATCCAACACATCAACAAAAAGAAATATAAAAAACATATGATAATATCAATAGATGCTGAGAAAGCTTTCGACAAGCACAACACCCATTCATGATAAAAGCCCTTGAAATTCTTGGGATACAGGGAACATACCTTAACATCATAAAGGCCATATATGACAAGCCAACGGCCAGTATCATTCTCAATGGTGAAAAGCTGAAAGCATTTCCATTAAGATCTGGAACAAGACAAGGATGTCCACTCTCACCTCTGCTTTTCAATATAATACTAGAAGTCCTAGCCAGAGCAATAAGACGAGAGAAAGACATACAAGGAATCCAAATAGGAAAAGAAGAAGTCAAACTATCACTATTTGCAGATGATATGATAATATACATAGAGAACCCCAAAAACTCCACAGAAAAACGAATTCAACTCATCATCAGTTCAGTAAAGTGGCAGGATACAAAATCAACACACAAAAGTCAGTAGCCTTCCTATACACAAACAATACATCTGAAGAAGAAGAAATCAAAAAAACCATCCCTTTTATTATTAAAACAAAAAAAAATCAAATACTTGGGAATAAATCTAACAAAGAGTTAAAGGACCTATACAAAGAAAACTATAAAACACTGTTAAAAGAAATAGAGGAAGACACAAAGAAATGAAAGACATCTCCTGCTCATGGATTGGAAGAATAAACATTATTAAAATGGCCATGCTACCAAACGCAATATACAGATTCAATGCTATTCCAATAAAAATTTCAATGTCATTCTTCAAAGAAATACAACAATTATTGATGAAATTCATATGGAATCACCAAAAACCCCGAATAGCCAAAGCTCTCCTGAAAAAAAAAAAGAAGGGAATGGAGGCATCACACTCCCAGACTTCAAACTATACTACAAAGCCATAATCATCAAAACTGCATGGTATTGGAACAAGAACAGACTCACAGACCAATGGAATCAAATAGAAAATCCAGAAGTAAACCCACAGATTTATGGTCAACTAATATTTGACAAGGGAGCAAAGAATGTGCACTGGAACAAAGAAAGTTTTTTCAATAAATGGTGCTGGGAAAACTGGGTTGCTACATGCAAAAGAAAGAAGCTTGACCACTACCTCACCCCATACACAAAAATCAACTCAAAATGGATTAAAGAACTAGACATAAGACCTGAAACCATAAAATACATAGAAGGAAATATAGGCGAAACACTACGTGATATGCACATCAAAGACATCTTACAGACACATCACCCAAAGCAGTGATAGTGAAGGCAAAGATAAACATCTGGGACTACATCAAATTAAAGAGCTTCTGCACAGCAAAAGAGACAATAACAAAAACAAAGAGAAACCCCACCAACTGGGAGAACATTTTTGCACCCAACACTAATGATAAAGGACTGATCACAAAAATCTGCAAAGAGCTGATGTGACTCAACAACAACAAAGAAAATAATCCAGTCAAAAAATGGGCAGAAGAGCTAGAAAAGAAACTTCTCTGAAGAGGAAATGCAAATGGCCAACAGGTTTATAAAAAAATGTTCAACATCACTTGTAATCAGGGAAATGCAAATCAAAACTACCATGAGATACCATCTTACACCAGTGAGAATGGCACATATTAAAAAAACTAGCAACAACAAATGTTGGCGAGGATGTGGAGAAAAAGGAACTCTTGTGCACTGTTGGTGGGAGTGCAAACTGGTCCAACCACTATGGAGAGCTGTGTGGAGATTTCTGGACCTACTAAACATAGAGCTTCCATATGATCCAGCAATTCCACTCCTAGGTATTTACCCAAAGGACACAGAAACATCAATTCCAAAGAACACCTGCACCCCTATGTTGATAGCAGCACTGTTTACAATAGCTAAGCTTTGGAAACAACCCCAATGCCCAAAAATAGATGACTGGATCAAGAAGATGTGGTACATATATACCATGGAATATTACTCAGCATTCAAAAAAGATAAACACATGCAATTTGCAGCAACATGGATGGCGCTGCAAGGGATCATGCTCAGCGAAATAAGCCAAAAAGAAAAAGAAAAATACCGGATGGTCTCACTCATAGCAGGAATCTAGAAAACTTAAATAAGGGACCAGGAAAATGAATAACTATAAGAAAGTGAAAATCAAAATCAACAAAAAACTATGAACCAGAGACACTCTATGGGGGGTGAGGTGTGGGGAGGGGAGGGATTGGGGTCAAAATAAGGGGGTTGCAATTGTATGGGGAATATAAAAATAAAATTTATTTAAAAAAAAAAGGCTGTGGGCAAGAGATAGAAAAGGAGGTGAAGATATCGTGGAAACAGCTGATTTAAGAGGAGGCAGGTGGAGCGTGACACAGAGGATAAAGGACTCCCTGCATCTGGACATGTCACAGGTCAGACCCTTATTTCCTTCTCCTTATAGGTAGGGCCTATACCTCCTCCTCTTGCTACCAACTCCTCTTTCCCTACTTAATCCATTCTGCATAAGTGGCCAGTTTAGTAATTTCATGCTACCTTTGATCATGTAATGCCTAACACCCAGAATATTTTGGCCACCTCACCCCACCAGTCCTGCCTGAGCCTGCCATGGTGGCTCATCTCTGCTCTGCTCAACACAAGATATCTGCTTAGATAGGACATTTGCCTTGGTGTCTGCACTCAAGCCATCTACCTGCAGGTTGCAGGAGACAAGACCTGGGTTTTGACAATCCTTATGCCTGTGGTGGCAGCTCTCACAGTGTGGCTTTGCCTGAGGTGTTCAGTGGCTCCTGGTCACATGGTCTCTCTACAGCTGCACATACCCAACAGCTTACCAGACATAGGGTTTGTTCATATTCTCTGAATGTCTCAAACCTGACATGACTACCATTTTACTCCTCTTCAGTTTGCTTCTCTCCCTGTGTTTTCTATTTCAGTAAAAGACATCAGCATCTGCCCAGCCTTGTAATCCCTGGGAATCAAGCTTAACCAACCCCTCCTCTTTCTCATCCCACCCTTATCAAGCATGGAACACATGGAACTGCTTCCTAGTTGTCCTTCTGGTCAACTGCTCCTCTACTCACTACCATTGTCCTACTCCAGGCTTAAACCAACTCTTGCCTGGAGAATAAAATGAACTCCCAAATGACCAGGACCCAGAAGCTAGCCTCGTGCTTCCCCAACCCACCCTTGTCCTTCTTCCATGCAGCAGCCATCAGACCATGATGCCCATTGCTTGAAACATGCCAGGGCTTCCTGTTGCCACAGGGTGGAATAACTCCTTTAGTGTGTTTTAAACAGCCCCTGCTAGCTCACCTCTGCCCAAAATGAACACCCATTATTTTTTTCTAATGGATTTTTCTTTCTCTCACTTCTAGACCTTGAGAGGTATCTCGCTAATGAGAATTCCATTCATAATTCACTGCAGTGGTTAAAGTTCAAATTTTGCCTCAGACCACACATCTGGGGGTTTTGCACCCAGGTGCAAGAGAAGGAGAAGATAAACAGCTGCGACGACAACAAACTAAAAAGCTTCTGTACAGCCAAAGAGATAGTAACCAAAACTAAGAGACACCCCACTGAAAAGGAGAAAATATTTGCACTCCATACAACTGATAAGGGACTGATCACAAAGATCTACAAAAAGTTTACCAACTCAACCAAAACAAAGCAAACAACCCAGTCAAAAAATGTGCAGAGGAATTAAAAGACATTTCTCCAATGAAGAAATACAAATGGCTAACAGATACATGAAAAAATGTTCAACATCATTTATAATCAGGGAAATGCAAATCAAAAACACAATGAGACACCATCTTATACCAGTGAGAATGGCACACAGTAAAACAAATGTTGGTGAGGATGTAGAGAAAAAAGAAAACTCTTTCATTGCTGGTGGGAATGCAAACTGATCTAGCCACTATGGAAAGCTGTGTGGAGGTTCTTCAACATACTAAAAATGGATCTACCATATGACCCAGCAATTCCACTCTTAGGAATCTAACCAAAGAACACGAAAGTACTAATTTGAAAGGAAACCTACACTCCTATGTTTATTGCAGCACTATTTACAATACCTAAGATATGGAAGCAACCCAAATGCCCCCACACAGATGTGTGGATCAAGAAGATGTGGTCTATTACTCAGCAATCAAAACAGACAAACTCATGCCATTTACAGCAACATGGATGGTGCTGGACGGAATTATGCTCAGTGAAATAAGCCAGAAGGAAAAGATAAATATTGCATGGTTTCTCTTATAGGTGGAATATAGGGAAACTGAACAAAGGGTCAGGAAACACCATAGATATGAAGCATCCAGCAGGAGAGCAGAAGAGACAGGAATCATAACAGGGTAGGGAAGAGCACAAGGGACTGTGGTGATGGATCAAGGGGGCTGTGGTGGTGGGAGAATTACAAGGACTACACCTGAAGGAAGAAATCAAATATTGAACAATGAGGGCCTCCCTGGTGGTGCAGGGGTTAAAGACACAGCACTATCAAGCTATTGCTACCAACAGCAGCAGGAGTTTGATCCCTGGCTGGCCAGGGAGCTGACCCACATGGCGCAGCAGACCTCTGCTCTCTCGCCCACTGCTCCCCTCAGTAGTGTATTTCAGCAGATCTGCCTATTCTGCTCCCCACTCTGTCTCTAATGAATCCTCTCACCCCCCCACACCTCTGGCCTACACCCCAGTTCTTATATGCATAAATAAATCTTTTTAAAAAATGAACAATGATGTTTAAAAAATTAAAAAAAAATTAAAAAATAAAAAATAAATAAAATAAATAAATAAATAAAAAATTAAAAAAATAAAAAAAATAAAATAAATTAAAAAAACTAAAATTAGGGCCTCCCCGGTGGCGCAGCGGTTGAGCGCTGGGTTGCGAAGCTACCCGCGGCCTCTGCGGCGCCGGTTCGATCCCCGGCTGCTCCCCGGCCACCGGAGGAGGGTCCCGCATGGCGCGTAGACCTCTCCTGCCGCCCGCTGCTCCCCTCAGCAGTGTACTTCGGTCCTTCTGCCTGCTCTGCTCCCTGCTCTGGCTCTGGTGAATTCTCTCACCCTCCCGCGCTTCTGACTGTACCCAGTGCATGTATAAACCAAACAAACAAACAAATAATAAATAAATAAATAAGACATGCCTCTAGAAAATTAAAAAAAAAAAAAAACTAAAATTAAAAAAAAAAACTTATATTTAAAAAAAAACAACAATAAATTTGCCTCAGTAATTTTAGGAAAATTACTTAACTCCTCTATGACAAGGTTTTCCTTTCTGAAAATGGGGATAATAACAATAACAACCCCATAAGACCATCATGGGAATTGATTGATGTGACATTTACAAATTTCTCAGAATAGTGCCTGGCACCAGGTAAACTCTATATATGGATGTGAGTTATTCTCCTCTTATTCTAGCCCTGTCTCAACAATACTTGGCCTGTGGTAAGTTCCAAGTCTTAGAAGTCATTTCCTTAGAAGCCTTCCTTGATCCTCAGTTGAGGTCAGCTGAATTATGCTCCAAAAGTATTCATTTATTCACATATTTATTCATAAAGTCATTTATTTATTATTCAAATATTAACTGAGAGCTTTTTAGGTGATGGAGGTTGTGTGAGGTGCTAGGGGTACACCGGGGAGTAAAATCAGCCTTGTCTCCTGCCCTATGGAGTTTACAGCGTGGCCCTGTACATTGCCTTGCTAGTTCTTATTAAATGGATAAATGGCTGAAGCACAAAATCAAGCCCTGGCAAAGCGCCCATCTCCAGGAGTCCTCCCTTATGGTGCAGTGACCTTTGGGCGGGGGGAGATCTGATGCCAGTCAACATCTGGCATCATAGAATCAATGGCTTAGAGATGAAAAAATGAGACAGTGCCAAGGTTTGGGTGAGACAAGAATAGGTCTATTTTGAAGGGGGGGCATGGTTCTGGAAGGAGAAGAGACCCTGCTTCAGTGCGTGTCTGCCCTGGGACTCAGAGGGCGCAGGTGCTGACATGTCCAGGGGAGGAGGGGGGGGAAAGCGGAGTCAGGGACAGACACAGTCGGTCAGGTGTGGGCTGGTGCTTGTTCTCACGCTCACCTTGTGGAAAGAAGAAAGCTGGGAGCCAGTACCTTGCAGGACATCCCTCAGAGAAACAGCCGTTCGCATCATCAGCACACTGGGGCAGCTTCCTGGATGGTGGGGGAGCAGCCTTCCATACCGAGTTTAATCTCATGTACCTGTTGGAAGGAAGACCCCAGGCTGCAGTGGGTAAGGGTCAGATATCCTCAGCAGTTTCCTCTACTCTCTCCTACGTTCCTCCTTTCCTTTTCACCTCAAGCTCTCCCCAGCTCTGGACCCATGTCCTGTACTTTAATGGAAACCAACTCCAGCTATGGTTTTAAGGGGCCTCTGAGATCATAAAAGGCTGGGGAACAGGGATGTTGATACTCCAGTGGGAGTCGTGGCTGGGCCGTGTGGAAACCTGTGGGCTGTTTTCAAGTTACTGACTTCTCCAAAAGGATATCTAATTGCACTCATAGTTAGATGGCACAAAAGGCTGATTCACACAGACTTTGGAACCAGCTTTTCTGGGTTCAGATCTCAATTCTGCCACTTTATAGTCAAGTTACTTCATGTCTTTGTGCCTCATTTTCTTCATCTCTAAAATGAGGGTGGTGACAAATGGCAGGACTCGCTTCAAACATACGGTTACTATAAGAATGAAGTGAGTTAGTATGAGCAAACACACTGCAAAATGTTGCACACACTTTCAGGTACTCACAAAATATTAACTACTCTCACATCTTTCAAATTATTTTCTGTGAGGTAGTAAAACCACCAAAAAATTACATGTTGGTAATATTTATTTTCTTTCATATTTTCCTCTGCTACCTTCACAGAACTCAATAAAGAATAATGGAGAGAGACATGTGTGGGATTCTGGTTCTATCCCTGACTCTCAGAGGAGGTGACCTTGGATGAGGCTCTCAACTTCTTAGGCCTCCATTTCCTCATCCTAATGTCAAGCTAAGGATCCATTCCTTGCTTAATCCACAGTGGCAGTGAGAACCCAAAAAAGTCCAAGCATGGGAAATCATGCTGCAAAATGGTAAATGCTAAGCAAAAGTAAGGAATTAACATAAAGCACTTTCATTCCTACCGATGATAGATTGCAGTGTAAGCCATTTTGGCCCAGGTATTGAAGAAATTCACTCGTTGGATGAGATCATCAACCCAGGAACTCAGGGGCTTACATGACTTGTAGGCATACTTCTGTTGGGATTTAGAGAGAGACACATCATTTTCTTTAGATTTGTCTTTGGCATCACTAGGGCATATCTGAGAACTTTGGTAACAGACTCAATTGTCAGAGTGAAAAAAACTTGGCAGGAGGAAGTCATTTCCATCAAATCATCATGCTGAATACTTTAAATATATTCAATTACATTATTCAACTATTCCTCAGTGAAGTTTTATTGTTTTTTTTTTTAAATTCTATTTATTTGTTGCAAGGGAAGAAGAGGAAAAAAAACAAAAAAACAACACAACTCCTCTGCACGCCTCAGTCTCCTTTTCTTATAAACAGCCTTCTGGAAGAAGTTCATTGATCCTTCTTCCCTAATCCTGCTCACTTCCAAACCCATGGCCTTTCAGCGATTTCATCAGGTCCTTGTGTTGGTCGTGATGTCTTCCTACCTTATCCCACCTGCACCTCTCCTGTTTACCTTATTTGCATTTTCTGTAGTTCTCCACTCCTCCTCTCTTGCCTTGGTTTCTGTGACCACATGCATCCCAACTTCCAATTCTCTGATTCTTTCAAGGCGTCAATAGGCCTTTCTTCTCTTTTGGTCGATGTTGCCTTGGATCCCTTCTGTCCTCTTCTCTTCCTACTTTATATTCCTTTTCCCAATGCTAACCCATGGCTGGTCTGTCTAGGCCACTGATATAAAAATCTTGCTTTGCAGCCTGTACTTTTAATACATCTCTCTTCAGTAGGTCCACTGGAGGTCCCTCTAATTCCTCAGATTCTGTGTGCCCAGGACAGGATGGCATCACCTGCCCTCACACAGCGTCTCTCTCTGTCCAGCCCATGTTTGCATGGCACTGCACCCACATGTCCAAGCTGACAGTTCTATCTGGATAATTTTAGCTCTTGTTACTGTTGGGTATGCCCTTGTCTCGGACATCGGCATCCCAGAGGGCCATATTCTCTCAACCTAATGTTGAATCCCAGGTCTTACCCAAGTGGGCGTTCTCAGCAGCTCAGAAAGCCTCTCTGTTCCTCAGCTTCCAAATCTGTATAAAAGCATTGAAGGGATGTATCCCTAAGTTTCCTTCAAACTACAATCTCATGATTGTAAATGTGTGAAGACTGCAGACTCCACAGCTCATTTTTTTTCAGCAGTTTTCACTCAGTTTTAAAGAATTACCAATTGTTATTGCTCCTTTTTTTTTAAGATTTTATTTATTCATGCATACAAGAAACAGGGTATAGGCCAGATGTGCGGGAGGGTGAGAGGATTCACCAGAGACAAAGCAGGAAACAAAACAGGCAGACTGACTGAAATACACTGCTGAGAGGAGTAGAGGAAGAGGTAGGAGAGGTCTGCTGCACCATGTGGGTATCTCACCAGCTGGCCGGGATCGAACCCACACTGCAGAGGCTGCAGACAGCTTCACAGTGCTGTACTCAAGCCCCTGTACCACCAGGGAGGCCCTGTTATTGCTCTTTTAACCTCTATAATTCCTACATTTTTTTTAAAAAAAGCTATACACAATATACCACTTAAAGTGTACATTCAATATTTTCAGTATATTTACTGAGTTGTGCAAGCATTATTATCAATTCTGGAAAATTTTCATCACTTCAAAATAAAACATGCCACACCTTTTAGCATCACTTCTCAAGCCTGCTGTCAAACTCAGCCCATGCCAACCGCTAATCTACTTTCTACTCTATGGATTTGTCTACTGTGGACATTTCAATGTTTGTGTTTTTACAAATTGGTTTTTACAAATTTCAGTGTTTGTGTTTTTACAAATTGGTTTTTACAAATTGGTTTGTAAAGGGTATGGCCTTGTAATCATTTCTTTTTGCTTTGTTTGTATGTTTTGTGTTTTTTTATTTAGAAGTTGTTCCAATTTTCTGCTACAAAACAATATATTATCATCATCAAAATATGAAAAGATCAAAAAGCAAAAGGCAAAAATAGAAATCACTCATAATTCTATCACCCTAAGGAAATCTTTTATTTTCGTATGCATTTTCTTTCAACTCTCTCTGCTCTCCCTCTCTCTCTCCCCTTACCCCCATTGATTTTCCTTATCTGCAGTAGTCATATTCCATAAAGTTGATTGAAAATGACGTTTTCTGAAAGTAAAAAAAAATAACAATATATCTTTTTTTTTCTTTTCTTAATTTTATTTTTATATTCCCCATACAATTGCAACCCCCCCATTCTGACCCCAATCCCTCCCCTCCCGCCCCTCACCCCCCAAAAAGTGTCTCTGGTTCATAGTTTTTTGTTGATTTTGATTTTCACTTTCTTATAGTTATTCATTTTCCTGGTCCCTTATTTAAGTTTTCTAGATTCCTGCTATGAGTGAGACCATCCGGTATTTTTCTTTTTCTTTTTGGCTTATTTCGCTGAGCATGATCCCTTCCAGCGCCATCCATGTTGCTGCAAATTGCATGTGTTTATCTTTTTTGAATGCTGAGTAATATTCCATGGTATTTATGTACCACATCTTCTTGATCCAGTCATCTATTTTTGGGCATTACAAAGCTTAGCTATTGTAAATAGTGCTGCTATAAACATAGGGGTGCAGGTGCTCTTTGGAATGGATGTTTCTGTGTCCTTTGGGTAAATACCTAGGAGTGGAATTGCTGGATCATATGGAAGCTCTATGTTTAGTAGGTCCAGAAATCTCCACACAGCTCTCCATAGTGGTTGGACCAGTTTGACTCCCAGCAACAGTGCAGAAGAGTTCCTTTTTCTCCACACCCTCGCCAACATTTGTTGTTGCTAGTTTTTTTAATATGTGCCATTCTCACTGGTGTGAGATGGTATCTCATGGTAGTTTTGATTTGCATTTCCCTGATTACAAGTGATGTTGAACATTGTTTCATATGCCTGTTGGCCATTTGCATTTCCTCTTCAGAGAAGTTTCTTTTTAGCTCTTCTGCCCATTTTTTGACGGGATTATTTTCTTTGTTGTTGTTGAGTCTCATCAGCTCTTTGCAGATTTTTGTGATCAGTCCTTTATCATTAGTGTTGAGTGCAAAAATGTTCTCCCAGTTGGTGGGGTTTCTCTTTGTTTTTTTTAAAAATAACAATATATCTTAAGGATCTTTCCCTATCAGCATATACCTCACTACTGTATCATAATTTAGCTAGCCAGATTCCCATGAATTCAAGTTGTTTTCAGCTTGATGGTATTATATACATTTCTATGATAAACCTCTTTATTTAAGTAATTGCCAAATTGCCTCCTAAGAGGTTATATTGACATGCATGTACTCACTCCAATCATGTCAGCATCTTTTAATGGTTACATAATATTTCATCATGAGGCTAGACCATTGTGACCTTATCCCTTCCCTGAAACTAGAACATTTATTTCAATCAATCAAACAAATAGGAAAGAATCATTGCTTACCAGCCACAATGCTGGCATCCTCATATCAAGGAAAGAGTTATATATTTCCTCTAGTTCTTGGGTCAGGATGATCATTCCTTTCATAGCAAGTTGAAGGTCATTCAAAGATTTATGTATAATAAATAATAACTTATCAAAGCGTCCAATTTCTTGGCTCAAAAGGGTCAGTAAGACACAATGGACTAGGGGGTCATAGCCTAGATTAAAAAAGAGATAAGTTGATGATGTTTGGACAGAGGCATATCCATGTTCCCTGCCTCCCCACCCCCATGAGGGGCAGAGGTGAGCAGCGAGGGGTAGCTTGAGACATAGGGAGGGGAGACATCTGGAGAGAGACAGAGAGAGACATGTGGAGAAGGAGGAAGGGCCTGCTTGCTTCTCAGCTTTGGACTTGAACCAGGGACTTGGAGGACTTGGAGCAGAGACACACAGAGACACCAGCAAGGGACACGTGGGTGAAAGACATGTGCAGAGGCTGCCAGTGGCAGCTGTTATTTGTATTTGTACTTTGGTTTTGCTCCTTTTGTCCCGGCCTTGCCTGGCCCCTTTCACTCCTTTTCTGTGGTTCCCCTCCAGAAGGTGCCTGCACCGTGTGGCAACCTTTCAGGCCTCAGTGGACCCATTTCAGGCCAAATCTGTTTGGCTGGGTATTTACACAGCAGGGGGTGGGTAACTTTGGGTGTTTTATTGCGAAACTATTATCCTTTCTTCTCTTTCTATGCACAAAAATTCGAGTAAAGATCTTTTACACTGAGATTCGCTTTTCTTTGTGCACAGAGACGGCCAGACCCCTTCAAAACTTGCAAGTTTGAGAGTTCTGGGGCCCCTAGGTCAGCCCACTAACTATATTTTTCTAATGAAATGAAGTTTTGCATGTAGAGATAGAGGTACTGGAAATTAACAAAACCTTATGTATCTAGACTGGGAGTTAGACACACTTGCACAAAGGCCAGTGGAGGCCATTCTTTGGGGGCCATCCTTTTCTATCACAACTTCTTAACTCTCCCAGTGCAACGTGAATATCTAGTGTGACTACACAGACATTATGTAAACAAATAAGCGTGGTTGTATTTCAATAATGCTTTACTGGTGGGCATGCAAATGTGAATTTTATATAATATTTATGTATTATAAAATATTTTTCTTTTGATGTTTTTCAACCACTGAGAATAGAAGAAGTATTCTGGCTTGCAGGCTGGGACAAAACAAATGGTGTTCTGGGTTTGGTCAAGTCTGAGTTTGGTCAAGTCTGAGTTTGCCAACCACTGATCCAGACTTAACAATATTAACTATTTTCATAGTTGACCAACTAAGTGTTGGTCAACATTTAGTTCCAAAATGAATATTTTTCAAAGGGTTGAAATATGAACACTCAAGTCCTACCTGGCAAACTGGTACAACCCAACACGTTAGTCCCTGAGCGCTGGGCCTGGGGCCAGCTCTGGGCAACCAGACTCACACTGGCCTGCCCTCCCTTCTCTTATTTCCTCAGGGTCCAGAGGTCTCCCATCAGAGGACCCATCTACACCTCCCCGCCCGAAATGCTGTTCTCACAGGCAGGGAGGACAAGAGAGCAGGGACGTAGAAATCAGAGTTGCGCCTTTCTAGTTCGCTATAATTATTATTTCTTCACGGTTAGTCTTGGGGCCATGCCTCCCTCCCCACAAAACAAAACCAAAAAAACCTTCTGGCATTATTTTCTCCTCTGCTCCCCATCCCCAACTTGGACAAAGAAGGAGATGGCGGAGATCTAGTTCTCCAATTCACCTCGGCCTCTTTGTCCTGTCTCTACTCTTCCTCTCTCCTGACGCCAGAGGCCTTCCCTAAGGAAGATGAGGGGAGGGGGTAAGCTCACGGCCACACTGACCTTTGAGATGCTTACTAAAAGACTCCCAGATGGGGCCGGACATGATGCCCTTCAAGGTGCTCTGGGTGCCACCACAGTTGTCCTCTACACACTGCGGCAGCCGCTTTTGTAAGTCAGATAAAATTTCCATCACAAATTCATTATCGTTCTTCTCTTCACTGCAAAGAAATCAAGAGAAGAAAGAGAAACAAATCTGTCCAATCCGGGAGGACCCTCTAATTAGGTCCTATAAAGTCTTTTTTTTAATTTATGCATATGTAGGGTAAATGATTTTCAGGCTTCTCTGCCCTCCCACCATTAGGATTGCCCTGCCTGATGGGACACCTGCAGTTGTTACATTCTTATAAGTTGTGTTGTTTGACTTCTGTGAGCCCTGGCTGTAGTATTGAGATAGTCACAGAGAGAAGCAGAGGCAGGAGAGGAAAGAAGCCCAGAGAAGCCCAGAGGGAAGACTTGCTGGGGGCTTGGAGGCCTACCGACCTCCTGGCCCCCCAGAACCCCTATACCTGTCGTGTACCTGGTTGATGCACTACATGTAAAAGCTCAATAAAAGCTTGAGAAAGCCACCGAAGGCTCCAGGACTCTCCTTTACCTGGTCTGCTCAAATCATAAAGAACCTGCCTTGAGCCCATCCTGCCCCTACAGTATACAAAAACTGGGGTACAGGCCAGAGGTGAGGGAAGTGAGAGAATTCACCAGAAACAGAGTGGGGAACAGAACAGGCAGACTGACTGAAATACACTGCTGAGGGGAGCAGCAGGCAAGACAGGAGAGGTCTGCTGCATCATGTGGGTTGCTACCTGGCCAGGAATTGAACTCAGCTGCAGAGGCTGCAGATAGCTTCATAGTGCTGTGCTTAACTCTGTGTGCCACCAGGGAGGCACCTATAGGGTCTTATGGAGGCTATGGTGTTTATTTTACAGGTAAAAACTGTCCATTGCACTTCAGACATCTGCAAGGAAATAAGTATTTTTTAAAGTTTTCTTTGGATTTCTTTGTGAAATAGTCTTTATCTGAATGCAGGAAGGAAATGTGAAGATGGAAATGAAGAGGAGGAGACAAGCAGACCAAGCATGTTAAGTGGGCTTATAGGTTATCCAACTGTTTGTCAAGTTCCTCTGTGTTCACACAAGGGTCTCTTGATCGCACTGAGAGAGTGATGATGGGGCAGAGAGTGTGCACCGGTCAGGTTGTGATATTAAACAATTGAGATTCTATATTTTTAGACTGTATGTTGAGTTTATTTTGGACTATCTTTTTCTATAAGTTCAATACTGTATCCTTTCAAATAAATGTTTGATAATTTTCAAGTTACAATTTTTCCCAGGGAGTTCTTTACCTGGTCGTGAGGCTGGAAGTGACAGTTCTTGGTTGCATGGCAATGAGATTGTCAATGAACTTCTGGGCCTGGACCTTCCTGACATTCCCTGTAGCCTCAGGGTGCATTCCTAAGAGCTCAGGAGGGTCATCGTCAGGTAAGGAGTGGATAATACGCATGCAATCCTCTATGCTTGCAGACTGTGACACTGGCTGACATATCTGAAAATTTAAGCCCTTTTTAAATTTTTGCCTTGGGAGATGTGCGCTTTCAGTAATAGGTGAACACAATGCTTTCCCATGAAATTTGACACAAAAGGTGGATTTTGGAAGCTTTAAAACATTTTAAGTCAAATTATTTCATTCTCTTCCTATCAATCTGATTCTGTGGCTGCTTGACTAGTAGAATGTAGAACAAAGATTTTGTATCATTTTCTGGTCCTAGACTGGGGGAGGGGAGGGAGGGGAAGAAGAGAAATGCATTGTTCATATGGCCAGGAAAGTGAGTAGTGGTGACTTTCTTGATTATCCTCAAGCAAAACTGATGTATTAATGAGGACCACAGAGAAACATCAGATAACAATGTCATTGATTTAAAAAAATATATATATCTTCTGAAGAAGCTAGGATTATGATGAGCAGGAAGAGCTGGAAAGTTCAAATTGTCATAAAAAGTCAGTGTTTAAATCAGCTAAATAACTGAAATACGTGACTTCAGAACACAAGTCTGCCAATGGTATTTTCTGCTGTATGGTACAGTACACTTTATTCACGTATGCACATTTAATGCAACAACCTATACACAAAAGCTTTTCTGGCAATTTAAAAGATTTTCAAGGGTAATTTTATCTTATGAGCTAAATTTAGTCTCTAAACCTAAAATGTTACTTAAACAGACTTTTAAATGGAATTAAATCTTAATAACTCATAGCTTTCCCCAACTTAGCAAATATATTCAAAGGATATAATTTAAGTCTTCTTGTTGACTCAACAGACTGTTCTATAGATCTTACAAATGAATCTTCCTAAAATATCACTTTCACCATTTCATCTCTCCATCCAGCAGTCTCCACAGATGACCTGGATATGACCTCTGTTCCTTTGATCACTCAGGGCCCACAATCAACTTACAACAATCACACAGTGAAACTGCTTGCTTCCTTACCATTCATTCATCTCTCTTGTGTAAGCTCCCACCCATCAAAACTGGAGTCAAGTCCAGCCTCCACACTCCCAGGGCAGAGGTCTACAGAATTTGTTTCCTCCACTAGCTACCATCAGCCAAGGCACAACTGTTGATATCTTACCAGGGGTTTTTGTGCCACTAAGGTGGAGTTCCCTGCAGGACAGACACTGTGTGGGAAGAGGCAGCAGGGAAGGGACAAAAGAAGATACAGTTTCATCTTTTTGCATGAGGTAGGGGCAAAACTGAGTCTCAGCTCTGCGCACAGGGTGCATGAGCTTGCCCCCTGTCTGTCACTGGGGATAACATCTTTTTTTTTTTTTTTAAGATTTATTTATTTGTTCATACAAGAACTGGGGTACAGGCCAGAGTTGCAGGGGGTGAGAGGATTCACCAGAGACAGACTGGGGAACAGAACAGGCAGATCTACTGAAATACACTGCTGAGGGGAACAGTGGGCAGGTCAGGAGAGGTCTGCTGTGCCATATGGGTAGCTCTCTGGCTAGGGATTGAACTCGTGCTGCTGTGGCTGCAGCGAACATCACAGATTGCATCTTAACCGCTTGTGCCACCAGGGAGGCCCCTGGGGATAACATCTTTTTCACATGGCTGCTGTGAGCATTAAATTAGAAGGACATGGAAATTCATGGCAGGAAATAGTTGAACAGAGCTTGCTCTGCTCCCTGGGACTTTGTATTTGTATACTACTCCGGGTTCTCAGAGAACATCAAGCATTTCTTCACCATCCTTTTTATTTACTGCCCAACATAATGCTGTATCTAATAGAGTGATGGCAACTCATAATGAAAATTAATATGACATGAAAAGTGAATGTTGGGATTGTAATACAGGTTTTAAAATAATTCGATAATGGTGAGTTGAAAATAATCAAATAGATAAGAAAATAGATCCTCTCTTACCTCGTCACTAGAGAAACTGAAGCTATCTTTCAACACTTCGGGATTAAAAAATTTGTAAAGAAGGGTGTTTAGACACCGCTGGTCCCAGCAGTCGGTGACCCAGCCACCGTAGATCACCTCCCCAAACAGGTAGCGCAGCGTCTTCCAAGGCACCGTGGGGTGTGTGCTCAGCGTATTTCCCAGCAGCTTGATGGCGACCTTTAGGAAACACACTCATTTTTATTTCATTGTGTTTGTAATTGACATTGATGTTTTAACATAAAATCAACAACTCTCAAATGGCTCTTTAAAAATAGATGGACATAGCAGGAGGAATAAAAATATTAGGATACACATTTCTAACCATTAATTCTTCATTAGTTGTTGATCCAACATGTAACTTCTTAATTATTATTTCAAATAGACAAAACGAGTATGTGGTGCTGAACTCAAAATGTACAAAAGGATAAACAAGGGCAAGTACATTCTCACCTAAGCATCCTCCAGCCAGCAGATCCCTACCCCGGAGGCCACTCCTGTGAGCAATTTCTTGGGCACCCTTCCCAGACAAGGGATGTGACTATATGCACACAGATGGATTTTACCACTGTCTGCTCCTCTCTTCCCTCTGGCACTCACCAATCTCTCATCTCTCTTGTCCTCCCTACTTTTCATCTTCTTTATTTTCCTGTCTTCCTTTCCTCCACAAATGCAAATTTTATCAATTTTGAAATCTCTCTATTAGGGTTCTCATGAAAACTGCATTGAGGAGTCTCCTTGGTGGAGCCAGGTTTAAGTCACAGTGCTATTAAGTTATTGCTAGCCACTGCAGCACGAGTTCAATCCCCAGCCAGGGAGCTACCCACATGGCACAGCAGACCTCTCCTGTCTTGCCCACTGCTCCCCTCAGCAGTGTATTTCAGTCAATCTGCCTGTTCTGTTCCCTACTCTGTGTCTAGTGAATTCTCTCATCCCCCACACCTCTGGCCTGTACCCCAGTTCTTTTTAAATAAATGAAATTTAAAAATAAAAGAATTGCTTGTTGAATAATATTCCATTGTGTATATATGCCACATCTTCTTGATCCAGTTATCTATTTTTGGGCATTTGGGTTGCTTCCAGGTTTTACCTATTGTAAATAGTGCTGCCCATTCACAGCAACGTGGATGGAACCAGAAGGAAAAAGAAAAATATTGGATGGTTTCACTTATAGCAGGAATATAGGAGACCCAAATAAGACATCAGTGTAAAAAAATTATAACAGTACAAAACACAACAAAGCAAAAATGGACAATTATAAACCAGAGACATCTTGCAGGGGAGGAGAAGGGAGAGGGATGAGAGGGAGGGATGGAAGAGCACAGGGGACTGAGGTGATGGTGCACAGGTGCCTTGGGGAAGGAAACTCTATGGGGACTACACCTGAGGGGGTGGGGGAAGCAATTATTGTTCAAAAATGAACAATGGTGTAAAAATTAAAAATAAAATTAAAAAAATATATAAAATAAAATTCAAAAAAAGAATTGCATTGAATTTGACTAGCAAATTTTGTAGAATTGATACTTTATACTGTGGGAAATCTCCCCATTCAAGAGCATCTGATATATTTATTTAGAGAAGTCAGGATTTTTTAAATATTATTTTATTTTATACAATTCTTACATCATTTTTCATTTTTGCACACAGTCAGGATTTTAAAAAAAGGAAACAGACTACCTCCCCTATTGACTTACAGCTTGGGTAAGTTCCTTAGTGTTCTGTGCCTTTATTTCCTTATCTTAAAATGAAGATAATTACAACATAAGGTTGTTGTGAAAAATAAGTAATTCGTATAAGTAATTGGAAAATTTTAAGTTTTCCACAAAAGTTCTTTTTCCTCTACTAATTTACAAGAACACATACATTTCTTGTTACATTTGTTCCTGAAAATTTAAATTTTATCATTATTGTAAATATGCTTTGTTTTCTCTCCTTCCATTTCTAAGTGTTTATTGAAAGAAGTCATTGGTTTCTATAAGTTCATATTTTATCCGGCTACTTTTATAAATTCTCTAATTAATCGTAGTAATTAAAACAACTTTCTAGATACAAGATTACATCATCGACAAGTTTCTCTCTTCTTATCCTATCTTTTATCACATTGTATAGAGATGTACTAGGTTCCTGTTTGTATCTTACTGTCACTTACTTTACTTACTGTTATGTCTGCTTTCAAGATTCTACACTTACCTCCAAGTCTGAGAAGCTAAACTCATAAGCAATATTCCAGCCCCACGTGCCATAATGTTTTCTTTCGTTGATCAGAGCATTAAAAAAACACAAGCTGAATAAAAGTTTTTTCCACCATGGTCCACAGTTAGGTTTTTCGAATATCTCTTCCGATACTACTGTACTCCCATTATGCCCAAACGTCTGCAGCAAATTGTTTTTCAATCTCTGAGGATTTTCCACTGCGATCTTTTAAACAAATTGTGAATAAAAATCAGCTGTGAGCACAGAGGCAGGCACCGAGACTAGAGGGGTCTCTGCATAGCACTGACAAAAGCATTAGCTGAGGATGTAAGCATTTTTTTTAAAAAATTTATCAATTTTTATACAAGAACCAGGGTACAAGCCAGATGCGCAGGACGGTGAAAGGATTCACCAGAGACAGAGCGGGGAACAGAACAGGCAGACTGACGAAATACACTGCTGAGGGGAGCAGCAGGCAAGACAGGAGAGGTCTGCTAGCCATGTGGGACCCTCACAGGCCGGTGGGGATCGAACCGGCGCTACAGAGGCTGCTCGCAGCTTCACAGCGCGGTGTTCAACTGCCTGCACCACCAGGGGAGGCCCACAAGATGTAAGCATTTTTAAGACTCAGTGGCAAATCAAAAATCTTGTGTTAGTCTTCCTTTGTTTGAAAACTTCTGTGAAAGGAGTGTACCAGATTTCTTTTGTTCCAAGTCATATATTAAAATGAGAATAACATTGTCATTAAAAGCACTTTGATTCCCTCTAAGTATAGAGTTGTGAAAACACAAAATTTTAGGAAGTCTGACAGTGAGAGTTACTGTAGTCTAAACTGAATTAGTTGTGGGTGAAACAGAGCCAGACCACGTGGCCTCAGCGAGGCAGCTGATACAGAAAGTGTCAAGTCACAGGAAACAGAGGACTACGGAATCAATGGAAGTATTAGTCATCACATATTAATGAGAGTAGTAATTAAAAATCCTTTGGTTGCCTTCTTAAATGGAATAGTTCAAGTGAGGAGGGACTGAAGGTTAAGTAGAGGAAAGAATTCACTGGCAGGCATTTTTAAAAGTTTGGTTGTTGAGTCTGAAACTATGAAGTGTAAGAAATATTATTTACTTGAATAATGACATATACATACATGAGTACATTCAATATATAAAAATTGGGTGTATATGACCTATATGTATTGTATGTATATATGTATGTGTGGAGACATACATGTGATACTTGATTCTGTGTGTGTATGTGTGTGTTTGTGCATGAACATGAGATTTCAGGATCAGTAACAGTAAATGTGTTTGGGTCAATATACAGTATCAACTGGGAGGAGCAGGGGAAAGCTCATTTCTTTGTTTCCTAAGAGTGAAGTTGAATTATTCTCAGGCTGGGGAAGGACCCTGTTGGGAAACCGCCCTATCCACCTGACTACCTCTATCTCACCTGCTTCTGTCGATGCTGGAAGTGTGTATGTGCTCATGTGTCTGGGCACAGCCATCTGTCTGTGCCATGGTCAGTGTTCTTTTCTATTAGGGTTCCATTTTTTGGTCAACTGGACATTTGTTTAACAGAAGTGACCAAGTCTTAGTGTTTATTCAGACTCAATGAAGGATATAAGTAGAAGTCATAGATAATAGTGAATGAGGACTTTGCAGTTAATAATTTCAACCTTCCCCAATGCACCAGTGCACCATCACCTTGGTCCCCTGTGCTCCTCCCTCCCTCCCTCTGATCCCTCTCCCACCTCCTCCCCTGCAGGATGTCTCTGATTTATAATTGTCTGTTTTTGCTTTGTTCTATTTTGTACTGGTATTATTTTTTTTTTACACTGAAGTCTTATTTGGTTCCCCTATATTCCTGCTATAATTGAAACCATCCGATATTTTTCTTTTTCCGACGCACTGGTACATTGGTGAAGGAAACTCTATGGGGACTAACCTGAGGGTGTGGAGAAGCAAATATGGTTTAAAAATGAACAATGATGTAAAAAAATTAAAAAAAATTAATATAAAAAAAAGCTAGTGGAGGGGCCTCCCCAGTGGCGCAGCGGTTGGGCGCTGGGTTGCGAGGCTACCCTCAGCCTCTGCAGCGCCTGTTCAATCCCTGGCCTCTGGGCGAGGGTCCCATACAGTGCGCAGACCTCTCCTGCCGCCCGCTGCTCCCCTCAGCAGTGTACTTCGTCAGTCTGCCTGTTCTACTCCCTGCTCTGGCTCTGGTGAATTCTCGCACCCTCCCGTGCTTCTAACTGTACCTGGTGCTTGTATAAATAAATAAATCTTAAAAAAAAAAAAAGCTGGTGGAGCAACCAAAAAAAAATAATAATTTCAACCTGCTCTTTAAACCCCTTCTAGAGAACTAGTGAACTATAAAATGGTTAGAGCGAGCAGAGATAGGAAAAATAAGAAGCAAGGGGCAACACAAGTGCACAAATTCTATATTCTGGTTTAGAACAGTTGGAAGACCAAGCATCCTTGTAGGAGAAAAAAAATATTTAATAAAGCAGGGATCTTGTCTACTGCTTTAGTATCCTTCCTGGTCCATATATAGGGCTGAGCAAAGAAATTTAGCATACTAGAGCAGAAATTTAGCATTTTCTTCTTAATTCAGAATGATGAATGCAAGATGATTTATATTCCTTGTTCATCAATATTAAACCTGTTACATTTTTTCATTTAATAAAATTTTATTGATAATGAAATTGAGAGATTTTATCAATTTACAATTGATTTATAGACTCTATAAGTTTGGGGGCACATCTTCACTTCTACACATGTACAAGCTACACCTCAACAATCACCAAAGTTCCAGTGCTCTTCCTACTATCGAGATGACACCTCTAACATTCCTTTCCACCCCACTTCCCCCTTTTGGTAATGTCTATTACCTATATGTCTCACAGAGGCTAAGAGATATTTTTGTTGTGACAAATTTGTCATACTTTGTCCTTACCTTTAAACTCTTTTGAAGAATAGGAACTGGGAAAGAACGGTCTGATTTTGAGCTTAACCATAGTCTAAATTTAGGGTCGATAGTGACAGTTGGACTATTAAATCTGCAAAACAAAATATTCATCAATATTTTAATGTGAAAAATTAAAAACAACATTTCCTAAGAATCATAATACTTTAATGTTTGAAGTGACCTTAGAAATCACTTAAATAGGGCCTCCCTGGTGGCACAAGGGGTTAAGTACCACACATGAAGCCATTCAAACACTCTGTAGCACACATTCGATCCCCAACCAGCCAGCAAGCAACCCATGTGGCACAGCAGACCTCTCCTGTCTCGCCCGCTGCTCCCCTCAGCAGTGTATTTCAGTCAGTCTGCCTGTTCTGTTCCCCGCTCTGTCTCTGGTGGATCCTCTCACCACCCGCATCTCTGGAGTATACCCCAGCTCTTGTATGCATAAATAAATGAATCTTTTTTTAAAAAAAAAGAAATCACTTAAATAATCAAAGGTCTTATTTAGACTACTCTGATTATCTCCCGACCACTTTTGTGTTGCACAAGGATTAGCACAAAAACCCAATAATTTTTATTTTATAAAAGCATTTTTGACCCCTCAAGTAGAAAAGTTTATGTACTCATTGCAAAGAACATAGAAAAAAATGAAAAGAGCAAAATGAAGAGTTCCCCTGGCTTTATCTATGTAAAGTGAATATCAAAATAATGAGGATAGTAACAGATTTCAACTTATTAAATAAAATAGAAATCCATGAGCCCATGCAGATATAAACAAGTAATAAACAAGACAGAAAGAAAAGTTCTTTCTTCTAATAGAACATTATTTACAAATATAGCAGAATTATGCAGTTAGAAAGCCACAATTTAGCAAATAATATAAGAATAACTCAGTCAAAAAGTATCCATGGATATTGAAAGTAATGGGTGAAAATTTGTCATGGGTACATGTTTTGAAAGTCAAGTGTCATTTTAATGAAATCATTAGGTATCATTTTGATGAAATGGTCAAAGTTACTATCATGAATAACAGAACAGACTGACATGGTATGTTTCGTGATAAATGTATTAAGGAGACAGCACCCCTGCTGTGGTATTCCTGCCAAGACTGCATAAACTTGATCCAGCCATGAGAAAAGATGGGCATTAGAAAACAACTGGCTTGTGCTTCTCAAAAAAACTTCAAACTTATGAAAGACAAAGACTGACTAACTCTTCTAGAATAAAAGATATTTAAGAGACATTACAGCTGAATGCAAAGAGAAATCCTGACTTAGAACTTTTTTTCTTTTTTCTTTTCTTTATTGTTTTTTTGTTTTTTTTTGCAGTAAAAGATATTATTGGCACAATAGGCTACATAGGACTAAATTGGGTTGCTTATATAATCACTAAATACACTGAAGTATTTAAGGATCAAGTAGCATCATGTTTGCAGTTTACTTTCAAATGATTCAGAAAAAAAATTACCTACATATGAAAGAAATGATAAGACCAATGCTAACAATGGGGAAGTAGAAATAAAAGTTTCAGAGGAATTTTTGAACTCTTCTAGCAACTTTTCTGTATATCTGAAGTTATTATTTTAAAATTTACAAAACCAAAACAACAAAAGCAAAATAACAGCAGACAGAAAATTAAAAACAAAAATAATCTGCAAACTCAGTAAGAAGTTATAGTTTCCTCCACTTTCTCTCTCCCTCCGCATCTTTCTTTTTTCCTCTCATTTTTAAAATGAATATTTTAATTGTGAATATTTTCTTTTTTTTCTGAATTTAAGAAATTTATTAAAAATCCACATTTTTCTCTCCTACTGTGGGTTTCTAGAGTGCTAGTCTTAAATATTAAAATCTTGATTTGGTAAAGAAATATGAATTTCTTTTTAGTTACATTGCAATTATATAAGAATTTTTTGTTTATTATTAATTACTGTTAGTAAAACTTTGAAACTGTTTTAAAAGTCATTTCTCTAATTTCTTTTTTTAAAACCAACCATCACTATCTATTATTCTATTGTTTCTCTCTATGTAAATACACTTTTGAAGAGTGATACAATATCTGTCTGGTCCATACTATGTCCTTAGTTTCTAGAATGATTCTTGGCAAATAATAGGTTCTCTATAAATACTTTTAGAGTGCATATGAATAAGAGACCTGGTAGAAACTATTGTATCATCCTTCTAAAATTTATATCCATTGAAATCACATAACTAAGTAGTCTTCTTCTGATGATGAAATAAATGTGAAAAAGAAAAATTATATATTTAATATAACATATTTAGTTTAATCTGCTAAAATATGAACAGAGAATGGAATAATTAGCAAAGATTTTAGAAATTTAAGTTAGGCAATTGTGTTTTGCTTTTATAATTTCCTTGAGCATGTTTACAACAAAAATAATAGCATGAAAATTGCACAATACTTTATGTGCACTACTGTCCCTATAAAGTAAAGAAGACAGAAAGGCAAGGTTGAGGGAGAAAGTATAGGGTGTAAAGGACTGAAACATTACTATTTCAACACATGGAGAACTCTTAACTCAAAGTTATAGCAACCAACTTCTTCATACTTTCACTGCAAACAAACAAGCAAAACAATATTTGTGATATGGAAATTTCTGCTTGAATAAGTGCTTTGGACCATACAGCCTTTCAGTGAATGTGTTGAGCTACATAAAGTCAGAATAAACTCAAGATAAGCCATAAAATAAATCATCACTGAAAGGCTAGTTATGAGTTTTTGCATTCTACTGTTTGGAATCTTATAATATGACTATCAAAAACCAGGTTATAGGGGAGCCTCCCCAATGATGCAGAGGGTTGAGTGCAGCACTGTGAAGCTGTCCGCAGCCTCTGCAGTGCAGGTTCGATTCCCAGCCAGCCAGGGAGATAACCACATGGCATGGCAGTCCTCTCCTGACTCACCCGCTGCTCCCCTCAGCAGTGTATTTCGGTCAATCTGCCTATTCTGCTCCCTGCTCTGTCTCTGGTGAATTCTCTCACCCTCCCACGCCTCTGGCCTGTACCCCAGTTCTTGTATAAATAAAAATAAATAAAAAAAACACAGGTACATATATACCATGGAATATTACTCAGCATTCAAAAAAGATAAACACATGCAATTTGCAGCAACATGGATGACGCTGGAAGGGATCATGCTCAGTGAAATAAGCCAAAAAGAAAAAGAAAAATACCGGATGGTCTCACTCATAGCAGGGATCTAGAAAACTTAAATTAGGGACCAGGAAAATGAATAACTATAAGAAAGTGAAAATCAAAATCAACAAAAACTATGAACCAGAGACACTTTTTGGGGGTGGGGGGCGGGAGGGGAGGGATTGGGGTCAGAATGGGGGGATTGCAATTGTATGGGGAATATAAAAATAAAATTTATTAATTAAAAAAAAATTAAAGAAAATATTTGATTAAAATATTAAAGAAAATCCGAATAAATGGACAGTTATATCATGATCGTGGGTTAGAAGTCACAATATTATTAAGGTTAATAGTCATCTAAATGTGATCTGTAAATTCAACACAATTCCAGTGAAAATCTTGACTTTTTTTAGAAATTCTAAAATGTATAGGAAACACGAAAAGACCTAGAATAGCTAAAACAATCTTGAAAATGAAAACAAAGCTAGAATACACATGCTATCTTATCATGATTTTGTTTAAACCTGTAGTAATAAGACAGCGTGGTAATGATGAAAGAGAAATAGACCCACACTTATGGTCAGTTGATTTGTGACATAAGAACCAGAGTAATTCAATAGGAAGAGTAAAAAAAAAAAAAAAACACAGGTTATAGATCTATACATCTGTATGTGTGTGTAGGTATATAAGTATATTTATTGAAAATGAAAATCTGATGTGAGAAAGTGATAAAACATGTGGAAAGTAAAAACTAAAGAGACCTCTGTTCTAACAAAAGCTTATTTACTTAGTGTAGTTTTCAAATTCTTGGAGAAATGGAAACCCAAGGAAGAAATGGAAACCCAAGTTTCCTCTGAGTGTCCCAACACATTATCTTATCATTGTTGAAGCACAGTATATCTTGCCATTTCCAGTTTTACCTCCCTGTTTATAATTAATATGATTACTTAGAAATAAACATAAAACTCTCACGATTCCACAATAGCACAAAGCCTCATCATAAATGATGCTGCAAGGTGGCAGTTCTGGAGGAAGACCCACTGTTCTGTCTCTCCTTGGGCCTTTGTGATGAGGTCTTCTGCTTTAGCTGCCTGGACATCACCAAAAGAAATCACTCTGACATGTTTCGTTGTTCCTTTTAACTCTTGTGCAAATTTCAGGAGAATATTTGTGATATCAATCTCTGTATAACAACATGGGAAGTTATATGTAGTTGTAAATTCACTTACATAGTAGAAACATTACACTTTTTAAAATTTTACCCAGAGTTCACATTTTGGCTCTGCCAGTTACTGGCGAGATGGCCTAGGATAACACAGGAATGATAACATCTCCCCACAGTGGCAACTGCTGGTTACCTTCCCCACAATCTGCTCCCTCCTCTGCAGCTAGCTGAGCTGTGACACTACTCAACATGGCTGTGAGTCCAGCTAAAATAGATCATTTTTAGCTTCTCTTCCAACTACTCATGGGCATCTAAGTTTTGAACAAGGTTTTTGTCCAATAGAATTAATTTTGAAAATGGTGAATTGTAAAGACCTACTTGATTTGGAGATGATAAAATACATTTCGCCTAGGAGAAAATATTTTGTTTTGACTTTACAGAACAAAAACAAAAAAGACATTTGCAGTTTTGAGGAATACAGCATTGGATAGTAAGGTCAATTTCTGATTGGTTGTAACATTTTTTTCTCATTAGTCAACATTCATCAAACAATTAATAAATGCAAGGGAAAAAGTCAACTTTCATATCAATGATAGATGTTCAGGCAGTATTTTCTGCCCAGAAAATTAATTTCCATATTTGTGAATCTTAGAAATCATATTCCTCTTTGTTAGCTCATATTTTTTAGAATGGTTCACTCTTAATATAGTTTAATGTTTTTAATAGGCCCCTTTCCCAAAATATTTAAAAATAAAATAGGAAAATATTTTAAACATAGAATAACTGGACACAGAACCTATTTTTCTACATCTTTTGATGAATATTGTTTATCATCTTCACTATTCAAAAACAGCTTACCAGGGGAATGAATAAGTATCAGTGGAGTTTTGGCACTAGATTCCTTATATACTTCATTCAAATTAGTTCCACTTGTATGAAGATAATGACTTCCCATTTTTTCAGTTATAAACTTTCTCACTGAATTCTCTAAACATTCTGGTCTAAGAATTTTTATCTAAAGAAGAAAATTTAAAGATTAATTTTCAAAACCACTCAAGGGAATATTCCCTATGGTAAAATGAGACAAAATGAACAAGTATTTATTATTTAGATTGCCAGAGCTTGAAGGTGCTCCTGTGTTGGGAAGTTTAATGGGAGCAAGTCTATGTGTGAGAGCAAATGGCCACCACTGCTCCTGAGCCTCGAAAGCCCTTTCCAGACCTGGGGCTACCTTGTTCTTCTTTCTCTCTGACACTGACCAAGATCTCTTTTTGAACCTAACTTATGGTCCCTGATTCTGCAAAAAGAGACCGTTTCTTGATTTTATTCCTGCTCTTACCTAGAGAAAGAAAAGCACATTCATGTTGAGGATATGAAAATCCAGAGTAGCACGAGTGGGAGAATACTCACTGTCCCATTAAGACATTAAAATGAAGAGAGCACAATATTTACATGTTTGTGATAACTTAATACAGATCTAAGAACTCTACAGGGACTGAAAGATTTTGAACAGTATACAAATATTAAGTTCAGGTGCTACTGGAAATCACAGTAAATTTTAGAAGAAAGAAATTTTCCATGGAAACTGCTTTATGCAAGGCATTACATGCTATTTCTGGACAGAATGTCAGGAGTTCTGCCCTGAGACTTTTCACCATCACAGACACCATCATTAAGCCCAAACTGTATGTGTCTGTGCATCACCAACCTGCCAGTGAGATGCTGAAGCAATTGAGAAAAAGAGGAGTTAGGCAAAATATCACCTTTACAGATAATAAGGTCAAGGTGTCAGATGTGGTTTAGGTGTGTGTGCTTCCTGATGCCAAACCCCAGAATGAGATAGATTTACCTGTCACAACCAGTGCTAGGCAGCTATTGGCTTCTTCCTAAGTGGCCAGAACCTGTTTTTATAAAATCTATGGCAGTGAGAAGTATCCTCATAAGGAGCAGAAAATGTGATTTTTGCAGTAAAGCAGATCCCAAAAAGGGACAAAGGAGAAAGGGCTTAGCCATGCACTCTGAATTCATCTTTCAAATTTCCCTGTTTTGTAAGACCTTTGTCCTCTCAGGGAGGAGTGAATGAGGGTGGAGGGAAGGAGGGAAGGTACCAGAAATATTATTCTAATTGGACTTGCCCCAATTAGAGGAACATTAAGATGGATTATAAGCACTTCCCTCTGCCATTAATGTCAATTTGAAACATAGATATCTCTTGTATATATAATTTTAGATCTGAAGGTTTAAATTAGTAATAAAATGCTCAAAACAGTCATAATGTCAGTATTTTCTCATAGCACATCTTACCAAAATAAGTCTTTGAAATGGAGTAAGGTTCTCCCAGGGAAAAGTTACAGGACTCTGAATTTCTTCATCTTCATTAACTACATATAATTTAGAGGGAAAGCATGAGATTAATAATCAAATACCTTGGTTCATTAAAAGTTAGCACAATGAAAATATTTTTTATAAAAATTTTAAAAGCATGGCTAACTTATTTTAAAGGGAGCTTTATTTCTATAGGATTTTAGTATCAATAACTATCTTTTAACTCACAAAAGAACTAGTCATTATTAGGTATTTAAGTTTCAACATGGTAAAGTGGTTGATGAATACTGTAGGATGCTGGACATCTGAAGGAAATAAAAAGACAAGCAAAGGGCAGAGCCAGCATGTTATAACTTGCTCCTGCATATGTGATGCTTTTCTGATGAACTGTAGAGATTTCTACTGATAATCTAGCTACGATAGATAACAAGAAATAAGAAACAAATGGAAATGCAAAGATTCTCAAATCTTTTTAAAATTGAATAATATGTAATATTATATATGTTACATTAATAACATAAAGATAGACATGTGTATATAGTACCCCTCTAACCACTGCAATCGAGTCCTAATGGCTCACACACTCATGCAAGGTAGGAAGCCTTCTAGACTTCATGTCCATCTATCCCAGATAATAGTTATAATTTCTACCTACCTCTACCTTATAGTCTATGGCATTTCCCCAATGTCTAACTTCAAGTACAACTTAGATGACAGAAGAGGTTATTTTAGTATGTTTAAAATAGGATTGACAATCTTTAAAAAAAGCTCACAATATGTGAAAATCTACTTACAAATTGATAAACTGGTATCACTTGTAAAGTAAAAAGATCTTCACTTTACAAAAAGGTCCAGAAAGAATTGCTTTAAATAAAAGATATTGACTCATAGTATAATAAGTAATGAACCCAGGATAGATTAGTGATGCATGTAAGAAAACAAAACAGTAATATTCCAGACTGACTACGCTAAGAGAGGAGAGCTTCTCAATCAGAATAGCAAATCAAGAAAGCATAAAAGAAAAAAAAAAGACATGATTTACTGGACAAATATTTAAACATTTGTATGGTACAGATACAATGAACAAATCCAACAAACCTTGACAGATTCTGAAAAAATATTTGAATGAACAGTGAATATATTTAACAACACAGAAAGAAATTACCTGTTAAGCTGATGGAGTTTTTACAAACGGACAAAAATGAAATAAATTATCCTGCAGAAAAATGAGCAATGTACATGAACAACTAGTTCAAATGCTCAACAAACATCTGAAAAGGTACTTAAACTGGCTAGTAATCATGGAAATTCAAACTAAAAGTAACTTTAAACTTTTTAGATTGGCAAAAGTTAAAAAATAATCAATACTGCTCACTGGGGAAAAAAAGGGCACTCATGTATTGGCAGAAGTAGCAATTATGATTTTTAAAGAAAACCAACCTAGTAGCAATTTTTAACATAAAAGTACACTTTTGATCCAGCAATACCACTTCTTTCTATCCCATAAGGAATACATATAAGGATGTTTTATGTTATTGCATAACATACTTGCATATTGTAGCAAAAAGTCTAGAAGCAAAGTGGAGAAAAAAGTGGAAGGAAACATGTGAGAAGGGTGATGTGACTAGATGAAGCAGGGAAAAATAAGGAGTTTGAAGTGCAAAAACAGGGCCTCCCTGGTGGCACAAGGGGTTAAGCACCACACGGTGAAGCAATCCGCAGCCTCTGCAGCACGAGTTCGATCCCTGGCCGGCCAGGGAGCAACCCACATGGCGCAGCAGACCTCTCCTGTCTCGCCTGCTGCTCCCCTCAACAGTGTACATCTGTCAATCTGCCCCTTTTGTTCCCCACTCTGTCTCTGGTGACTCCTCTCACACCCTGCATCTCTGGCCTGTATCCCAGCTCTTGTATGCATAAATAAAAATCTTTAAAAAAAATAAAGTGCAAAAAGATATGCTAAAAATAGCAAAGCATTTAAAGTAAGTTCTATTTCTTATGCAATTCTTAAACACATATCTATTATACAAAGTAATATGTAAACTACTTCTCTGTTATATAAAACACATATCTGTTATATGTGTAGGCTCATTCAGATCTAAGGTTCAAAATAAGTGTGGTGTAATAAAACTTAGGTTGTATATTCATCTATATGAAGGTTTTAACTTCTCATTAGCATTTCTCATCAACAGCAGCGATCTTCATGATAATGTTGCAAAAGTGCTGTGAGGACTATATTAAATAACAGAGATATGTTAACAACATAGTTATGTTCCACCTTTCAATTTTTTCAATGGGAGATGCAATTTATTAACATTTATAAATTGTTAATCTTTGCAAACATATATGGAAGTTAGATGAAAACAATAAATGCTTTCTTACTTTCCTCTGGTGATTTGTCACTTTTTTCCAGTGAAACATTTTCTGAAGAGAAAGGTATGCTGATCAGAGAATATACAGCATTACTGTTACTAAAAGCACTCCATTGCAACACATTTGATACCAGGGATTTGCACAGAAGGGAAAATGTTTCTAGTTCACCACTGACATACTGGCACTGCTTCCACCTGGACTCTGACAGCCACTGTAGATGCTGATACATGCAGACTTCATGCATGCCTAGCAGAAAAGGAGAAAATCACACCAGAGAGATGCAACCTTAACCTTTAGTTACTACACAGTAAATGCTTAATAAATATTTGTTGTGGAGGGGAAAGTCGGATCATATAAAAATTGATTACAAAGAAGGTAACAATTTTTTATATTGGTAAAAACATACAGCATTAAATTTACCATCTTAACTATTTCTAAAAGTATACAGTTCAGAAGTGTCAAGTATATTTATATTGTTGTGAAACAGATCTCCAGAATTTTTTCTGCAAATCTGAAACTCTGTTTAAAAGAAGCTCCTCCCACTCCCAATCCCCTCATAATCACCATTCTATTTCCAGTTTTTATGACATGTAAGTAGAATCAGACAGCATTTATCTTCTTATGACTGACTTATTTATTTATTTTTTTAAAGTTATATTATCTTTATTGCAGTAACAGTGGTTTATAACTTTGTATATAATTTGGAGATATAGTTTCACACCTTTCCAGATGTATGTTACCACATCACACTAACCACCAAAGTACCCACAATCCTCCATAAGAGTGCATTAGGCCTCCTTTCCCTCTGTCTCTGACACTGCCTTCCATAACTCCCTCTCCTACACCTTTCTCCTCCAGTGGCTTCATGACTGACTTATTTAATTTAGCATAATGTCCTCCAGCTTCCTCCATGTATCAAGATTTCCTTCCCTTTTAGGGCTGAATAATATTCCATTTTGCCTATATACTATATTTTGTTTATTCATCCATCAATGGATATTTGAGTTGCTTCCATCTACTGGCCATTGTGAATAGTGCTGCTAAGAATATAGATAGGCAAATAGATCTCCAAAAATATATCTCCAAGACCCTGCTTTCAATTCCTTTATGTGTGTGCGTGTGTGTGTGTAGTGGAACTATATATGTATATGTGTATGTGTGTATGTGTATATAGATGGGGTGGATTGATAGGTCATATTTCTAACTTTTTAAGTAACTTCCATATGGTTTTCTATAGCAGTAGCACCATTTTACAATCTCACTCAACAGTGTACAAGGATCCTAATTCTCCACATCCTTGTCAGCGCTTGTTATTTTCTACTTTTTTAGTAGCCATCCTAATGGATGTGACATGATATCTAATTGTGGTTTTGACTTGCAATTCTGTGACTAGTAATGTTTAACATCTTTTCATGTGGTTGTTGTATTCAAGTCATCTGTCCACTTTTAAAGTGGGATGTTCGATTTTTTATTGTGGAAGTTTAAATAATTTTGAATATGTTTAAAATAGGACTGACAATTTTTAAAAACTATTCTGTATATTTTCTTATCAGATAGATGATGTAAACTATTTTCTACCATTCTACAGACTGTCTTTTCTCTCAGTTGATTGTGTCCTTTAATTCACAAAGTTTTTAATTTTGATGTGGTCCCATTTATCTGTTTTTGCCTTTGTTGCATGTACTTTGGGTGTCATATCCAAGAAATCATTGCAAGTTCAAGTTAAGAAACTTTCCCCTGCTGTTTTCTTTTAGGATTTTATAGGTTTAGGTCTCATATCTAGGTTTTGTATTTTGTAGAAGATGAGGGCCCAATGCTTTTAGCACTTTTCAGGATACATGTTTTTAATGTGTTTGTATGTTTTGTTTTGTTTTTTACTAAATCCCAAACAATTAGTTTTACTTACTATTTAGTCTAGGCTGGGGAATTAGACCTTTACTGTTTATCAATATGCCAGAATACAAGAAGATATTCCATTCTTCATCTGGAAGGGATCCAATTTCATCCTGCATTAGATTTCCCTTAGCATTATTTTGCATGATTGTAGTGCAAAGAAGAAAGGAGAAGCAAAGTTTGTGTTCATTAAATAGAGCTGAAGAGACCACCTGTAAGGAAAATATCACTATTACACTGATCTTGTTAGGTGAAATAAATATGTAAAAATCTTTTTTTTTTTTTTAACAAATGTCTCACCTTAAAAATGTTTCTTGTCAACATGTCTATTGAATTTTTAAGATACCTGTCTAAAAGATTTGTCTTGCTTTCTAATTTAGGCTCTTTTGAGATATTTGTAACTTCATGAACTTTTTTCGGAGATTTTTTCTCCTTTTTCAAACTTTGTTCTTGTTTCAACTTGTCTTTGGAAACTATTGCTAAAACAAAAACTTGATGAAACCAGTCTAGGGAGAACTGGTACATGTAATTGATTTGTGTAAGACCAGCCACTAGAAAGTAGAGCAGGGCTCCTCGAGTAGCAATGGGGAGATATGTACTGCGTGTTTCTTGAATTGCTCTTTCTGCTATTTCTGTTGATTTGATGCGTCTTGAAATTTCATTTGAAGTCATTTTGGATTTTCTTAAATTGTCTGTAATTTCCATGTCATCTTGTATAGCCCCTAAAGGTGAACAAATAAAAAACAAATTGAAATAAAGTCCTTTGGAATATCAAACGGCAGTTTCCTTATTATGTACTACTTTACCTGTACACTTGTGGTGGTTTTGATTTGGAAATAGGCCTTTAAATGAAGATAGATCATGTTTCTTAAAAGTTTGATAATGACAAATGGTCTCCTTCTCATTCTCTCATCTTTTCTCTATATTATTTTTGTGTTTGTGGATTTTATTTCAAAATTAAATTTATTTTTTTTTATTGAGGTGACATTGGTCTACAACACTGTATCTGATTCAGAGGTACAGGATCACACCTCTTCAGATGCATGTTACCACGCCACATCTACCACCAATACACCTATGGTCCTCCTTGTGAATTTTATTTTTATTACAGGCACATTAGTAGTCATTCTATCATTAAAAATATATTTCTAATGTAACCCATTATATACATAGAAAATGAAAATTAAATTTTCAGGAAATAAAAAGCTCACCATTATTTCATGGGATGCATTCTGACACTTTGCATTGTGTTTTGTTTTATGAAACAAAGTTGACAATGACCAATGAAACAGATTTCTGCTACTATTGGTAGGTTGCAACTCACTTTTTGGAAAAAAAAATGCTGCTCTAGGAACACAGATAATAATTTTATCTCTTTCAGATATTTAAGGTAGATTTCCTATTTCCATTATAAACTTCTACTTTATGGAAAAACATTTCTATTTTCCTCAACTGCTTATTTTTAAATAATATGATTTCTGGACACCTTACAACTTTTGAGGCTTACCTCTGGACACACTTCAGTTTGAAAATAGCCCTTTTCAGTTGTGGTATTGAGAACTAAACATGGTTTGATTGCAAGGAGTTCTGGGATTATTATATTGCATGATCTAGATACCATATTCTTAAAGATGCAGATGAAATTTCTAAGTAATGTCTGGACCTAAGCTGTGGCCCACCTTTCTCAGTTCTCATCCTATCACACTATTTTCCATAAGCAGAAGATCATACCAAAGATAAAATATTTCAAAAGTATCCTAAGGATGATCTGTTTATTAAAACTTGGGGAAAAGGAAGAAAAATATGTACAGAATCAAGGACACTTTTTATTTTATTTTTTATTAAAACCACTGTTAGTAAGAGGTTACAATCTTTTAGAAATATTACAGATTTCTAATATGGGGAGCAAGTGGTAGTGAATAAATAGTAACACCATAATAATAGCATAGATCACTCTGATGTGTGTTATCTAAAACAACTTGCTTTTGCCTCATTATGTCTGTCTTTTGTCCAATTCAGACAGAAGTCATAGCAAAAATTGACATTTGTCATATGAATGGTTTATATAATACAAGTGACTGTGCTTCTGAATCTTGGTTTGTTTGTTTTTACCATTTTCACTGATTATAGGGTGTGCAGAAAATATCCTATGACATAATGAGCTACAGAAGAAGTAGGAATTGAGGAACATAAAAATTCAGTGTTTTAGTTTTAGAAATGGGGTAGTTCTGAAAAGATGGCCTGATAGTTTTGGTACCACTTTATAAAATCATCCTTCCCTATAATTTTTATTCTGTCCTTCACAAAGGTAAACAAAAGTCTCCTACTATCACTAAGTATCTTAACTTACCTAGTGCATTCTGCAGTAAATTTAATGTTTTGTCCTCCAGTTCTTCAAGAGTTCTAGAATCAAGGAAAATACTCTCCAATAACTGGAAACGTTGGTTTTCTAAATGAGGGGCTTCATGACTTAATACAGTAGATAACAGTTGATCTTCCAAGCCTTGGAAAGTTACCATAAAGTTGATCATAGTAACAACAGTACAAACTGATAGAGGAAAATGAGGGTTGTCTATTTCTGTAGACATGTATAACCTAAAACAGGAGAAAGGAACCAGTTACTTAAAGGAGGAACAGGGGAAAAAGTGAATCTGATGCATCAAATAATGAAAAAAAATTATCTAAAAATAATTATCTTTGATTTTTATGACTGTAAAAAATACAACCATGGGGGCCTCCCTGGTGGCACAAGGGGTAAAGTCTTAGCACTATGACGCAATAGGCAGCCACTGCAGCACGAGCTCGATCCCCAGCCAGGGAGCTACCCACATGGTGCAGGAGACCTCTCCTGTCTTGCCTGCTGCTCCCCTCAGCAGTGTATTTAAGTCAGTCTGCCTGTTCTGTTCCCCACTCTGTCCCTGGTGAATCCTCTCACCCCCACCACTCCTCTGGCCTGTACTCCAGTTCTTGAATGCTTAAATAAATAAATCTTTAAAAAAATACAAGCATAAATTATGTCCATACTTTATTTGGCTAAGTATACAGAGTAAATAAAAATATTAAATAGTAGGAATTCTGACCTGCCATTAGATCACTGTAAAGACTAGTTTCTACTTTGAGTAAGAAGCCATTGGAGAAATTTGAGAAGAGAAGAGACAGGATCACTCTAGCTATTAACTTGAGAATATGAGGTTGGGGTTTGGTAGCAAGATGGAGGCTGGGAGACTGTTTACAAAGTGGATGATAGAGTGACTTGGAGCAGGGTAGCTCTGCTGGGAGTGGTCAGATTTTGAATCTTGTTTAGCATGCACAGCAACCCAATGAAGCAGGGGTAATTTCTGGTTCCACTTACAAAGGGTGAAGTTAGAGACATCAAAAAGTTCACCATGTCACATGGTCAGAAAGTGACAGAGGGCAGTTTTGATCCCTCTCCCTCTCCATCCCCTGCCGAATGTCTCCAATTTATAGTTTGCCTGCTGTGGAATCAAGCTTAGCCGAGGTTTCACCATTTTGTATATCCTCCACATTGATATGTTAGTACTTGCACAGCCACATTCCGGAGATAGTTTCAGCAGTCACAACCCTCACTCCACTTGGTGACGAAAAAGCAGACCACCCCAGCCGCCAATGAGGGCAGTCCTATCCATAAGTGGGACAGCATATCTAACCGTCCAATCACTTTGAAACTGTAACCACTCGTGCCAAAATGCCTTTGTAGTAGCCAATGAGTAATTGCCAGCTTCTTTCAAAATTTGCACCGCTCGTGATCCTATAACAGACCCCTGCTTCCTCTGTTCGGGGCTCTCGTTATCTGCCACTGCATCGATAGGTGCCGTGGGCCTGGACTCGAGCCCGTAATAAATTCCCTTTTGCATTTGCATCAGCTGTCTTTGGATTCTTGGAGGCTATGCTCGCCAAGTCTGCTGATCTTGGGCACAACACCTGCTAGTTTTGCCTTTTTTTTTTCTAATCCCTTGTATGGTTTCCCTATGTTCCTCCTATAAGTGAAACTTATAAAGGTTTCCCTGCTATCAGAAAGTATCAATAGATTATTCCTATGAAATCTTTTGGAAGCCAAATGATATAAAGAAAAGTAACTGCCAGATCTCAAAGCCTTCACACTCAGATAAAGTTGGCACTCTCCGACCAACAGCAAGGAGTAGGAAAAAAAAAAAAAACTAAACTAAAACAACCAACAAGAAAAAACTATGCATCAAGCAGGACTGTGAGCAGAGAGCAGAAAGGAACTATTTCAGCCACCACACCCTGTGAACTGGAACTGTGGAGAACCATGTAGGAATCACCCTGGAGGTGAGGAAATGGCTCCAGGCACCATTACAGAAAAACAAAGACTCCAAGGAGCCCTACAATTAGCCCAAGGCCAGCCTGTAAGCTTGTGCAGAAAAGCAAATCACTTGAAAAGCATATGCAGATTGCAGCTGCCCAGGTCCCAGCACCTGTGACCTAGGCTTGCAGGGAGACCCAAGGGATTCCTCATTGAGGTGAATGTCCCTCACTGAGTAATCAGAAACCAGGTGCCCAGACACTGGAGCAGGGTACAAAAGGCACCATTTCTGCAGACACTGAACTGGGCTACAGCCCGCGTCCTGGACCTGAGGGTTTTTGGAACTGAGACCCAGGGCACAAAATTCAGGGTGTGGAATCCCCACAACGGTGGGACACAAGGCAGACACAGCACCCCCACACCGTTGAGGCGCTCCACGCCACCTCACTCTGTTCCCCCAGACCCCACAGGGTAAAAAAACAGTTCCCCAAGGACATTATGAAAGATATCTGGTGCCACCTAGAGACCAGAAAAAATTACCAACACCCTATAGTTGGAAATCAGAGATCCCAAAAACACCCTCAGGTGCTGAGAGAGGGTGGGCCATGCAAATGGGGTAAGGAGGGATAAGGCGTGGAGCAAGACCCTATCCTGGAAATGAGAGCTAAGCACGGGATCCGGGGCATGGGACATGCCATAACATCAGGCACTGTTCAGGGTGAAAGCCAGCGTTTTGGATCTGATAGCCCTGGAACTGAGACCTAGAGTGCAGAATTCAGGGCGTGGGATCCATACATCTGTGTGCACAACACTGGGTGAACACGGGGCAGACACAGCACCCATCTTGAATAAGAGCCCCTGTGTTGAGGAGCTCCCCTGAGAAAAAGCACAGGTCAGCAAGTATGGGTCTCTGGCGCCACCTCGTGACCAGAACGAAATCACCAACTAGCATATTCCCTGTTGGAACTGAGTAAATACAGAGGGAGGTAACTGTAGGGACAGAGCCCAGAAACACTGGTAGAGTTTTAGCCAAACAGTGCTGGTCTCAGTCTGGTAAACAGTTTCCAACACCCCTAAAGGAGCACTCCAAAGAGATGCCCGCCAACACCAGTGGCACAAAGCCTCAATGCATGGAATTAGTTAGAAAGCAAACAATAGGGAGAAGAAAAAATATAAATAACCAAGTAAGCAAGCAAGAAGACACACCACAAAAAGAAATACAGGCACCAGTGCTCAACAATGACATGGAAGAACTTCTCTGCTTATCAGATAGAGAATTAATAAGCATCCTGATTTAAAAAGCAGAAAGAAAACGAAAAGGAAAAAAATGAGTTGAGACAAATAATAACTAAACCGAAGAATGAAAGTGAGAACTTAAGAAAAGAAAGAAAAGAAATTCAGGAGATAAAAAGATTACTAGAGGAGATAAAGAACTCTGGGGAAAGCAATGAAAACAGAATCAATGAAATGGAAGAACGGATCAGTACTGTAGAAGATACAGAAATAAAAAGAGCCAAAAGAGAAAAGGAGAGAGAAGTGCAAATGAAGCAGTATGAGGAGACTCTTAGACAATTATCAGACTCCATGAAGAGAGGAAATGTAAGAGTTATAGGCATTCCAAAAGGTGAGGAGAGAGACAAAGGAACTGAGAAATTATTCAAGGAGATAATTGAGGAAAACTTCCCAAGCATGAAAAAGGAGATGAATATAGACAAACAAGAAGCAAGAACTCCCAATTACCATAATGAAAAGAAAACTACAGCATGACAACTAATAACAAAGCTTGCAAGAGTCCAAGACAAGGAAAAAATAATGAAACTGGCAAGGGAGAAGAAACAGATAACATATAAGGGAAAACCAATCAGGTTAACTCTGACTTCTCCGAAGAAACATTACGGCAAGAAGAGAATGGAGTAATATATTGAGCAAACATCAAGACAGCAAATAAATCATGAAAAGAAAACAAGGAACCATCCCACTTCATAGAGATTGAAATCAACACTACTGGAAGAACACTGGAATAATGAGGAGATCAAAGAAGAAATTAAAAAATACTTTGAGTTGAATGACAAGGAGGACACAACTTTCCAGAATGTATGGGATGTAGCAAAAGCATTAATAAGAGGAAAATATATAGCAATATAGGCTCACATCAACAAACAAGAAAGAACTCAAAGAAACAACCTAATTTCACATCTCATAGAACTAGAAAAAGAACAACCAAAAAACCCTAAGGCCAGTAGAAGAAAGGAAATAATAAAAATCAAAGCAGAAATAAATGAATTAGAAATTTAAAAAAAATCCAAAAGATCAATGAAGCCAAAAGTTGGTTCTTTGAAAAAATAAACAAAATAGACAATCCTCTAGCAAGGCTCACAAAGAAAAAACAGGAGAAAACATGTATAAATAGGATTATAAATGAAAGAGGAGAAATCACAACAGACTCAGTAGAAATCAAAAGAATAATCAAGATTACTATGAATACTTATACGCAAACAAATTCAACAACCTAGGAGAGATGGACAAATTCCTAGAATGATATAATCATCCAAAGCTGGACAAAGAAGAAATAGAACAACTAAACAGACCAATTACAAGCAGCAAAACTGAAGCAGTAATCAAAGCACTCCCCAAAAACAAAAGCCCAGGCCCAGACGGCTTCACAAATGAATTCGACCAAATGTTCAGCAGTGAATTAGTGCCTATCCTACACAAACTCTTTCAAAAAATTGAAAAAGAAGGAATACTACCAAATACGTTCTACAAAGCCAACATTTCACTAATACCAAAACCCAACAAAGACAGCACAAAAAAAGAAAATTACAGGCCAATATCCCTAATGAACACTGATGCATAAATCCTCAACAAAATCCTTGCCAACAGAATCCAACAATGCATCCATAAGATAATTCACCATGACCAAGTAGGATTCATGCCAGGGACACAAGGATGGTTCAACATCCAAAAATCAATCAATGTAATCCAACATATCAACAAAAAGAAATATAAAAAGCTTATGATAATATCCCCAATGCTGAGAAAGCATTCGACAAAGTACAACACCCGTTCATGATAAAGGCCCTTGAAATTCTCGGGATACAAGGAACATACCTCGACATCATAAAGGCCAGCTATGACAAGCCCATAGGCAATATCATTCTCAATGGTGAAAAGCTGAAAGCATTCCCATTAAGATCTGGAACAAGACAATGATGTCCACTCTCACCACTGCTTTTCAACATAATACCGGAAGTCCTAGCCAGAGCAATTAGACAAGAGAAAGACATACAAGGAATCCAAATAGGAAAAGAAGAAGTCAAACTATCACTATTTGCAGATGATATGATAATATACATAGAGAACCCCAAACACTCCACAGAAAAACTAATTCAACTCATCAATCAGTTCAATAAAGTGGCAGGATACAAAATCAACATGCAAAAGTCAGTAGCCTTCCTATACACAAACAATAAATCTGAAGAAGAAGAAATCAAGAAAACCACTCCTTTTATTATTGAAACAAAAAAAATCAAATACTTGGGAATAAACCTAACAAAAGAAGTAAAGGACCTATACAAAGAAAACTATAAAACACTGTTAAAAGAAATAGAATAGACACAAAGAAATAGAAAGACATCCCTGCTCATCAATCAGAAGAATTAACATTATCAAAATGACCATCCTACCAAAAGCCATCTACAGATTCAAAGCTATTCCAATTAAAATTTTAATGTCATTCTTCAAAGAAATAGCAAAAATATTGATAAAATTCATATGGATAAAATTCATATGGAGCCACCAAAAAACCCAAATAGCCAAAACCCTCCTGAAAAAAAGAGAAGGGAATGGAGGCATCATGCTCCCAGATTTCAAACTATACTACAAAGCCATAATAATCAAAACTGCATGGTGTAGACCCAGAACAGACACATGGACCAATGGAACCAAATAGAAAATCCAGAAATAAACCCACAGACTTATGGTCAACTAATCCTTGACAAAGGAACAAAGAATATGCACTGGAGCAAAGAAAGTTTGTTCAATAAATGGTGCTGGGAAAACTGGGTCACTACATGCAAAAGAATTGAACTTGACCACTATCTCACACCATGCACAAAAACCAACTCAAAATGGATTAAAGAGCTAGACATAAGACCTGAAACCATAAAACATATAGAAGGAAATATAGGCATAACACTTTATGACATGCACCTCAAAGACATCTTTACCGACCCATCACCCAAAGCAGTGATAGTGAAGGCAAAGATAAACAGCTGGGACTACATCAAATTAAAGAGCTTCTGCACAGCAAAAGAGACAATAACCAAAACACAGAGAAACCCCACCAACTGGGAGAACATTTTTGCACCCAACACTAACGATAAAGGACTGATCACCAAAATCTACAAAGAGCTGATGAGACTCAACGAAAACAAAGAAAATAACAGAGTCAAAAAATGGGCAGAAGATCTATAAAGAAACTTCTCCAAAGAGGAAATACAAATGGCCAACAAGCATATGAAAAAATGTTCAACATCACTTGCAATCAGAGAAATGCAAATCAAAACTACAATGAGATACCATCTCACACCAGTGAGAATGGCACATATTAAAAAAATCTAGCAACAACAAATGTTGGCGAGAATGTGGAGAAAAGGAACTGTCCTGCACTGCTGGTGGGAGTGCAAACTGGTCCAACCACTTGGAAAGCTGTGTGGAGGTTCCTCAACCTACTAAAGATAGAGCTCCCATATGATCCAGCAATTCCACTCCTAGGTATCTACCCAAAGGACACAGAAACATTAATTCCAAAGAGCACCTTCACCCCTATGTTTATAGCAGCACTGTTTACAATAGCTAAGCTTTGGAAACAACCCAAATGCCCAAAAATCAATGACTGGATCAAGAAGATGTGGTACATATGCACAATGGAATATTACTCAGCACTCAAAAAGATAAACATATACAATTTGCAGCAACATGGATGGATCTGGAAGGGATCATGATCAGCGAAATAAGCCAGAAAGAAAAAGAAAAATACCGGATAGTCTCACTCATAGCAGGAATCTAGAAAACCTAAATAAGGGACCAGGAATAAGAATAATTATAAGAAAGAAAAAATCAAAATCAACAAACAACTATGAACCAGAGACACACTATGGGCGGGGTCGGGGAAAGGAGGAGTTGGGGTCAAAATAAGGGGGTGCAATTGTATGGGGAATAAAAAAATAAAATTAAAAAAAGAGAAAGTGACAGAGGGGGGAGTTGGTCATCAAACTCTACCTTCTAAAATAGTTCCCTCTTTATGAAAAAGTGATCAACATCATTTATCATTGGGAAAATGCAAATCAAAATGATGAGATACCACCTCATTCCTGTGAGAATACTCCATATAAATGAAAAGAAAAAACACAAACAGAAACAAGAAATGTTGACTACGGTGTGGGGATAAAGGAAAACATTACACACTGTTGGTGGGAATGCAGACTGATTCAGCCCCTATGGAAAACAATATGGAGGTTCCTCAAATTATTAAAAATAGATCAACCATCTGACCCAGCAATTCCATTCAGTATCTGCCCAATGAATGCAAAAACACTAATTTCAAGAGATATATGCCCACCTATGTTCCTTGCAGCACTATTTAAAGTAGTCACATAATGGAATAGCTCATGTGTCCAACAAGGTAGGAAGGAGTAAATTAAGAAGAAGTGGTATATAGACACAATGGAATACTATTCAGCGATTAAAAAAAAATAAAGATAAGGCTAAACATAAAATTACCACATGACCCATTTGTTTCATTAATAAATCTATACTCTAGAGAAATGAAATATTTGTTCACACAAAAACTTGTACATGAATGTTTATAGCAGCATTTCTAACAAGAATCCAAAAGTGGATACAAAACCCAAAGGTCTGACAGCTGATGAGCAGATGAACAAAAGGTGGTATGTCTATACCATATAATATTATTCAAGAGTGAAAGGACATGAGGTATTGGTACCTTATACAAAATACATGTACCTGAAAAACATTGTGTTAAATGAAAGACAATCAAGAAGGACCACATATTTTGTGAGTCCATTGATATGAATTGTCCCAAAGAAGCAAATCTAAAGCGAGTGCGTGTGCAGAGGAATGGTTCCCAAGGGCTGGGGAGAAAGAAGGTGAAACTGGCACGGTGTGATGGCAGAAGTTTGGGTTTCTCTGTAGGTTGATAAAAATGTTCTAAAACTTGTTGTGACAATGATTACGTAAATGTCTAAATACATTCAAAGGCACTGAATTGCACATTTTAAATGAGTTAACTGCATGGTATGTTCATTACAATACAATAAAGCTTCTACCAAAAATAAGTGAATGAATGAATGTCTGCATCCTCTACAACCTTCTTAAACACACAACTCAAACACAAGGACCATACTGACAATTCAAAAAATGTAACTTCATTAGCATTTCTAGAGCTATTGCTTCAGCATAATGCATTCAATGAGAAAGAATGAGTTAATATGATGTTTTCTAAAGTGTATTTTGAAGAACACTATTTTCTAGAGAAGGTTCTCTAAATAAAGGGATTTTAAGTTTGGATGGGAAGAATGCTGTTTAACTTTGCTATAAACTACTATGGGAAACCAGTGGATTAAAACACTAAGGGAAACCTTTTCTTGAGTGACATTTATTAAATCACTGGAAATATTTGAGAAACATACTTTAGAAAATGTTTTCTTAATAAAGGAAGGAGACCAGGAGAGAGAATTCTAAGGAGTAAGAAGCTGATGAGCAATAACATGTGGTAGTTCTGCCCACAAGAGAGGCCCACTGGCCACACGGCGAGGAGCCAGTCCGTCAGAGCTCTGCAAAGAAGTTAAGTGCCCAGGCAAAGGATGTGAAAATCTTCTCGTTCTCCTGGCTAATTACCAGCTTACCCAGCAATCTTCTGATTATGAGTTGAAGGACAGAATGCACATGACTGATGACTCAAATGTCTTATTTTCTTGAGAATTTTATTTTGTAGTGATTAAACTTGACAATATAATAGTGCTTTGTGAAGTTGCCTGGTGGGAATCAGTTTCCTGGAAGCCCATCACTGTCTAGGGCATGGATATCTGCCTAGACAAAATCTTGATTTCTTTGCTCTAGATATGAAACATAAATTTTGTTTTTGGAAGAAGTAGATGCCCTTCCTGATTAAATTGACAGACCAAATACATCTCCTCTGGATCCAGCAGCCAGATTTCCTGCTTGGTACCTTCCCTGCACTGCTTCTGAAGATTATTCATGGAAACCATAGTTTTCATCAGGGCACCATTTGAAAAATATTGGTTTGAAATGACTTCATAAATAAAAATCTGCTCTCTCTTCTCTATACTGAGAAGTGCTGCTGTTGAGTATGGTGAGTGCTACTGGGAACATGAAAATAGAAAAGAATATTCAAAGTATAATCTCACTTTTTCCTCCAGAGAAGCTTGTCAAGACTGAAATACAGGATGAGGATGATGATGATGATGATTATTATTTGTCTTAAAAAACATAACTCTTTGACATAATTTAACTGTGAGAGACATTACCTAAATTTGGGATTGTATTCAATCTCAGAATCATCAACCCTTATGAAATATTGTCCTCTTTTCTGATAAATATCCTTCTTCAAAATGGCCTTTAAACTTGGAGTTAATGTTTCAGAGAGATTCTGAAAAACACAACAGACATAAACAAAAAATTCACTTTTCAACAAATAAAATAAGATACAGCATTAAAAGGACATAAATACCTGGACACCACATAATACCTGGACACCACAGGAGGAGACAACTAAATATTGAAAACACATTTATTTATTTACTTACTTAAAAATGTCCTTTTACAAAGCTACTTGTCACTTAAAGCTTTTAGTCTTTATGCTCAATGCATGCAATACATGTGCCAGCTGTATGGAATTAAGAAACTAGACCATTTGGTCCAAATACCTGCAAGAGAACACTCCCTCCTGCTTTTATAGCATTTTCAATTTTTTTGATGTAATTACTATCTTTGGTGGAGAGTTCCTGCAGCTTAGATCCTTCCATCTGACGGATCCAATTGTGTGCTTGCTTGTGTGGGTCAATTATCAGTGGCCACTGCAGGGCATTCTTGATCAAGATGGCATTCTCTGTTGAAAACTGACCAAGAGGCAGTCCTTGATGATTCCATTGTTGGATCTGGAATGAAATTATTAATACTTTCACTGTTTCATATAATTCTTCACATCCTAATATCCTACAGGATACTATGGATCCTACAGGATCACTACCTCTAGATCAAGCAATACTTTATATCAAACAATCTCCAAAAGGGCTAGGAAATGAACATTTTTAACACTTGAGATATGACATTTTGAGTCAGGTGAGTAATCACACACTAAATTACAATTTTCTGTTCATCGGTAAATTTAGGATGCCCATCACAACAATGATGTCATGGGAGACAGAAAAGAACTAGAAGATCCTGGGCCTCCCCGGTGGCACAGCAGTTGAGCGCTGGGTTGCGAAGCTGCCCGCAGCCTCTGCAGCGCAGGTTCGATCCCCGGCTGCTCCCCGGCCACCGGAGGAGGGTCCCACATGGCGCGCAGACCTTTCCTGCCGCCCGCTGCTCCCCTCAGCAGTGTACTTCGGTCCTTCTGCCTGCTCTGCTCCCTGCTCTGGCTCTGGTGAATTCTCTCACCTCCCATGCTTCTGACTGTACCCAGTGCATGTATAAACAAAACAAAGAAACAAACAAATAAATAAATAAAATGCCTCTATAAAAAAAAAAAAAAGAACTAGAAGATCCTGTCCCCCAGGATCTTAGGCTAGTGCATGTGTGAAACACATGATGACACAGAAACATGGAGACATAATAATGGCTGCTCAACTGTGCTCCTATGGCCTGCCAAGCACAGTAATAAATGTAGCTAAATTACTGGAATCACCTCCATTTCTCAGAAGAAGGAACTGAGACTAAAAGAGGTTAAGGACTTAGTGATGGTCACACTGCGAGATTGAGAGACAGGCTGAGGGTTTGACTGAGATAGTGACTCCAAAACTTTTTTTTTAATATATTTATTACATTATCCTTCATTTTTGTACAATATATGATTTCCCTGTGATTATACTCATCAAAAGAAGTCGGAAAGAAAAAGAAAAATATTGGATATTGCATGGTTTCACTTAAGAGGAGGAATGTAGAGGAACCAAATAAGGGATCAGGAAAAAAAATAACTATAATAAAGTAAAAATCAAAATCAACAGGCAACTCCAAAACTTTTATCCTCCATGGCCTCTTTGCCACCATGCCTGCCTCGGGCCATCACCAGCATGCTGGGAGAAAAAGCCAGGGCAGCCCGCAGACAGGACCTCTGCGAGAAGCCAAGAGAGGTTTTAGTTTTGAAATGGAAGAAGAGGCTTTTTGCTTAAGCCTGCAAAGAATTGTGTGCTCTCAAATTCAACAACAACAACAAAATAGGAAATATGAAACATGAAGAATCCTGAAAAGAACAAGTATTATTGTAATATTGCCATTCAGATATAATCTGAATGGCAGAGAAGAGCATGAAGGTCATTGTGGTGAGAGAAGTCAACTTTGAAACCAACAGCAAGTTAGCGTTTCTATTTTTGAAAATGATTCACTCACTTAACTTATTAATGTTATTTTATGGTTCTATCCCTTCTCATATTGGTAGAGCATTCCATTTTATGAGTATAACTCGATTTATTCATTCTTTTGTTGAATGCAATTGTATTGTATCATTTGTAGCTATTAGGAAATTCTACAATGAATATTCCTTTATAGTACAATGGTTTTTTTCCTCCCTCTCCAGTTTTATTGAGAAATAATCAACATAAATCACTATATAAGCTTAAGGTGTACAGAATGATGGCCTGATTTTCATAAAATGTGAAATGATTACAATAGGTTTAGTAAACACATCACCTCATAGATACAACAAACAGAAAAGAAAAAAAAAATCTCCTTGTGATGAGAACACTTTCAGTGTGAAATCTTCTAAGAGCAAAATTTTGAGCAGAATTAAGCCAATAATTATTGCAAAATAAGCTTAGTTAATCTAACAGTACTTTTTTTTAAACTTAGAATCTATTTTTTGGTATTCTATATTTAATTTCTTCCCCTTTTTTACTGTGAACATTTTTATGTCTTAGATATGTCCTTCCTAAATAACATTTGGTTTCTGTTTTGTGCCTTGGTTTTATTTTAATGTAATCCTCCTATTTTATCATTATAACTGGATAATTTAGTTCATTCACATTGAAAGTAATCACTAATATATTTGGGTTTAAATTGGTTATTAGTGCTTTAAAATGAGATGTCAGTACTTGCTTTTGAGATTTTGTAGATTGGATGGTCAATTTATTTTTTATTTTTTATTTTTTTACATGATAAGTCCCCAAAGCTTTACTTATGGATACACATATAGCCTTAAATTATTTTATTCCTAAAAATCATGAGACTGGATGAATCAGGACGAAAGTGGTCACCAGGGTCAGAGAAAAGAGGTTCTAGAATTTAGTTGGATTCTCAGTGGGTAAACTAGACCAAAATCACTCTCTGAGGATGAAAAAAAAGGTGTATTTCTTCTTTCATCCTCTCAACATGAGTATAGAAAGAACTTACATAGACAATACCAATGCATAGTTACTAGAACTATGTTTTTGACTATTTCTAATAATATTACCTGCAGGCCAACAAGTTAATCAATTTTACTAATTAAAGGGGTTTCAGGGAAAGAAATTGACTATATTTGTTAGGACAGGGTGGTAGGATTATAATGTGAAAAAGGATATTTTGTGATTTACGCAGAGGATGAGAAGCAGGAGATTTAAGTAATTGAGGTACTGAAACTTAAAAAATATTTAAGGCCTGTATTAAACTTCAGCATTTTTTTTAATAAAAATAATTTCAAGAAAAGATCCAAGCTGAAAAGATGCACATACACACAAAATACAAATCAACAAGTCACTTAACTGGAATATGTTACTACCTCAAGTTTCTGTGCCATGACTTCAATTAAAGAAAAATTGGGAGAAAAAGAAATGTTGTTTTCGGTACAGAGTTTCTCCCATTTCTTCACAATCAACTTGCGAAATTCTTCTGTTAACACTCCACTGTAGACAATGCATGCGGCTGATATGAGGATGTCACCCAAAATTCCTTCCAGTTTCACGTCTATTTGATTGATTATTTCTTGCCATTGAGTCTAAATGTTAAAGTAAAAATAGCTATTCATATTTGTTATAAAACATACTTTGAGACATTATAGATACATATATAGGAGATGAAAATATATTCTTTGTTTACATATAAAGCACTGATGTACATACAGCGTGTAAACAGATGTGTAATAAATCAGCAGTATTATAATCTATAGGAAAAATATCTAAAAGGATACTTTAGGAGGTGGTACAGTTGTATGATCATGAAAAAGGGCTGAAAACACTAATTTAAAGGAAGGGAGTGGGTAGCAGGAGGCTAGAAGACCATAGCTGAAATCAACTTTGTTGTATTCTCTCTTGTAAACTCTGATCACTCCTTCATTTTTCTAAGTTTCAGGCTGTTCTCAAATCTAAAATCAATATTAGACTGAATGACCTCTTATGTTTTCTCTAGCACTAAAATTACAAGGAGGATTTGAATTTGACTATGGGATGTGGAGACATTATAGATATTAATGGTTTCCAAGTTGAACCTATTATTACTATTACTATTAGTGTTTTTGTATTGTTGAATTTAAAATTAAGAATGGAAGTTGTTTAAGAGCAGGCTTTTCTGTAGGGAATATGAGTTGTATTCTTGAATTGTCAATAGTATCATGTATGGTAAGGGTGATGGATAACCATTTCAAATCCTTTGTGAATAATGTAAAATATATCAGTTAACTAAAATATATTATTAATAGTGTATGTTAATAATAATAATATTTATTGAATTTATTTATTGAAAATATTTACGCATTTTTTTATTTATTGACTCTACTTATTGTACACTTTACTTTGAAAATCTCATTTGATGTTTTCAATATCCTGTTAAGTGAAAGCAATTGATTTCAATTTAAGATGAGAAAGTTGAAATTTCAAGAAGTTAAGCACTTGTTCAAATTTACAGTTTCTGAGGGTTATAGCTGAGACCTGAAGTCCTATTCCCTGGCAGATGACCTTCTTCTACAGCTATGTGTATGCTTGATTGGTCAATAAACAAATAAAGCATGTTGAGCAAGAACCCTCTTTTCTGGATACATAAAATCTGGAACAATGTTGATGTCCTACTGTCGTTCAACATATATTTTCACTCTCAAGGACAAATTTTGAGGGCTGTGTTTTCTTTCCCTTTGATTGGTCTGATTTTATAACCTCCTTCTCTCTATACTGTAAGATTCTTTCGTGATATTTATTTAAACAATGGAACTGACCTAAACTGCTTTTGAGAATGATGTTAGATGGTTCTGAGACAGCTGAGGCATGACAAAGCAGAGTTGCTCACCATCACAGAGGGGATTCCCATACAGAAAAGGCAGACGGATCAGAAGAGAAATTATAAGACCAGAAGATTTAGAACAAAATGAAATAATCTCTTTTTTTCCTAAACATATCTCCCTTTCAGTCCCACTGAGCTCCGGCTGTTGCTATGCTAGCAGCAGGTTTGCTGTGGGCCTCGTCAGACCAAAGTATGCTGACGTTTTTAGAACAAAAGAAAATAATTTCTGAACTTTGTAGTCTGTTACTTCAGTTTTAAGACTACTTGACTGGGATTTCCTTATTGTTAGTAAGACTGCCTACTGTTTGCAATAAGAAAAAGGATAATTAGTTTTAGGAGGCATATATCATCATCGTCAATGGAAAGAACATTTAGAGTTTGTGAAGCCGCGGGGAAATTAACGAAGACAATGAAACCAAAGGCAGACGCGCCTTCTCGTCCTCCAGGGTGGTCAGCAACACAGAGGCGCACTGCAAACGCCTGGTGGCCCGTTGCTTCCGATTTGCTAGCTGCTCCGTATCAGTGACAATATCCTTGTAGGCTGCCTGCAAATTTAGCAAGTGCTCTTCAATCTGAAAAATAATTATTTTGTGATTGAGACAAATCTTACACTCATTTTGCCTTAGCTCTTGACCTTTCAATTATGTCCCCTTTACCTTACAGTATGTCACCACAGTTCTTCATGAATGGATGGGTTACATTACCATTGAAAATGTACACTGCAGGAATTTAATGAACAACTCCTTGAAAGCAGAGTTTGCTCTTTAAAATACCATATTCCTACAAGGAGTCCTAAAGCCAGAACCTCAGAGGGAAAAATAACAACAAAAGAGGGCCAAAAAGTTATTAAAAGAATAAATAAATAAAATCAAAGGAAAGACAAACACAATGGCAAATACAGATGATAACCTATCAATATGAACTCTAAATGTAAATGGACTAAACTCTTCAATAAAAAGACACAGAGTTGCAGCCTGGATTAAGAAACAAAACCCAACCTTTTGCTGTCTCCAGGAAACACACTTAGCTACAAAAGATAAATATACACTCAAAGTTAAAGGATGGAAAACAATCCTACAAGCAAATGGACCAAAAAAGAAAGCAGGAACAGCTATACTTATGTCAGATAAAACAGACTTTAAACTCAAAAAGATAAAAAGAGACCCCAACGGTCACTACATTATGACCAAGGGGACAATACTTCAAGAAGAAATAACACTCATTAACATATATTCACCAAACGAAGGAGCACCAAAATATATCAGACAACTACTGTCATGTCTGAAAACAGACATCAGAGAAAACACATACGTAGTGGGAGACTTCAACACACCACTATCAACAACGGATAGATCAACGAGACAAAAAATAAGTAAAGACACTAAAGCTCTAAATAAGGATCTAGAGTTCTTGGGCTTAACAGACATCTAAAGAACACTAATCCCAAAAAAAATGTAGTACACATTTTTCTCAAGCACACACGGATCATTCTCCAGGATCGATCACATACTGGGACACAAGACAAACATATCAGATACACCAAGATTGAAATCATACCAACCATCTTTTCAGACCGTGAAGGCAACAAACTAGAAATAAACCATAAAAAGAAGGCAAGGAACTCTCCTACCTCATGGAGATTGAAAACCACACTTCTGGAAGATCACAGGACTAACAAGGAGATCAAAGAAGAAATTAAAAAATTCTTTCAATTGAATGACAAGGAGGACACCAATTTCCTAAATGTATGGGATGCAGCCAAAGCAGCAATAAGAGGAAAATATATAGCAAAAGAGTCTCACATCAAGAAACAAGAAAGAACTCAAAGAAACAACCTAATCTCGAAGCTCAAAGATCTAGAAAAAGAACAACAAAAAACCCCAAAACCAGTAGAAGAAAAGAAATAATAAAAACCAAAGCACAAATAAATGAAATTGAAACTAAAAAAAACAATCCAAAAGATCAATGAAACCAAGAGCTGGTTCTTGAAAAAAGTCAATAAAATAGACAAACCCCTAGCCAGGCTCACAAAGGAAAAAAGGGAGAAAGCACAAATAAACAGGATCATAAATGAAAGAGGAGAAATCACAACGGGCACAGCAGAAATCAAAAGAATAATCAGTAACTACTATGAACAGTTATATGCAAACAATTTCAACAATCTAGAGGAGATGGACAAATTCATACAACTCTACAATCACCCAAAGCTAGATAAAGAAGAAATAGAACACTTAAACAGACCAATTACAAGCAGCGAAATTGAAATGGTAATCAACAACCTCCCCAAAAACAAAAGCCCAGGACCTGATGGGTTTACAAATGAATTCTACCACACATTCAGAGACGAATTAGTGCCTATCCTTCACAAACTCTTCCAAAAAATTGAGAAGGAAGGGACAATAGCAAACACGTTCTATGAAGCCAACATTACACTAATACCAAAACTGAACAAGGACAACACAAAAAAGAAAAACTATAGGCCAATCTCCCTAATGAACACTGATGCAAAAATCCTCAATAAAATTTTAGCTATCAGAATCCAACAATGTATCCATAAGGTAATTCACCACGACCAAGTAGGATTCATGCCAGGGACATAAAGATGGTTCAACATCCAAAAATCAATCAACGTTATCCAACACATCAACAAAAAGAAATATAAAAACCATATGATAATATCAATAGATACCGAGAAAGCTTTCGACAAAGTGCAACACCCATTCATGATAAAAGCCCTTGAAATTCTTGGGATACAAGGTACATACCTCAACATCATAAAGGCCATATATGACAAGCCAATAGCCAGTATCATTCTCAATGGTGACAAGCTGAAAGCATTTCCATTAAGATCTGGAACAAGACAAGGATGTCCACTCTCACCACTGCTTTTCAATATAATACTGGAAGTCCTAGCCAGAGCAATAAGACAAGAGAAAGACATACAAGGAATCAAATAGAAAAAGAAGAAGTCAAACTATCACTATTTGCAGATGATATGATAATATACATAGAGAACCCCAAAAACTCCACAGAAAAACGAATTCAACTCATCAATCAGTTCAGTAAAGTGGCAGGATACAAAATCAACACGCAAAAGTCAGTAGCCTTCCTATACACAAACAATACATCTGAAGAAGAAGAAATCAAAAAAAAAAAATCCCTTTTATTATCAAAACAAAAAAAAATCAAATACTTGGGAATAAATCCAACAAAAGACCTATACAAAGAAAACTATAAAACACTGTTAAAAGAAATAGAAGAAGACACAAACAAATGGAAAGACTTCCCCTGCTCATGGATTGGAAGAATAAACATTATTAAAATGGCCATCCTACCAAAAGCAATATACAGATTCAATGCTATTCCAACAAAAATTTCAATGTCATTCTTCAAGGAAATACAACAATTATTGATGAAATTCATATGGAATCACCAAAACCCCCGAATAGCCAAAGCTCTCCTGAAAAAAAAAAAAAGAAGGGAATGGAGGCATCACACTCCCAGACTTCAAACTCTACTACAAAGCCATAATCATCAAAACTGCATGGTATTGGAACAAGGACAGACACACAGACCAATGGAATGGAATAGAAAATCCAGAAATAAACCCACAGATTTATGGTCAACTATTCTTTGAAAAGGCAAAGAATATGCATTGGAGCAAAGAAAGTTTGTTCAATAAATGGTGCTGGGAATACTGGGCCATTACATGCAAAAGAATGAAGCTTGACCACTACCTCACACCATACACAAAAATCAACTCAAAATGGATTAAAGAACTAGACATAAGACCTGAAACCATAAAATACATAGAAGGAAATATAGGCGAAACACTATGTGATATGCACATCAAAGACATCTTTACAGACACATCACCCAAAGCAGTGATAGTGAAGGCAAAGATAAACAGCTGGGACTACATCAAATTAAAGAGCTTCTGCACAGCAAAAGAGACAATAACAAAAACGAAGAGAAACCCCACCAACTGGGAGAACATTTTTGCACGCAACACTAATGATAAAGGACTGATCACAAAAATCTACAAAGAGCTGATGAGACTCAACAACAACAAAGAAAATAATCCAGTCAAAAAATGGGCAGAAGAGCTAATAAGAAACTTCTCTGAAGAGGAAATGCAAATGGCCAACAGGCATATGAAAAAATGTTCAACATCACTTGTCATCAGGGAAATGCAAATCAAAACTACCATGAGATACCATCTTATACCAGGGAGAATGGCACATATTAAAAAAACTAGCAACAACAAATGTTGGCAAGGATGTGGAGAAAAAGGAACTTTCCTGCACTGTTGGTGGGAGTGCAAACTGGTCCAACCACTATGGAGAGCTGTGTGGAGATTTCTGGACCTACTAAACATAGAGCTCCCATATGATCCAGCAATTCCACTCCTAGGTATTTACCCAAAGGACACAGAAACATCAATTCCAAAGAGCACCTGCACCCCTATGTTTATAGCAGCACTGTTTACAATAGCTCAGCTTTGGAAACAACCCCAATGCCCAAAAATAGATGACTGGATCAAGAAGATGTGGTACATATACACCATGGAATATTACTCAGCATTCAAAAAAGATAAACACATGCAATTTGCAGCAACATGGATGGCGCTGGAAGGGATCATGCTCAGGGAAATAAGCCAGAAAGAAAAAGAAAAATACCAGATGGTCTCACTCATAGCAGGAATCTAGAAAACTTAAATAAGGGACCAGGAAAATGAATAACTATTAGAAAGTGAAAATCAAATTCAACAAACAACTATGAACCAGAGACACTCTATGGGGGGTGGGGGGCAGGGAGGGGAGGGATTGGTGTCAAAATAAGGGGGAAGAAAAAAAAAAGAAGAAAAAAAAAGAAAAAGAAATAAAATAAAATAAAATACCGCCTTCTGGGCCTTCCCTGTGGTGCAGCAGGTTGAGCGCCGCACTGTGAAGCTGTCCGCAGCCTCTGCAGCGCTGGTTCGATACCGGCTTGCGGGTGAGGGTTCCACATGGCGTTGCAGACCTCTCCTGGCTCACCCACTGCTCCCCTCAGCAGTGTATTTCAGTCAATTCACCTGTTCTGTTCCCTACTCTCTCTCTGGTGAATCCTCTCACCACTCCACCCCCCCCCCCCCGCATCTCTGGCCTTACCCCAGATCTTGTATAAATAAATAAATAAATCTTTATTTAAAAAAAAAAAGGGCACCAGATTATATTTAAAAAAAAAATACCATCTTCCCCAGTAGGCTTTCTTACAGTCTTAGCATTTTGAGGATACATAATTTTCTGATTTATTTTTTACACAGAAAAAAATTATTTCAGCTTTTTACTCTAAGAAAATTATTGAACTCTTCATCCCAGATACACTGACAGTGCAGAGTAACTAATGAGTTTCTGAAATTAGTCAGGTAGGATTGAGTTACTGTTGAATGTATCCCATTTCAGTGGCCACTTTGGTTCAGAAAACAAAACCCCACTTTCTGTTGTCTCTCAGGAGATGCATCTGAGTTCCAAAGGTAAAAGTAAAAAAAAAAAAAAAAAGTAGATTCAAAGCAAAAAAGTTGGAAAACAACTTTATAAATATTTAAAATATTTTTATATATAATATATATATACTTTTATTTACCCATTAACTCCATAGTATACCAACACAAGCTAGTTTTCAGCAGCTACATGGGGTTCAAAAGCAAATGGGGTACAAAAAAAGGCAGAGGAAGAGATGCTTCTATCAGATAAAAAAGACTACCAGATAAGAAAAGTAACAAGAGGAAGAGGTGAACATTAAATGATGAGGGGATCAATATCTTCAAAAGATATAACACTCGGGCCTCCCTGATGGCACAGGGGGTTGAGAGCAGCGCTGTGAAGCTGTCGTCAGCCTCTGCAGCACAGGTTCATTCCCTGGTGGCCAGGGAGATACCCACATGGCGCCCCAGACCTCTCCCACTGTTCCCCTCTGCAGTGTATTTCCATCAGTCTGCCTGTTCTGCTCCCCACTCTGTTGCTGGTGAATCCTCTCACCCCCTCACACCTCTGGCCTGTACCCCCATTCTTGTATGCATAAATAAATAAATCTTTAAAAATAAGATATGACACTCATTGATATATGTGCACCAAACAAAGAACCCTCAAAATATATAAGGCAACTATTATCAAATCTGATACAAGGCACAGGCAGCAACAAAATAGTACAAGACAGGCTTAAGAGACAGTTTCAGGAGACTGAACCCCCCCAAAAGCTGAGAACACAGTGTCATAAGTGCATATGGGACATTCTCTAGGATAGATCACACGCTGGGTCACAAAACAAGTGCTGGTAATTTCATGAAGACTGAAATTACATCAAGTATATTCTCTGGTCAGAACCCACATGGGGAAAGGACACAATAAACTGCAGTAAAGGACTGTGGGTGCCGTGGTGGTGGGTGTGGTGTAACAACATGCGCCTGAGGAGGTGTGAGCCTATGTCTGTGAATCACATACAATGTTTCAAACCAACATTAACACAATAAAAAAATTTTTAATAAGTAAAAAAAAAAAAATTCTTACCAGCTGTAAACCTCTCTGTTTTTCAGTCAACCTCAGTCGATTAATATTTAGGACATTTTGAGCCTCAGCTATTTTGACTTGCTTGGGTCTTGCCAGCTTCAAATACAAAGTCACATCATTTAAGCGTTAAAGTCAAGTTCACTGTTAAGAATGTTCACTGCTAAGAATGTTGCTTATGTTTGAAAGACATTTGTGGATATCAACTCTTTAAAACCTTTCCCAGAATTACGCATACAAATATGCGTACAAAAGGGATACAGTTATTTTAATATGGTGAATAGTAAAACAAAACAACATCATAGTTGATTTAAATAGACTAATTCAACGGGTGCACTGAGTTAACAAAGGCGTTGGCTAACATCGTATGTTTGATTGAAGTGCTTTCATTAGGTACTCTGTCACAGAAATTCGTTTGATCATTGTTAAATAATAACTATTTCAGGGACTAAGTGTGTCACTTTCACATTGTTAGAGATATTTGGGAGGTGAACAATACCTTCTGCACATCATGGTAGTTATTCAATGCTATAACCCACTGGCACATAGAGCAACAAGCAACAGAGACTAGAGCAATCTTGTTTGGGTTGAAATCAGGCAAAGTTAAAATTTTTTTCAGCTTCACGAAAACCTAGAGAGAAGATAGTTCATGTATGACATGAGAACAAAATACAATTGATCTGAAATTTTTCTCAATCTAGGTTAGAATGAAATTTTATGTAAGAAATACTCAACAACTCTTCAACAGTAGAATCAACGACACATAACTAGGTATAAAAGGGCCCTAAAATGGCACTCAAGGTGCGTCTTGGCAGAGCAGCCCTGATGCAATGGTCTCTGGATACAATGATGGTTGGCCTGGGACACTCTGCTGCTCAGCAGGGATATTCTCTAGCTTTGTTGTGTCACATACCCATAGACCCACTGCACTGAAACCATACAAACTAGCTGAGATACATGGTATTTCTCATCTGCTTTTTTGAACTATAACCAGAATAAAATTCTCCTCAGACTAAGATTCATTCCTTTTCTCTTCCTTTCCAACCAAGTATTTCCTATTTTAACTATAAGTACAGAACCATTTTGCTGAACAATTTAGATATCAGGTAGTCCATTCTCTATTTTTTTGTGCTCTTGTTATAGTACAATTACCTTTTTAATCATTTCTATTAATTGTTATTAGCTTGAAATATTTAATTAACCAAATCCATGTTTTTGCTAAAAGTGCTTCAGAGAGTAGTTGTGGCATTAATTCATGAATATGAATATCAGCACTAACATTCTGCTAAAAAATTCACCTTGTTCTTTTACTACCCTCTACTTATTAATTGCACATTCCATAAAATTTAACTAATTAATTATAGTATTAGTTATTTAATGTCTTTTTTTCCTATTACAATGTAAACTTCATACTATCAAGGAGTGAGTTGGTCTTGAAACTATCTTAATGTCTCATCATGTCTCTTACAAACAAGAACTATAAATACTTTTCGAATGAATTAATGAATATTCACTCCTTCAGCTTAGGACTGTGCCCTTTACATGTCCACAAAATATCCCAGTCCCTGAACATCCATGTCAGGTCAACTCTGATGTAATATTTGTATTTGGATACACTTCAACCTCTACAGTATTCAGTTCATTTCTACAAGGGTTTTCCTGTGGCAGCAGCCACTTCCTGGCACTACTAAATAAATTAGTTTCTTAGGGGTATTGTAAAAAAATGCCACATGACTTCAACTTAAATGTGGAATCTAAAAAAAGAATAACCTATAAAACTAACTTGTAAATCTAGAGAACAAGACTGATGGTTGCCAGAGATGGGACTGGGAGCTGGGCAAAGTGGGTGAAGATGATCAAAATTCCACAAACTTGTAGAATATATACACAATGGAATATTCCGTTATTAAGAAAGATGAAATTTTGGCATGAAATGGATGGATCTCGAGGTGATCATGCTGAGTAAAATAAGACAGTAATTAGATAAATCTTGAGGATGTACAGTATTGACTATATTTAATAATAATGTATTGCATATTTGAAGTTGAGGGAGTAAAATCATAAAAGATCTCATAACAAGGAAAAATTGTAGCTGTTTGTAGTGATAGATGTTAACTCAAATTACTGTGGCCATCATTTCACAGTACTGCACGCAAAATTGTATCTTTATATTATAGACTTGAATTACTATCATCTTATGTGTCCAATGTATGTCAATAAAAAAGTATCAAATATCTTTATCCACTCAATGTACTTTCACAATATAATGCAATTCATCCATAAGCTTTCTCTCAACATTGACCTGTTCTCCATTCTTACTATTTAAAGAGATTTTGAGACTGGATGATTTCTTCTTTTTTTTTTTTGTTGCTAATACTCCATTTATTGATGAATTAAGCTTATCCATCTTGATAGTTTACATGATTTGGCAATTATAAGCATTTTTATGCTGATTTTTTTAAATAATAAATGTTATTTTTATATTCCCCATACAATTGCAGCCCCCCCATTCTGACCCCAATCCCTCCCCTCCCGCCCCTCACCCCCCAAAAAGTGTCTCTGGTTCATAGTTTTTTGTTGATTTTCATTTTCACTTTCTTATAGTTATTCATTTTCCTGGTCCCTTATTTAAGTTTTCTAGATTCCTGCTATGAGTGAGACTATCCGGTATATTTCTTTTTCTTTTTGGCTTTTTTCACTGAGCATGATCCCTTCCAGCGCCATCCATGTTGCTGCAAATTGCATGTGTTTATCTTTTTTGAATGCTGAGTAATATTCCATGGTGTATATGTACCACATCTTCTTGATCCAGTCATCTATTTTTGGGCATTTGGGCTGTTTCCAAATCTTAGCTATTGTAAATAGTGCTGCTATAAATATACGGGTGCAGGTGTTCTTTGGAATGGATGTTTCTGTGTCCTTTGGGTAAAGACCTAGGAGTGGAATTGCTGGATCATATGGAAGCTCTATGATTAGTAGGTCTAGAAATCTCCACACAGCTCTCCATAGTGGTTGGACCAGTTTGCACTCCCACCAGCAGTGCAGAAGAGTTCCTTTTTCTCCACACCCTCGCCAACATTTGTTGTTGCTAGTTTTTTTAATATGTGCCATTCTCACTGGTGTGAGATGGTATCTCATGGTAGTTTTGATTTGCATTTCCCTGATGACAAGTGATGTTGAACATTTTTTCATATGCCTGTTGGCCATTTGCATTTCCTCTTCAGAGAAGTTTCTTTTTAGCTCTTCTGCCCATTTTTTGACTGGGTTATTTTCTTTGTTGTTGCTGAGTCTCATCAGCTCTTTGCAGATTTTTGTGATCAGTCCTTTATCATTAGTGTTGTGTGCAAAAATGTTCTCCCAATTGGTGGGGTTTCTCTTTGTTTTTGTTATCGTCTCTTTTGCTGTGCAGAAGCTCTTTAATTTGATGTAGTCCCAGCTGTTTATCTTTGCCTTCACTATCACTGCTTTGGGTGATGTGTCTGTAAAGATGTCTTTGATGTGCAAATCACATAGTGTTTCGCCTATGTTTCCTTCTATATATTTTATGGTTTCAGGTCTTATGTCTAGTTATTTAATCCATTTTGAGTTGATTTTTGTGTATGGTGTGAGGTAGTGGTCAAGCTTTATTCTTTTGCATGTAGCGACCCAGTTTTCCCAACACCATTTATTGAACAAACTTTCTTTGCTACAATGCATAGTCTTTGCTCCTTTGTCAAAGATTAGTTGACCATAAATCTGTGGGTTTATTTCTGGATTTTCTATTCCATTCCATTGGTCTGTATGTCTGTTCTTGTTCTAATATGATGCAGTTTTGATGATTATGGCTTTGTAGTATAGTTTGAAGTCTGGGAGTGTGATGCCTCCATTCCCTTCTCTTTTTTTCAGGAGAGCTTTGGCTATTCGGGGTTTTTTGTGATTCCATATGAATTTCATCAATAATTGTTGTATTTCTTTGAAGAATGACATTGAGATTTTTATTGGAATAGCATTGAATCTGTATATTGCTTTTGGTAGGATGGCCATTTTAATAATGTTTATTCTTCCAATCCATGAGCAGGGGATGTCTTTCCATTTCTTTGTGTCTTCTTCTATTTCTTTTAACAGTGTTTTATAGTTTTCTTTGTATAGGTCCTTTACCTCTTTTGTTAGATTTATTCCCAAATATTTGATTTTTTTTGTTTCGATAATAAAAGAGATGGTTTTTTTGATTTCTTCTTCTTCAGATTTATTGTTTGTGTATAGGAAGGCTACTGACTTTTGCGTGTTGATTTTGTATCCTGCCACTTTACTGAACTGATTGATGAGTTGAATTCGTTTTTCTGTGGAGTTTTTGGGGTTCTCTATGTATATTATCATATCATCTGCAAATAGTGATAGTTTGACTTCTTCTTTTCCTATTTGGATTCCTTGGATTCTTTCCCTTGTCTTATTGCTCTGGCTAGGACTTTCAGTATTATATTGAAGAGCGGTGGTGAGAGTGGACATCCTTGTCTTGTTCCAGATCTTAATGAAATTGCTTTCAGCTTTTCACCATAGAGAATGGTACTGGCTGTTGGCTTGTCATAGATGGCCTTTATGATGTTGAGGTATGTTCCTTGTATCCCAAGAATTTCAAGGACTTTTATCATGAATGCGTGTTGCACTTTGTCGAAAGCTTTCTCAGCATCTATTGATATTATCATATGGTTTTTATATTTCTTTTTGTTGATGTGTTGGATAATGTTGATTGATTTTCGGATGTTAAACCATCCTTGTGTCCCTGGAATGAATCCTACTTGGTCGTGGTGAATTATCTTATGGATGCATTGTTGGATTCTGATAGCTAAAATTTTATTGAGGATTTTTGCATCAGTGTTCATTAGGGAGATTGGCCTGTAGTTTTCCTTTTTTGTGTTGTCCTTGTTCGGTTTTGGTATTAGTGTAATGTTGGCTTCATAGAACATGTTTGGTATTGTCCCTTCCTTCTCAATTTTTTGAAAGAGTTTGTGAAGGATAGGCACTAATTCATCTCTGAATGTTTGGTAGAATTCATTTGTAAATCCATCAGGTCCTGGGCTTTTGTTTTTGGGGAGGTTTTTGATTACCATTTCAATTTTGCTAATTGTCATTGGTCTGTTTAGGTGTTCTATTTCTTCTTTATCTAGCTTTGGGTGATTGTAGAGTTGTAGGAATTTGTCCATCTCCTCTAGATTGTTGAACTTGTTTCCATACAACTGTTCATAGTAGTTACTGATTATTCTTTTGATTTCTGCTGTGTCTGTTGTGATTTCTCCTCTTTCATTTGTGATCCTGTTTATTTGTGCTTTCTCCCTTTTTTCCTTTGTGAGCCTGGCTAGGGGTTTGTCTATTTTATTGATTTTTTCAAAGAACCAGCTCGTGGTTTCATTGATCTTTTGGATTGTTTTTTTAGTTTCAATTTCATTTATTTCTGCTTTGGTTTTTATTATTTCTTTTCTTCTACTGGTTTTGGGGTTTTTTTGTTGTTCTTTTTCTAGATCTTTGAGCTTCGAGATTAGGTTGTTTCTTTGAGTTCTTTCTTGTTTTTTGATGTGAGCTTCTATTGCTATATATTTTCCTCTTATTACTGCTTTTGCTGCATCCCATACATTTAGGACATTGGTGTCCTCCTTGTCATTCAATTCAAAGAATTTTTTAATTTCTTCTTTGATCTCCTCATTAGTCCAGTGGTCTTCCAGTAGTGTGGTTTTTAATCTCCATGAGGTAGGAAAGTTACTTGCCTTCTTTTTATGGTTTATTTCTAGTTTGATGCCTTCATGGTGAGAAAAGATGGTTGATATGATTTCAATCTTGGTGTATCTGTTAATGTTTGTCTTGTGCCCCAGTATGTGATCGATCCTGGAGAATGATCCGTGTGCGCTTGAGAAAAATGTGTACTCCATTTTTTGGGGGTTTAGTGTTCTATAGATGTCTGTTAAGCCCAAATGCTCTAGGTCCTTATTTAGAGCTTTAGTTTCTTTACTTATTTTTTGTCTTGTTGATCTATCCATTGTTGATAGTGGTGTGTTGAAGTCTCCCACTATGTATGTGTTTTCTCTGATGTCTGTTTTCAGAGTAGTCTGATATATTTTGGTGCTTCTTCGTTTGGTGAGTATATGTTAATGAGTGTTATTTCTTCTTGAAGTATTGTCCCCTTGATCATAATGTAGTGACCATTGGGGTCTCTTTTTATTTTTTTGATTTTGAACTCTGTTTTATCTGATATAAGTATAGCTGTTCCTGCTTTCTTTTTTGGTCCATTTGCTTATAGGATTGTTTTCCATCCTTTAACTTTGAGCCTATTTTTATCTTTTGTAGCTAAATGTGTTTCCTGGAGACAGCAAAAGGTTGGGTTTTGTTTCTTAATCCAGGCTGCAACTCTGTGTCTTTTTATTGAAGAGTTTAGTCCATTTACATTTAGAGTTAATATTGATATGTTAGCATTTGTATTTGCCATTGTGTTTGTCTTTCCTTTGATTTTATTTATTTATTCTTTTAATAACTTTTTTTTTTTTTGGCCTTCTTTCGTTGTTATTCGTCCCTCTGAGGTTCTGGCTTTAGGATTCCTTGTAGTATTTTTTGGAATGGGGATTTAGTCGTAATGAAATTCCAGAGTTTCTCTTTGTCTGGGAAGGTCCTTATTCTTTCTTCATAGAGGAAGGAGAGCTCTGCGGGATAGAGTATTCTTGGTTGGCATCTGTTTTCTTGGAGTCTGTTGACTATGTCCCTCCACTCTTTCCTTGCCCGTAGTGTTTCTTCAGAGAAGTCTGATGTCAGCCTGATTGGTTTTCCTTTGAATGTTATCTGTTTCTTCCCTCTTGTCAGCTTCATTATTTTTTCCTTGTCCTGGATTCTTGGGAGCTTTACTATTATGTGTCTTGCTGTATTTTTCCTTTTGTTGTGGAAGTTTGGTGTTCTTCTTGCTTCTTGTATATCAATTTTCAGCTCCTTCTTCGCGTTTGGGAAGTTCTCTTCAATTATCTCTTGGAATATTTTCTCTGTTCCTACATCTCTCTCCTCTCCTTCTGGAATTCCTATAACTCTTATATTTCCTTTCCTCATGGAGTCAGATAGTTTCCGAAGTCTTTCTTCGTTCTTTTTCCTTCGTACTTCTCTTTCCTTTTCTGTTTTGGTTCTTTTTATTTCTGTGTCTTCAAGAGTACTTATTCGTTCTTCCATTTCATCTATTCTGCTTTCATTGCTTTTCCCAGAGTTCTTTAGTTCCTCCATTAATTCTTTGATCTCCTGCGTTTCTTTTGCTTCCCTCTTTAGGGACTCAATTTCCTTCTTCTGATCATTGTTTTCCTTTATGAGTTCTGTCATTTTTTTAATCACGGCAATTTTAAATTCTCTTTCTGGAAGGCTCAGAAGTTCTTCCAAGTTACTGTCATTGCAATCTGGGGGGTGGTTTTCTTTTTGTGGTGTGCTTTTTTCCTGAGGAGTTGTTAGGTTGCATGTGGTTCTTCTACTCCCTACTGTCTGTTTTCTAATTTGTCATATGCATTGGGACACTGTGTTGCTCGGACTGGCCGGCATCTTGGGTGAACTTCTCCGCTCCCCTCTGGCTCCTCCAGGAGCCATCTCTGGCTTCTGAGGGAGCTTTCTGCTGGCTTCAGGAAGTCTTTACTGAAGAAATGTCCCTGTTCTAAAATGGCAACGCGGGACTCAGTCCCTGAGCATCCGGTCTCAGGCACACTCTTCTGCGCGCCTGGTCTGTCCCGGCCGTGGGTGCCTGTTCACTCTGTGGGCTCAGACTGCTGGTCGGAAGGGGCCTGGCGTGGGCTAACTTCCCAGCTGGCCACTGTCTCCTCCAGGAGCCTTCTGCCCTTTTCAAGCAGTCTTAAGAAATTTCCCTGTTCTATGGGGTGTTAGTGACTTTTTTTTCTGGTCGCTAGGTGGCGCCAGAGAGCTCTCCTATGACAATAGGAGGGGGGGCTGTTTTTCGCCCCCCCCCACCCCGTGGGACAGGGAACAGAGCGGGAATGGTAGGGTAAACCTCAACGGCTTTGGGGTGCTGTGTCTGCCTTGTGCCCCACCGTCGTGGAGAACCCACGCCCCAAACTTCGTGCCCCGGGTCTCAGTTCCAAAGCCCTCAGGTCCAGGACGCGGGCTGTAGCCCAGTTCAGTGGTGCGGGAATGGCGCCTTTTGCACCCCACTCCCGTGCCTGGGCGCCTGGTTCCTGCTTACTCAGTGAGGGCCTTTCACCTCAGTGAGGGCCTCCGAGCGTCTCCCCGCAAGCCTAGGTCGCAGGCATGGGGACCTGGGCAGCCGCGATCCCGATCCCCGTTTGCTTTTCAAGCGCGCTAAGCGCCCTGCTTTTCTGCGCAAGCTCACCGGCCGGCCAGGGGCTGTGTGAGCGTCTCCTCCAGAGTCTCTTTGTTCTCTAATGGCACCGGGAGCCGTTCGCTCACCGCCGCGGCGGATCCTGCAGGGTTCTCCACAGCTCCCGTTCACGGGGTGTGGTGGCTGCAATAGTTCCTTTCCACTCACAGTCCCGCTTGCTGCGTCGTTTGTTCTTGTTGGCCGTTTTGGTTTGTTTTCCTCCTCTCTGCCGGTCGGAGAGTGCCGACTCTGTGGGCAGGGGAGGGGAGCAGGGTTCTGCGCTTTCCTCCCTTCTAGTCCTCTTTTATGCCACTTTCTTCTTAGGGTAGTTTGATCGAGTCGTCAGTTTATCTTCCGTGTCCCAGTTCTCACTGGGACCTGCCGCTTTTCTTCCCTGTTAACTTTTTTTTTAATGGGAGATCTTACTCGCAGCGTCTCCTCGTCGCCATGTTGCTCCGCCTGATTCACATGATGTTTTCTTATCTGGGTGACATGTTGCTCTTGCTTGAAACTTTCAGGAGATCTAAAAAGTTTGGATACCCACCTCGCTCTCTGACCTTTTAACTTTTGCCATTGCCTTTGAATTTTAATATGATTCCAATTCCTAATACACCTATTTGATGTATAAATTGTATAACTGATTATAAATACAGACTGCATCAGTTATGCATTAATTATGGTTAAACTTTTTACCTTATCAGGTATGCTGTCCTTGTCAAGGTTAGTCAGTTTTTTTAGGAAACCACTTTCTAAAAGAAGTAACTTTGCTGCAGTCCAGCTTGGCTTCTTTTGCAGGAGGATGCAAACTGCATTCATAACAGTCAGTACAAGGTATGGAGGTCGTGTGTATACTCTGAAATAAATGGTAAACATTCAGTTAAATTTACAATTAAATCAAATGTACTCTGTAAATTATCTCCGAAGACAAAATGCACAGTTTTTAAATAAGCATTTTGATAACAACTTGCCAATAAATTGCTATTTCATTATTTGATTATCTTTTATAATCTGTTTATCTTTAATATAACCGTATCTTCGCTTTAGGAAGATGACATGCATAAAACATCTGAGTTTTATGTAATGCAATTCATCCAGAAACTTAATGTAGAACATTTGAGTTAGAGGTTAATTCTTTTCATTATAAAAGTTTAAAAAGTTCTTACTGCAGAGTCCCCTAAAGTTGAAACCCCCCTAGTTCATCTCAGTCTTGATTTACTGAAAACTAATTGAAAAAGATAGTGTGTGAACATGAAGGTAGAGGGGAGAGTTAGGGGTTAGCCTGATTTTTGTGATTTAAGGGATGCTTTAAGGTGCAACCTCCCTTAAATACATCCTGATTTTCCTTCATTCTGATCTAAAATTTCTACCATAAAGATCACTGATAGAACGGTGTGTGTGGGTAGGGGAGGGATAAATGGAAATTTGTCCCTAAAGTGATCAAAATGTGATTATTGGAACACCTAAAGCTGCCTCTGAGCTATGTCCTAATCAGTTGATGTGCGGCTGGCCTTGCATTGGAGAATGGGCAGCCACGGGTCAGAATAACACCCACAGAAAGTAAATTTCAATGAAGGGCCACAATGGGGTGATAGTGTTTGTGCAACAACGTGTGGAACTTGGAAGCAAAGAGACAGGGTAATGAGACTCCCCCAAATAAGAATCACATAGACTCTCCAAAGGAAGAAAGGAATTTTTTTATTATTTTTTTTTAATTTTATATATATATTTTTACATCATTTTTCATTTTTGCACAGTGTATGCATTTTCATAAAAAAAAAGGAATCTTTTGAGAGGGAAAAAAAGGCACATGCAAAGACTTCCAGCTCAACACTAGTTTTCTTTTTTTTTAAGATTTATTTTAATTTATTTATGCATACAAGAACTGGGATGTAGGCCAGAGGTACAGGGTGGGAGGTGTTGAGAAGATTCACCAGAAACGAGAAGGGAGCAGAACAGGTGGATCTACTGAAATACGCTGCTGAGGGGAGCAGCGGGAGAGGCAGAGGAGGTCTGCTGAGACATGTGGGTTAACTCCCTGGCCAGGGATTGAACTCAGGCCACAGTGATGATAGCACAATGTGCCACCAGGGAGACCTCTCAAGGCTTATTTTCTTGACCTTTGTAGTACTAGGGCAGGATACAGGGTTTGATCAGAGGAAACCTCTAATTGGCCCTACAACCCAAATGCCCAAAAATAATGACTGGATCAAGAAGATGTGGTATATATACACAATGGAATACTATTCAGCAATCAAAAATGATAAATTCATGCCATTTGCAGCATCTTGGATGGGGCTGGAAGGGATTATGCTCAGTGAAATAAGTCAGAAGGAAAAAGAAAAATACCAGATGGTTTCACTAACAGGAGCAATATAGGGGAAACAGATAAGGGATCAGGACAAAAAATAATAATAATATATATTTTTTTAATTAACAGGCAACTACGAATCAGAGACATTCTACAGGGGAGGGGGAGAGAGAGGTATCAAGACAGGACAGAGAGGGAAGAGCACTAGGGACTATGGTGATGGTGCATGGATGAATTGGATTTGGAAATTTTACGGGGACTACACCTGAGAAGAGAAAGCAAATATTGTACAAAAATGAACAATGATGCAAAACATATGAAAATAAATTTTAAAATAAAAAAATAAAGTAAACTTTATTGAGCACCTGCCTTATACCAGACTCTATTTTAAGCATTTTTACATTTTATATTAATTCTTCCAAACTTCTCAACTTCTGTTATCTTTGTTGTATAAAAAAGGAAACGGAGGTATGAAGATGCTACACAACCAGAAGGTGATAGTGACAGGATTCTAATCCAGGAAGCCTGGTAGCAGAGTCCAAGGGCTTAAACAAAATGATGTACTGTCCCTCAGAAATCAGGCTACTGGGAATTTCAGCTGATTTCTCTCTCAGGAAAATCTGCCACAGAAAAAACTAAGAGAACAGAATTTCTGAAACCAAGTCCCAAGATTAAGGGGGAGCTACGTTGGGATAGGGCTGGGTCCTGCTGCTTCCCTCGTGTCATCTTCTGCTACTCCCCTTGCTAACTAAGCTTCAGTCATCCAGGTCTTTTGCAGTTCCTGAAACCCACCAAGCATATTTCTGCCTTAAGACTTGTGCTTTCCATTTGTGCTGTTTAGAATACTCTTTCTCTAGATACCTTCCTGGTTTATATTCAGCTTCATTCCATTCTCTGCTTCAGTGTTACCTCATCAAAAAGGCACCCCCAGCTGTTAATTGCTGTAACCTCAACCTCTAGAGTGGGGACCCTGTTCATAGTGTGCACTGTATATATTTGCTGAATAAATGAATAAATTAAAGAATGCTAAGACTAAGTACATACCAATGAGGTAACCGAGGGGAAAAGAAGTAAAAAAAATGCCCTCTTCCTATTTGTTTTTCAACTTTAGGTGGAATAACTTCAGCATTGTGAGAGTCTGTTCTTAACCATAAAACACATGGATGACTGAGGGTGCCGTGGTGGCGGGTGAGCTGTGGTGACATTCATGTGAGGAGGTGTGACACTATCGCTTACCGTGCTGCAAACAATGTTACCACAATAATAAGATAAATGGGAAGAAAAATCCTTTTTTGCCATTTTCTGTTCTTATCCCCAGAGTTAATAATGTTTATACCTATTATAATAGATTAGCTTCACATTTTCTGCATCTTAATTAAAACGCTATTTCCTATAAGTAAGAGGAAATAATACATTCTAAGGTGTGCTAGGCAAATTCTGATTATTTGTGAAATTGGAGAGTCCAAGTTAAAAATGATCCCATCCTAATATTCAAATCAAAACTATCAGGTTCAGATCTTTGTACCTTAAAGTATTTCATTTCTTATATTCTCTTGTGAATTTCTCTTTAATGGATTACCACGACACTGAAGATGTTTGTGTTTGAGAAAGAACATAGGGGAAGTGCTTTATTAACTTTTTTTCGGCAATGGCCAGCATTACAGTATCACATGTAGTATCCATATTTTTACAGAATCACAAATATTCTGTCCTAAACTGGTAGTGCCATAAATATTGTCTTCATATTTTCAAAAATGCAGGTCAGGTGTTTATATAACCACCATGGCTTTTGTCTCTAGTCTATAGAACACATTGTTTTACCTATTATAAGATGCACATTTTCACATCCTTGAGATGAGGACTCAGTTTATAATCAATGGCACATCATACAGGGTACTTGACAGTATTTTATTCTTTCTTAAGAGAATATTGACTACTGATACACCTTAAAGTGGATGGCATCATTAAATTGATGAGTATATAACACATGTAAAGAAAAATGTAAAGTAACCAAGATGGGTAAAAATAATTTAATGGAATACAGAGTTAGTAACTTTTACCATGAATTTGTGCTTTTTTCTGAGACTTTCCAACTCAAAAGAAATATAGGTAAATTCCTCACCTTAATTCAGCAATATAAGCTTTATCCAGGCCATTTAGAGCCGCAGTTGCCTTTTCTATAGCTGAGAGTACACTTCTTAGTTCATTAGCAGTTTTCTGCAATAGAGTTATAAACCCACCAACACATACAAATGAGTTCAGTTGCATACTTAAAATGTTTATACTGTGAACTTGGAAAATATCATTTAACATTTTATGATGCACATGAGTTTTGTACCACGCATTGCTTATGAATATACATGTATACTTACACTGTTGGCTATATGTGGCACAATCCTAAATGTAGTATGTTACCCAAACTCTGATGAGAATCAAGAACACAGAGTCGCTTCTGCCTTCTATTAATAGTGCCCCTTTGATGAGTCATCTAGTTAAAGGTGGAATTACTTTCAAGCGAAGGAAGCTTAAGTTTCAGAGGCCCTTACTTGCATGGGACCCTCCCAAGACCCTGAACAGAGTTCTACTAACATGTTTTTGGGTCATTTGTTTTTATTAGATTTTCAAAAGTGAGACCTTTTAACTGCAATCAGTTAAGACCAATTTCCTTGTACACTTTGATTTGAGGTGATAGGTTTCCTATCATGTCAAGTGGTCCTAGAATGGCTGTGGACATTTTGGGGACCTGCCAAAGGAACTGAGTTGGGAATTCTAAATATTTGCTCACAGTCACCCCTCAATCAAGTTATTGCAAGATAGCTCAAATAGTAATGACTCTCTAGAGATGCTGCCAGTGTCTACTGTTCCAACTTCCTCAGTCATGTGATATTAAAGTGCAGAGTGGGAGATCATATTGTAGTAAAAACTGATACCAGAGTAGAAAGAACTCCATCTCTTGTATAGTGGAGTAGAAAGAGTTTGCAATGTATGGACCCAGAATCTAGTCTGTGGAAAATCCTTCCATTTATTAGGTATGTCAAATTGTCAGGAGAGATGAGGGACTAAGTCTTCTCTTCAACACTTACTCAAGATGGAAGTTTCCTCCTTCATGAGCATATTTGATAATGCAGCAAAAACTGTTCTAACTCTACCATACATTTTCCCTCTTTTGATGGCAACTGTGCAAAAAGGATTAATCAGAATCCCTAGATTGGCAATGATTATCGCAATTCAAAAGGATGTTTTGGAGTGTCTCAACGAAGTAAGAAATGATAGATTCCTTAGATAGATACATGTGAAAGATGCCTTACTTTATCATTTTAATTTTTTTAATAATTTTAATTTTATTTACAATCAAATGAAGACAAAATTTATGAAATATTATGTAAAAGTGATTGAGTATTTATAAAAATAGAGATTATTCTAATGTTGAGGAACAAAATATAATGCAAAATTTCAGAATACAATGAAAGTAGTAGTTTATTAAAAAGAGAAATAAATTTAGGATAGAAGAATGAGCTGACTCTTGGCCTGTTCAATAATCCAGTTAATGAAGAAGAATGTATCATATGGTCACATTGGAAAAATTCAAATTTCTGGCTGAGTTCGCAAGAAATATTTACATGAATGAAAATATAAATACCAGGGCCTCCCTGGTGGTGCAAGGGGTTAAGCACCGCACTATGAAGCAATCCATAGCCTCTGCAGCACAAGTTCGATCCCTGGCAGGCCAGGGAGCAACCCACATGGCGAGGCAGACCTCTTCTATCTCTCCCACTGCTCCCCTCAGCAGTGTATTTCAGTCAGTCAGCCTGTTCTGTTCCCCACTCTGTCTCTGGTGAATCCTCTCACCCCCCTCATCTCTGGCCTGTACCTCAGCTCTTGTATGCAAAAATAAATAAATCTTAAAAAAAGAAAAATTAAACACCAGAAAACACCTCTATAATTTAGTCATTGCTAGAAAACTGGTTAACAAATTCTCTCAATTCAAACAATATTTAAAATTAATAATTGCACAAGAAATCTTGAAATGTCCATGCTGCTTATACCAAATGCAATAGCAATACCAAAAATGTACATGATATTATCAATGACAATTTATGCTGAATGAAACTTATCTAAATTATCAAAAATGAAAAAACATTTTAATCAACTAAGCCAAATATTCTATAAGAAATAGTACAAAATCATTACAATATGAAGTGATGATGGAGTATATGCAAAAAAATGTATGAAAAGAGCATTATGGGGTACGTAAATCCATTAATTGCTAAATGTTATTTAAAAGTGTTTCATTTGATTTCTTTACTTCTTCTAAATAAATATTTACTTTCATGTCTAATTGGGAGAACTAGCAATTTTATATTCTTTAAAATAAAATACAGGCATCAAAATTATTGAAGCTTAGGTCCTCTGAGGCTTGAATTTGTCTCTCAAGTCAGATTATCCCTCCAGGCATGGCAAAACAAAATGAAACAAAATCCACTAATTCTTACATATCCATTTTATATTGACCTACTACTCAGTGGCACTCATATTCAATGTATTGATTAACAGCGGCATTTTCACCTGGTGTTGCAGGCTGTAGCTCACTCATGTGGCATCTTGAGGAAAGAGGGGACATTCCACAACTGTGAGGGTTGGCAGTGGGGGCTTCCCCATTTCCTCAGGCTCAACACCCTAGGAAGCACTGCAACTTACTTGTGTGTGGTATAGGGATTTACCTACTGTGTTATCTAGTGAAGTAATTTAGCCCTTAACACATGGAGGAGTAGCTTAAGGCTTTTGAAAGAAACCTTAGATTTGAAAGAAACCTTATACTACTAAAGGAAGTTTGAGTGAGAAAAAGGCAGGCTGAGACTCCTCTTATTGCTGGTCAAAACAATGATGATGTGGGCCTCCCTGCTGGCATAAGGGGTTAAGACGCAATCTGTGAAGCTATTCGCAGCCACTGCAGCATGAGTTCAATCCCTGCCCAGGGAGATACCCACATGGTGCAGCAGACCTCTCCTGACTCACCTGCTGCTCCCCTCAGCAATGTATTTCAGTCAGTCTGCCTGTTCTATTCCCCACTCTGTCTCTCATGAATCCTTTCACCCCCCACACCTCTGGCCTGCACCCCAGTTCTTGTATGCATAAATAAATCAATTTAAAAAAACAACAATGAAAATCTAATCAAATCAGCCAAAACTTTTGAAATACCAAGAGAACTATTTGTAATATGTAGTCATATTCATTATTGTCCATTATTGTTCGAGTATAGCTATTTATAGTTCTTTGGAGTTTAGCAAATGACAGTAGCTCATGTATATAATTTATAAATAATTTTTATAAAATGATATAAATTCACACATATTGGGAATATCCATATATGCATTAATATATTTTTAATCAAGTTGCTTGATTCAAGCTCTGCACAGGCAGGACACATGAAATGCCAGCCTGTACCGTCTCTTGGCAGGAGCAGCTTATCCCACCAGGGCAAAGGTTTGGAAATTGGCTAAACCAGACCCATTTCCTGTTGAGATTCTGGCTGAAGAGTATGGAGGGGAACTGGCCAGTGTAAAAGAGAGGATTATTCAGTATAAGAGAAATAACACTCACAAGATAGACCCTAAGGTGCCTCACCTATAGATGTTCCTGTCAAAGGCCTCAAGTAATTTTGATCTGGCTTGAATGAGTTTCTGTTCAGTGCAACCAGGAGAATTGTCCTGTCTGTCTCTTCCTTGTATTGTAAGTTCCTCACAGATGGGGATCAGGTATCTCTGTATCCCCTATTAAATATAATAGTGTCTTGCATGTAGTAAGCACTCAATATATGTTCATTTGGATAAAAAAGGAAAAGTATTCAAAGTTGGGGCACAATATATTTAAGAGCAGTCAGCCTGACCTTTAAATTTTAGGTTTAGGGAATAATTTTTCAAATCTCCAAATTATTTTTATTAATCGTATTATAATTTACCTGAGCATAATCTTCTACAATTCTTATTGCTTCTGCCATAATATCTTCATCCTGTTTAACAAGCATCTGAACTTGCTCAAATACTTGTGAATCTTTCTGTAGTTTTTCCATTAGGATTTCCTTTTCCTAGTGAGACAATTTTTCTCAGAATGAATTATGTGATATGATATCTTTGTTTAAAGAGAAATTCAAATATTTCATTCCATTAAAAAATGTGTCAAAATCAGCTTGAAATATATTTGTTTATATTTGTTAGCAGACTAATAAATATGGCAACAATAAATATCATTTCATGTAATACACATAAAAAAGTTGATTAAGTAATGAATTTTTTATTTTTTATTTTTTATTTTTTATTTTTTTATTTTTTAAGGTAATGATTTTTATAATACTCTGCAGACTGTAAGTTACCATAGCACATTTCAGACAGGTTTAACTGATAAATATGGAATTTTTCTACATGAGTACCTACAGTTAGCTATTATCACATTTAACATACCTATTATCACATTTAATTATTAAAATATGATGTCATTACTATTTTGCTATTGATGTTAATGTTTTTCGCATTATATAGGTAAGAAAAACTAAGTACACAGCTACATGATAATAAAGCCACATTTGTCAAATAGCAGAGCCTTTGTTTTTCAAACACTGCTCTATATTAAGTTATAAAATCTGGGCCTCTCAACCAAGAATACTCTATCCTGCAAAGCTCTCCTTCCTCTATGAAGAAAGAATAAGGACCTTCCCAGAAACAGAAACTCTAGAATTTCATTACAACTAAACCCCCACTCCAAAAAATACTACAAGGAGTCCTGAAGCCAGAAACTCAGAAGGAAAAATACCAACAAAAGAAGGCCAAAAAAAAAAAGTTATTAAAAGAATAAATAAATAAAATCAAAGGAAAGACAAACACAATGGCAAATACAGATGCTAACATATCAATATTAACTCTAAATGTAAATGGACTAAACTCTTCAATAAAAAGACACAGAGTCACAGGCTGGATTAAGAAACAAAACCCAACCTTTTGCTGTCTCCAGGAAACACATTTAGCTACAAAAGATAAAAACAGACACAAAGTTAAAGGAGGGAAAACAATCCTACAAGCAAAAGGACCAAAAAAGAAAGCAGCAATACTTATATCAGATAAAAAATATTTCAAACTCAAAAAGATAAAGAGACCCCAACAGTCACTACATTATGATCAAGGGACAATACTTCAAGAAGAAATAACACTCATTAACATATATTCACCAAACGAAGGAGCACCAAAATATATCAGACAATTACTGTCATGTCTGAAAACAGACATCAGAGAAAACACCTACGTAGTGGGAGAATTCAACACACCACTATCAACAATGGATAGATCAACGAGACAAAAAATAAGTAAAGATACTAAAGATCTAAAGAAGGATCTAGAGCGCTTGGGCTTAACAGACATCTATAGACAACTAATCCCCCCAAAAAATGGAGTACACATTTTTCTCAAGTGTACACGGATCATTCTCCAGGATCGATCACATATTGGGACACAAGACAAACATCAACAGATACACCAAGATCGAAATCATACCAATCATCTTTTCTGACCATGAAGGCATTCAAACTAGAAATAAACCATAAAAAGAAGGTAAGAAAATCTCCTACCTCATGGAGATTGAAAACCACACTTCTGGAAGATCACTGGACTAACGAAGAGATCAAAGGAGAAATTAAAAAATTATTTGAATTGAATGAGAAGGAGGACACCAATTTCCTAAATGTATGGGATGCAGCAAAAGCAGTAATAAGAGGAAAATATATAGCAAAAGAGTCTCACATCAAGAAACAAGAAAGAACTCAAAGAAACAACCTAATCTCGAAGCTCAAAGATCTGGAAAAAGAACAACAAAAAAACCCCAAAACCAGTAGAAGAAAAGAAATAATAAAAACCAAAGCAGAAATAAATGAAATTGAAACTAAAAAAAACAATCCAAAAGATCAATGAAACCAAGAGCTGGTTCTTCAAAAAAATCAATAAAATAGACAAACCCCTAGCCAGGCTCACAAAGGAAAAAAGGGAGAAAGCACAAATGAACAGGATCATAAATGAAAGAGGAGAAATCACAACGGACACAGCAGAAATCAAAAGAATAATCAGTAACTACTACGAACAGTTACATGCAAACAAGTTCAACAATCTAGAGGAGATGGACAAATTCATACAACTCTACAATCACCCAAAGCTAGATAAAGAAGAAATAGAAAACCTAAACAGACCAATTACAAGCAGCGAAATTGCAATGGTAATCAAAAACCTCCCCAAAAACAAAAGCCCAGGACCTGATGGATTTACAAATGAATTCTACCAAACATTCAGAGATGAATTAGTGCCCATCCTTCACAAACTCTTCCAAAAAATTGAGAAGGAAGGGATAATACCAAACACATTCTATGAAGCCAACATTACACTAATACCAAAACCAAACAAGGACAACACAAAAAAGGAAAACTATAGGCCAATCTCCCTAATGAACACTGATGCAAAAATCCTCAGTAAAATTTTAGCTATCAGAATCCAACAATGTATCCATAAGATAATTCACCACGACCAAGTAGGATTCATGCCAGGGACACAAGGATGGTTCAACATCCGAAAAGCAATCAATGTTATCCAACACATCAACAAAACGAAATATAAAAACCATATGATAATACCAATAGATGCCGAGAAAGCTTTCGACAAAGTGCAACACTCATTCATGATAAAAGCCCTTGAAATTCTTGGGATACAAGGTACATACCTCAACATCATAAAGGCCATATATGACAAGCCAACAGCCAGTATCATTCTCAATGGTGACAAGCTGAAAGCATTTCCATTAAGATCTGGAACAAGACAAGGATGTCCACTCTCACCACTGCTTTTCAATATAATACTGGAAGTCCTAGCCAGAGCAATAAGACAAGAGAAAGACATACAAGGAATCCAAATAGGAAAAGAAGAAGTCAAACTATCACTATTTGCAGATGATATGATAATATACATAGAGAACCCCAAAAACTCCACAGAAAAACGAATTCAACTCATCATCAGTTCAGTAAAGTGGCAGGATACAAAATCAACACACAAAAGTCAGTAGCCTTCCTATACACAAACAATACATCTGAAGAAGAAGAAATCAAAAAAACCATCCCTTTTATTATTAAAACAAAAAAAAATCAAATACTTGGGAATAAATCTAACAAAGAGTTAAAGGACCTATACAAAGAAAACTATAAAACACTGTTAAAAGAAATAGAAGAAGACACAAAGAAATGGAAAGACATCCCCTGCTCATGGATTGGAAGAATAAACATTATTAAAATGGCCATCCTCCCAAAAGCAATATACAGATTCAATGCTATTCCAATCAAAATTTCAATGTCATTCTTCAAAGAAATACAATTATTGATGAAATTCATATGGAATCACCAAAAACCCCAAATAGCCAAAGCTCTCCCGAAAAAAAAAAAAAGAAGGGAATGGAGGCATCACATTCCCAGACTTCAAACTCTACTACAAAGCCATAATCATCAAAACTGCATGGTATTGAACAAGAACAGACACACAGACCAATGTAATCGAATAGAAAAATCCAGAAATAAACCCACAGATTTATGGTCAACTAATCTTTGACAAAGGAGCAAAAACTATGCATTGGAGCAAAGAAAGTTTGTTCAATAAATGGTGCTGGGAAAACTGGGTCGCTACATGCAAAAGAATGAAGCTTGACCACTACCTCACCTCATACACAAAAATCAAATTAAAATGGATTAAAGAATTAGACATAAGACCTGAAACCATAAAATACATAGAAGGAAATAGAGGCGAAATACTACATGATATGCACATCAAAGACATCTTTACAGACACATCACCCAAAGCAGTGATAGTGAAGGCAAAGATAAACAGCTGGGACTATATTAAAGAGCTTCTGCACAGCAAAAGAGACAATAACAAAAACAAAGAGAAACCCCACCGACTGGGAGAACATTTTTGCACACAACACTAATTATAAAGGACTGATCACAAAAATCTGCAAATAGCTGATGAGACTCAACAACAACAAAGAAAATAATCCTGCCAAAAAATGGGCAGAAGAGCTAAAAAGAAACTTCTCTGAAGAGGAAATGTAAATGGCCAACAGGCATATGAAAAAATGTTCAACATCACTTGTCATCAGGGAAATGCAAATCAAAACTACCATGAGATACCATCTTACACCAATGAGAATGGCACATATTAAAATAACTAGCAACAACAAATGTTGGCGAGGATGTGGAGAAAAAGGAACTCTCCTGCACTGTTGGTGGGAGTGCAAACTGGTCCAACCATTATGGAGAGCTGTGTGGAGATTTCTGGACCTACTAATCATAGAGCTTCCATATGATCCAGCAATTCCACTCCTAGGTATTTACCCAAAGGACACAGAAACATTAATTCCAAAGAGCACCTTCACCCCTATGTTTATAGCAGCACTGTTTACAATAGCTAAGCTTTGGAAACAACCCCAATGCCCAAAAATAGATGACTGGATCAAGAAGATGTGGTACATATACACCATGAAATATTACTCAGCATTCAAAAAAGATAAACACATGCAATTTGCAGCAACATGGATGGCACTGGAAGGGATCATGCTGAGCGAAATAAGCCAGGAAGAAAAAGAAATATACCGGATGGTCTCACTCATAGCAGGAATCTAGAAAACTTAAATAAGGGACCAGGAAAATGAATAACTATAAGAAAGTGAAAATCAAAATCAACAAAAAACTATAAACCAGAGACACTCTATGGCAGGTAGGGTTGGAGAGGGGAGGGTTAGGGGTCAAAATAAGGGGGTTGCAATTGTATGGGGAATATAAAAATAAAATTTATTTAAAAATAAATAAATTAATTTAAAAAAAAATCTGGACCTCCCTGGTGGTGTAGGGGGTTAAGTCTCAGCACCACCATGCTATTGTGCTGCAGCCTGAGTTGATCCCTGTCCAGGAAGCCAATCCACAAATGGCGCAGCAGTCTGAGGTCTGTCTTGCCTGCTCCTCTCCTCAACAGTGTATTTCAATAGATCTGCCTGTTCTGCTCCCCACTCTGTCTGTGGTGACTCCTCCCACCTTCTATACCTCTGGCCTATACCCCAGTTCTTCTATGCATAAATAAATCTTTTAAAAAAGTTATAAAATCTTTAAAAGAGATTTCAAAACATACCTTTATGTTTTGTTCTATTTGAGGACCAACAATCAAGAGCTCCTGCTGCATATCTGTAATAAGCGTGGCTGCTTCTAGAATCTTGGATAGACCCAGGTAAAAATGGTCCCTGAATGGAAAAATAGCACTAAGGTATAAGATATAACAAAATATTAGCCAATACAGTTCATCAACACTTAAAAAGAATTATACTTTACAGCTTAATGAGGATTGTTCCAGGGATGCAAGATGGGTTTAATATTTAAAGGTCAATCATTTTTTTAAATAGAGCTTTTTTTTTGGATCAGTTTAGGTTCACAGCAAATTGAGAAAACACAGACTCACATATAACCCCTGCCCTCACGCAGGCAAAGCCTTTCCAACCAAGTGCACATTTGTTACAATGGATTGGGGTCAAAATGGGGGGGGTTGAAATTGTATGGGGAATATAAAAATAAAATTTATTATTAAAAAAAAATTGATGACCCTACATTAACACATTGTTATTACCCAAAGTTTCCATATTTTATTTTTGATGTAATCCTTACTTGTCACACACAAACTAGTCTAAATGTTTTAGCCTGAGTTATAATGAAAAACGCCATTACCCTGGACTGCCTGCTGGAAGTTTGGGGCAGATTAAGTGCAATTGCCAACGCATCTTGATGACATTGTTAATGGGTGAGCTCCAGAGAAAGAGCCTGGCTGTGGTCTATGCTCCAAGTGGGAGTCATAGCCAGGGTCACTCTCATGCAGTGGGGCCTGAGAAAAACAGAATGGGATTTGGTTAAAGCCCCTACCCATGCAATTAACTGGGGTATCAGACAGAGCATCCGCTTTTTCTTCGTTGATATATGACAGGTTGAATGAAGGCATTGCAGGGTGATGGCTCCACCACGGTGCCCTGGAAACCCTCCAGATCTCCAGGTAGGTCACGCAGGGGAGACTTAACAGCAACTCACCTAAGTCCTCACAGAGCACTCTGTGAGCCTCCTAGAACATGAGCAGGAGGGATGCTTGTGAGCAGATGTTACACTTTCTGTCCTTCTGAGAGGCTGGCAAGAGACCATTTCTCAGTGTTTGCTGGTTCAGACTTGGTATGAGGTCTGGTGCCACAAATTTCCCCCTTACCTTTCCACATGCGCTGGGAGCTGTAAAGTCACCAAGCTGCTGCAAGACTTGGGCTCCCCAGCAACAGGGTGTGCCACTCTGTGTTCATGGTTTCTTTTATTTTGGTATTTTCCCATGGGGCATGGGGGTGGCGGGGAGGGCCTCCTTGGATACTCTCGTTTTCATTGTCAATGAAAGTAATAAACTGTGAACCCGAAAGAGCTCATTTGTTCTTTATTTGCTCAATCTGACAGCCTTCTTTCCACAGACAGAGGCTTTGTTCACAGGGGAGTTATTCACCTCCCCTCTTTTAAGGTCTTCCACAGCTTTTCTGTCCCCTCCCCCACCACACACCCCACCAAAAAAGTGAATTTGGGATCATTATTTTGTATTTGTGTCTCTCTTTTTTACAAATAAAAGTGTGTGCATGCACACACACATATTCCTGATTTGGTCTCTAGGTCTTACCTTTTCGTTTGCATTTCCTTTTCTCGTGACCTCAAAATCCGTGCAAATGTTTCCATGAATTGCAAGTAGCTACTGGGAGTAATATAATAATACCTCCTAGTTTGTTTAGAGAATTTTGTGCTCAAGTCTTTTACACTTTTATGAATTTGGACACATGTTGAGGCAAGTTTTTCTTTTAAGTTCTGAAAAATAATTATTTTTAAGAATTCAGAGAAAGCAATCCAAATGTACACGAAAAATTAAAAATTGAACACAGAATAACTAAAAATAGTTGATCATTTTTGAGATGTGGAGATGTAGGTCTGGATAAATGAGACCAAGAACAATTTTGGGGATGGTGATAGGATTGATAATGGTTGACAGGCCAGACTCATCTTCTAGCCTTTATCCTCATTTCCACCAAAGTCATCCAAGGACTTAGGGAACCAGTGTCAATGGCCAAGAGTTATGGTGTTTTCTTCAATCTTCCTTTCTTGAAGGTGGGTTACCAAGGTACTCAACTTCCTTCAAAAAGCTAGAGTAGAAAGAATTTCCCCTTTGCTTAGCTCCAGGGTGAATTATAACTGAGACATATCCTAGTGCTGGTTACCCTTCTCCAGTCCAGAAAGCCTAGCCAGTTTGGGCTAGGCTTTTAATCCAACAGCACTTTCTTCCTGGCTCCTCCCTGTTGCTACCTTCTTGGCCTTTGCATTCCTTGACTACTTGGGCAAGTAAGGATGCAAGCCCCTTTCTAGGTCATATACTGAAATTCAAGACTCAATGCATTCGATTCTTCTGCAGTTGAGTCTCTCTGGAATAGATTCTAATTTACTGTGGTCTAAGTTCTGAGCTAATTTTTGTATGTGGCGTATGCTTTCATTTTTTTGTGGCAGTCAAGCCAAAGAAGTCTACGAGGACTTCACAGATTGCAGTATCCTTAACATAGGATTTGGAGTGAAAAAGGGAGGTTATTCACCATGGAGTCAGAATAGTTGCTGTTTCCCATAGAGGCAGAATAGTAAAGAGACCCAGGCAAAGAGGAATCTAAACATTTTTGACATCAGGAGAATTAGATGGCAAAGGGGATGGGGAAATGATAAAAGTCAAGACAAACAATGACCTATTTTATGATTTTGTCTAGACTTGTCTACATTTTTCTGTCCAGGAATTTTTTTTTTTTTTCAGAGAGGTGATACTGTCAGATTCTGTTAAAAGATTGAAACTGTCAGTTGCATTAGATTTTAAAAGATATTTTATTTACCTCTCTGGACTCTAAATCCACATTTTCCTGTAAGAAAGAGTTAGCTACATGAAAGAGAGCTTCTTCTGGCCATTTTTCATACCAATCAATTGTGCAGGAGCTAATCAAGGAAGGATACACTCGACAATTATGGCGGAAATTAGGTTCTGTAGGGCTCATGGTCATAAAAATATGAAGATTTCTATGTACTCTCTGAAAATTAATGAAGATAAAAGATGGTAAAATATAATCCATTATGTTGAAAATATTGTTTCATTCTTTCTTTAAGAAAGACTAGATATTGATCAACTTTTTCTTTGAGTTCCTGCCATAACCAGATTCTTTTTAAGGGAAACCACAAGTCCCACACAATACTAACAGGAAAAGCAACCAGGTTCTGCTCTATGTAATCCCATTCCATCCTCTTGACTTAAAATGATTCCATAGTAAGCAAAACTGGTACCAGGAACAAGCTGACCTGTTGAACTTCCCCATGAACATTTTGGTTTGCACAATCTTATGTATCTGTTTACCAAGTCATTGATTAGTCATCATGCAATAAAGATACAGAAAACTTAGTTCACTGGTCTAGTACACATCTCTCATCAATCTGGTCCTTTCACAGTTACCCTACTGCTACATTTATTCTGAATACCACCTGTTCTACTAGGCTGATTTCTTTCTGACCCTAGACCTCTTGACAATTACAGAGCCATTCAGAGGGATAAAAGAATTCCTGTATCTTGCTTTTCCAGAGTTGTAACTCAAATGACTGTAATTATAACTTCACTGGCTAGGAAAGAATCTTAGAGTAAGAAATAGTCAGGATCTTCTTTCTCTTGTCATTGCCTTTATCTGTTATATTTTATTTTATTTTTTATTTAAATTTTATTTTTATATTCCCCATATAATTACAACCCCCTTATTTTCACCCTAAGCCCTCCTTTCCCCGCCCCCCACCCAACATAGAGTGTCTCTGGTTCATAGTTGTTTGTTGATTTTGATATTTTCTTTCTTATGGATAGTCAGGCCTAAGACCCTTGTTAATCTTTGGCCTGCCTAAGTATATAATGTGCCTGTGCATAGGGATTACAGTCATTATTTTAGCTTCAAATACCCATTTAAAGGGCCTCCCTCCCTGGTGGTGCAAGGGGTTAAGACGCAACCTATGAAGCTGTCCACAGCCACTGCAGTAAGATTTCAATCCCCGGGCAGGGAGCTACCCACATGCATAGCAGACCTCTCCTGACTCACCAGCTGCTCCCCTCAGCAGCGCATTCCAGTCAATCTGCCTGTTCTGTTCCCCACTCTGCCTCTGGTGAATCCTCTTAAGCCCCTGCACCTCTGGTCTGTACCCCAGTTCTTGTACATATAAATAAATGAATCTTAAAAAAAAATTTTAAAGATCAAAAAACAATTTATCCAACTTGAAAAGCATGTGCAGAATTATAAACTTAGTCTTCTTTTAACTTAACCTGATGATTTGTTAAAATAAAGCCACGCAAAAAAGTGTACCTTTTTGAAGAATAAAAGTAAAGATTGTTTATTATCAGTATAACCAGACTGTTGAGCAACAGATCTAATCTTCAGTGCAATAGAGTCCAGCTCCTCATTTTCAAACAAGTCAATTTTTCCCAAATTGAGAATTCTATTCAAATCTTCCAAAAATGGTTCCTTAGGTGAAACATATATTAAATCAGTAGTGAGTAAATTATTCAAATAGCCTACTCTATATAGACCAAATTGAGAAAGCAATAGTGTTTAGGAGAACTATGGTTGATTAAAAAAATTCTTTTAATTTAAGCTCACTGAAAACATTTTTTGTTGAGTCAAAATAAGCTTCATCCATATATATGTTTATTCAAACATTAGAGAAACATGTATTTGGTAGTGCCCCCTTGAATTTTCAAGACATAAAATGCAACTGGAGATGATATTCCTGATTATGTTTGGGCAATGGAAGAATACCACTTATGCAAAATAAAAGAAACAATTGGGTGATTAACATTTTTTTCTTGTATGAATGACAAGTATGTCATGAGGAATGTCCTAAACTGGTGAAATTAAAGAAGGATAAAGGAAAGAAACACAAACCTCAACTTTGTAAGAACACACTATAGATTACATAGCCAGACAGTTGAGGCAGGTGATAGCATTTTTTTTAAATGCAGTTTTTTTAAACACAGTTCAGATGTAGGAAGGGTGAACTCAGCTACATAAATTGTTTCCCACATGTCCGTTAAAATGAAAATTATAAAATAGAAAACGTTTTTGTTGTAATGCTTATGCAAAACTGTCGACAGCATGATCACAAGCATACAAACTCTACTGTCGCCACTGGGTGAGGAAGGAGAATGATGAAAAGAAAGGATGTGATACTCAATATGACTATCGATAAATATTTTCATTTCAAACATAAAACTTTGAAGTTCTACTTAAATATCAAACCTTAGCAAATACTATAAAGAAAAAGTACTGACCTGAGCTATGCTTAAAGTAATTATCAAAACAGTTGGGCTTCCTTCAATTCCTGCATGAATAAACACCTTTTTAAATTTTTCTTTAAATTCTATGTAGGCAGATCTGTGAGATAGAGACAGTCGGTATAGTTTGTTATCGGCCAAATAACCAGCCAGGGTGGCACAAGTTTCCTTTCCACATCCATCTACTCCAATCTTTTGAAGAAAAAAAGTCCAAACATGATTCCAAAATATGCCCTGGGAGTTTTTCTAGTTATATGTGCTAGAAATTTAGACAGTTAAATACCTTAAACTATTTTTTATTACTTTTGGGGGAGATACATTAAAATATTAAAGTACTTTATCAAATTTTTATAAGGCACTCATATGCATTCAAAATTTCCATCTTTTCTCATCGTAGCCTCTTGAAAGGTACCCAATATCTTCACTGGAAAAAATTTAATAATCTGGAAAGTTAGCACAGATAGCCTTAAGAATCATCCTTATGACATTGTCAATATTTGATTCTTCATTTTTAAGAATTTAAATAGATCTTTTCCTATTTATTTTGAGCAATAAGCAACAAGTGTTCTTTGGTAATAATGACAAAGTATTACCTTTTTTTTAGATTTATTTATTGATTTATACAAGCACTGGGTATAATCAGAAGCGTGGGAGGGTAAGAGAATTCACCAGAGCCAGAGTGGGGAACAGAACAGGCAGACTGATGAAATGCACTGCTGAGGGGAGCAGCAGGCACGGCAGGAGAGGTCTGTGCACCATGTGGGACCCTCACCGGTGGCTGGGGATCAAACCAGTGCTGCAGAGGCTGTGGGCAGCTTCGCAGCCCAGAGCTCAACCGCTGCACCACCAGGGGAGGCCCGACAAAGTATTACTTTTATAACAGCTTTACTGAGGTACAATTACAGACTACATCTATTTTAAGTGTACAATTCAGTGATTTTTAATAAATTTATAGAGTGCTACAATAAGTGTTACAATAATTGCTACAATCTATTTTTATTGATTTTTTTTCTTTAACAGAAATTTTAATCTGTACTAATTTACATTGGTTTACAATATTATATACATTTCAGTAGTACAATTCACACTTTACTTGTGTATACCTCAGTGTACCCACGACTATAGGAAAAGGGAGGTGGGAGGTGGGGGTCAATTTGATAATGGTGAATAGAACAGTCCATTTTTAGAACATTTCCATCACCCCCCAAAATCCTTCAAGACTGTTTGCTGTTGATTTTCATTCCAACTCCCACTCCAATGAAATGAATGATATGCTTTCTGTCTCTATGGATTTGTCTTACTTTGAAATTTCCTATAAAAGGACTCACACAACATGAAGACTTTTTTTGTCTGACTTTTTCTCATTTAGCACGATGTTTTTGAGGTTCTTTTATATGGTAGTATATACCAACAGTTCTTTCCTTTTCATTGTTGAATATTCTATTATACAAAGTTTACTATATATTGTATTATATGGATACACCACATTTTGTTTCTGCATTTGCCTAATGCTATGAACATTTGTGTACAAATCTTTAAGTGAACATTTGTGTCACTTTATCTTGGGTAGATATGTAGGGATGGAATTGTTTGGTTGTAAATCTATGTTATACTTTATATGAAGTGGCCAAACTGTTTCCTAAAGTAATTGTATTATTTTATATTCTTACCAGCAATATTTGCAAGTGCCAGTTATCTACAACCTTGTCATACTTGCTACTGAACATCTTTAAAGTGATAAGTCATTCAAGTGGGTATGTGGTGGTATTTCAGCGTGGTTTTAACTGCATCTCCCTAATGACTAATGACCTTGAGTATATTTTCATGGGCTTATTTGTATAGGGATGTGTTTTCTTTTATTCAGGTTTTCTATTTCTTCCTGATTCAGTCTTGGATTGTTTTATACATCTAAGAATTTGTCCTCTTTTTTCCCCAGATTTTTCGTGTTTTATGGCATTAAGATGTTCATAGCAGTCTCTGAGGATTCTCCATATTTCTGAGATGTTGTAACTTTCCCTTTATCATTTCCAATTCTATTTATAGAGTCTTCTCCCTTTTTTCCTTCATGAATCTAATAGACAGTTGTCGATTCCATTGACTATTTCAAAGAACCAACTTCTGCTTTCATGGATAGTCTCTATTGTTTGTTTTTTTTTTTTGGTTTTTTTTTATAGAGGCATGTTTTATTTATTTATTTGTTTTTTTTATACATGCACTGGGTACAGTCAGAAGCGCGGGAGGGTGAGAGAATTCACCAGAGCCAGAGCGGGGTGCAGAGCAGGCAGAAGGACCGAAGTACACTGCTGAGGGGAGCAGCGGGCGGCAGGAGAGGTCTGCGCGCCATGTGGGACCCTCCTCCGGTGGCCGGGGAGCAGCTGGGGATCGAACCGGCGCCGCAGAGGCCGCGGGCAGCTTCGCAACCCAGCGCTCAACCGCTGCGCCACCGGGGAGGCCCGATAGTCTCTATTGTTTTTATGTCTACTTTCTTCTCTATTTTTTTCCTTCCATTTGCTTTGGATTTAGTTTTTTTTTCTTTTTCATTTTTGTAGCTTCCTAATTTCGAAGGTTAAGTTGTTTAATTGAGATTATTTTCTTTTCTAAATATATGCATTTATAACTATAAATTTCTTCTAAGCACTGTGTTCAGTATCTTGTGTTTTGTTTTCTTTCCTATCTAATAAAATCTAATAAAAGGACTTTCTAGTAAAAGTCCTTCTTAGATGGAGACCACATCTGAGAGGAGAAAGCAAATATTGTACAAAAATAAACAATGATGTAAAATATATATGAATAAATACATTTAAAAGATGAAAAAGGTCCTTCTTAGAAAAAAATAGTGTTGATTAAATAGTTTAGAAAGTATAAAGGAATTATAATAGGTATAAATAATTTAAAGAGTCATAAATATATGGTACACATAAATGGCTGAATATGTTAGTTTATTTACCTATCTCTATGAAAACATTTCTCTATCAAAGTTTTTGGGGATTCTCCAGAACTTAACTCCCATTGTTCTCACAGAGAAATAAAACTGTGCAAAGATTGTTACATATCGAAGATCAAGCAGGTGTACTATTCTCAAAGTCAGGATCCACTGTACAAATACTATGTAAATGCTGAAGATGTTCTAGAGATGGTACCAGAACTACTTATTTAATTCACATCAAATGTATTCTAAAAAAAATTACATTTTTATCTGCTGATACATTTCTTACACAAATGCTACAAAAGACACAAATTTTGTTCTGTGACTCCATGACTGTGCACTTCCATAAAAGGAAATGTTGACTAAAGAAAACTTATGGTAGAAAAGTAGATTTTTATTAGAGTGGCTTAATTTTTACTTTGAAAATTTAAAAACATTTGAAAAATTCAACTCCTTACCAGTAACATGTGGCTTGCTGGTTGTCGAAGGACTCTTGCAGCTCTTGTGATGTGTGCGATGGCTTCCTTGAAGAACACCACAGAGTAAGATCTCTAGTAGAAGAAATGGGACACATGAGCTGGCTGTCGGTATAGAAAAGCCACATGCTCATTGTGGTTTTACATGCAAGGACAGTGGTGTGAAAACAACAATCCTAGTGATTCCATAAAATGGTTTACATTATGAGAAATCAATTGGTAAGGTGAGGATTGTTCCCATGCCAACATTCTAATTAGTGAGATTAGGGAAGGTCGTGGACTTGAGAGAAGAGAATGGTGGAGAAGAGCAAACCCAGACTGCTTTTCTATTGCTCTGTTTTGGAGGAGGATGAGTAGTGGGAGGGGAAAATTTAGGAAATTGGTTTATGGTGTCTAATTTTGTTGGTGTTTCTATTCCAGTACATCTCTGCCCACAACAATGAGACAAATGTAGAAGAATCAGACCCATTTTGATGTTCCTTGTTACTAGTTTGGATCCTCTTATCACATGCTCTTGTGTTTCTTAATTCCATTAATTCTAATCATTCAACTCCCTACAGCATCAACTGTGCACCTTGTATTTAAAATTAAACCCTAACTAATAAGACAAAATAACATGAAATTAGGGGCCTCCCTGGTGGCGCAGGGGTTAAAGACAGCCCTATCGAGCTGTCATCAGCCACTGCAGCAGGAGTTGGATCCCAGGTCCTCCAGGGAGCTACCCACATAGTGTGGCATACCTCTCTTGTCTCGCCCGCTGCTCCCTTCAGCAGTGTATTGCAGTGGATCTGCCTGTTCTGCTCCCCACTCTCTCTGATGAATCCTCTCACCCCATTCCACATCTTTGGCTTACACCCCAGTTCTTGTATGCATAAATAAATAAATCTTTTAAAAAATAACATGGAATTATATTTCTAATAGTCTTTTAAAACCTGAATACACACATTTTTCCTGACCTCTTTTACACACACATCTTGAATATATTTGAATTGATATACATACATGTGTGTACAATAATTTGCATACACATTTAGTACTCAGATTTTATAAGCTATACATTTTTACCTCTGATGTTGTTGAATTCAACTTTATTTGGAATTCATTGAGTATACTAGCAAGTTTGTCATAGTCATTGGTATTCTGATACAATTTTTTTTTGTGAGACTTGTTTATATCCAAGAAATCCACAAATACAACTGCATCATTCATCAGTTTTTCATTTGTCCATTGAATCTATTATAAGAAAATAATTTAGTAGCATCTGTTAATAGCACAATTCTAGCTGTTAAGCTAATATAATATATCTGTAACAGAGAAACTTTTGGTCCAATAGGTCTAGGTTATGGGTTATAACTTCTTAACTAGTTTGTGCCATGAACTTTTTTTTGGGCAGTGAAACCTGTGGGTCCCTTCTCATAACAGTAACTTAAAATGCATATTGCAGAACATAAGGGTTACAAAAGAAACCAAATATATTGAAATTCAGTTCCTATAAGGACTCTGAGAGTCTGTGAGTTCCAGGTTAACAATCTCTGTTTGTATCTGTTTGTACCTTGAGGCTCACCAACAATCTGAAAAAAGAATCTTCTGAAAAGGGGTAATGTTGGCCAGAAATGGCACAAGAGACAGAAAACATGAGTTGAATCTTGAAGGATGGTAATAGTGTGAACCTGAAGCACTATCTTTTGTGCTTCAGACACTGCAGAAATTAAAATTCAAAGAGCTGGGGAGAAGTAAGGGATCTTGTTGAGGTATCAAGAGAATATATACTTCTACTAGCCCTGGAGAAAATGAGCATTTTTGAGGTTCCTAGCAGGTCAAGGACATAAGCAGAGGCATCAAGACTTTATCACTTCTATTGAATATCAATCAAATCTATACTTATTCAGACATTTTCAGGTTAAAGTAGAATGTTAATAAAGTTTCATTAATATTATTGTACCTGGGGACTCTTATTAAACATTTTGCCTGAGATATCATTTAAAATAATTTTTTAAATACAAGTTTACCTGAAAATAATTCTCAAGATCCTTTGAAAGAAACTGATGGAAAAGTCCCCTTTCGGTATGCTCAATTAAGCGATCATGAAATACTCGGGTGGCTTCATGAACCAAGAACAGAGCAGCCATCTCTGGGGAGTCAATAACCTTCTTGTCAGCTTGTAGCAATCCCAGGAGAAGCTATTGGGGATTTTAAATAATGTTTTTTAATTAATAAGATTATATGTGAACCAAAGCCTCAACTTTTGCTAATTTTGTTTCTCTAATTCTTATCCAAGGTAAGATTTACCAATTTCTACAAGTGACAGAATGTTGATGAAATGGGGAAGGGAAAATTGGCATAGCATCCACCCTTCAGGGGCCAAGGACTTGAGGTTACTCAGTCTCATCTGATAGAGAGGCTTTGCCAGGAAGGAAAGCCAGGAGTCTTAACTATGATGATAATATGGAGGTTGAGAGTGATATATTTTGATATGTTCTAACTTCTTAATTTGGATTTAAAAAAATTTTTTGAAGGGGCTTCCCTGGTGTCGCAGGGGTTAAAGTCTTGTGCCGCTATCAAGCTATCACCAGCCACTGCAGCATGAGTTCGATCCTGGAAAGAGCCAACCCATATGGCATGGCAGACCTCTCATGACTCACCCACTGCTCCCCTCAGCAGTGTATTTCAGTCAAATGCACCTGAAATACACTGTGCTCCACACTCTTCTCTGGTGAATCTTCTCACCCCCACATCTCTGGCCTATACCCCAGTTCTTATATGCATAAATAAATAAAAATAAATCTTTAAAAAAACACATTTAACCCATTTCAAACATTGTATGTGCCATTTTGAGCTTAGGTCCTAAAGCAAGGGGTAAAAAGAAAAAAAATCCATAATTAAAAAAAACATTTAAATTCTGAAAACTGAGGATGATGACTAAATCAGCACTGTTGGCAACATTCCTTGGTGTAAAAAGCAAGAATTGTGAAAAAACAAGCATGTTTATGAAATGCACACTTGCTTTCATTTTCTGGGAACCATATTAAAATCTTAGAAATAGATCAAAACCAAACATCTATGTTATAATCTTGCCACTTATCCCTGCTGAAGACCCCAGTCAAACTTGTAATAGTCTTAGAAGTTTCACCAATGAATTCTCTGCATGGAATTATTTTAGCAATTCTTTTTAATTGATTCATGGGATAATCAGCTAATCAACAGCAAAAGTAATCAATTTAATTTCTCCTTTATTTCTTTTCTAACAGTTTAATGTTGATTCTATCAATGAGTTGAGAAATGTGAGAGAATTTAGTAAAATTGCATTCCTTCAACTTATATTTTAAAATGAAGCTAGAGAGTGAATTTTAAAACAAACCTTAAACACATCTCGAAGATTAAATATGTAGTGACATTTCATTGGAGTTGGTAACATATTCTGACATACTTGATAGTATAGAGCTAAGGAACAAGATATTATATTATCAGTGCTTTTCTGAACATCGGATGTGAAGTTATTGATGGAGAAATACATTCCCAAATGAGCCTGTAAAAAGAAATTTCATAGTGTAGTTGCCAAAAATGTTAAGGATAAACTATTTTAGCTAATCGAAAAAGATGTATAAAGTATAATGGAGGGTAAATAGAGGACAAATTTCATTTAAAATGTTAGTAATTAGAAATGTTAGAATCCAGTTTAAACAGATGGCAAGTAATATAAATATGCTGTGGGTTTTGTAAACTGGGGACAATTGGTCCTACTGTAATGAATGGTGTAAAGGCATGAATTCTGTGTACTCTGGGACAAAAAAAAGTATGTGGATATACCCTTTATACATGCATTAAATAAAAACCACATGTTTCTTTTTTTAATATTCTTTTTTAAATTTTATATATTTTTACATCATTTTTCATTTTTGCACAATGTATGCATTTTCATCTTGGTTATAGTCTCCATACAATTCCTACCCGCCCCCCCTTGTTTTGATCCTACTCCCTTCTCTCCACCCTGTAGTGTGTCTCTGGTTTATAGTTGCTTGTTGATTTTGATTTTATTATAATTAGTCTTTTTCCTGGTCACTTATTTAGGTTTTCTAAATCCCTGCTATTAGTGAGACCATCCAGTATTTTTCTTTTCTTTCTAGCTTATTTCGCTGAGCATGATCCCTTCCAGCGCCATCCATGTTGCTGCAAATTGCATGTGTTTATCTTTTTTGATTGGTGAGTAATATTCCATTGCGTATATGTACCACATCTTCTTGATCCAGTAATCTATTTTTGGGCATTTGGGTTGTTTCCATAGCTGAGCTATTATAAATAGTGCTGCTATAAATATAGGGGTGCAGGTGCCCTTTTGAATTAATGATTCTGTGTCCTTTGGGTAAATACCTAGGAGTAGAATTGCTGGATCATATGGAAGCTCCATCTTTAGCAGATTGAGGAATCTCCACCCAGCTCTCCATAGTGGTTGGACTAGTTTGCACTCCCACCAGCAGTGCAGGAGAGTTCCTCTTTCTCCACATCCTCTCCAACATTTGTTGTTTCTAGTTATTTTAATATGTGCCATTCTCCCTGGTATAAGATGGTATCTCATTGTAGTTTTGATTTGCATTTCCTTGATTACAAGTGATGTTGAACATTTTTTCATATGCCTGTTGGCCTTTTGCATTTCCTCTTTGGAGCTCTTCTTATTAGCTCTTCTGTCCATTTTTTGACTGGATTATTTACTTTGTTTTTGTTGAGTCTCATCAGCTCTTCAAAGATTTTTGTGATCAGTCCTTTATCATTAGTGTTGTGTGCAAAAATTTTCTCCCAGTCGGTGGGGTGTCTCTTTGTTTTGGTTACTGTCTCTTTTGCTGTACAGAGGCTATTTAATTGATGTAGTCCCAGCCTTTATCATAAATGGGTGTTGTACTTTGTCAAAAGCTTTCTCAGCATCTATTGATATGATCATATGGTTTTTATATTTCTTTTTGTTGATGTGTTGGATTACACTGATTGATTTTTGGATGTTAAACCATCCTTGTGCCCCTGGAATAAATCCTACTTGGTTGTGGTGAATTATCTTATGGATATGTCGTTGGATTCTCTTAGCTAAAATTTTATTGAGGATTTTTGCATCAGTGTTCATTAGAGGGATTGGCCTGTGGTTTTCCTTTTTTGTGTTTCCCTTGTTCAGTTTTGATATGAGTGTAATGTTGGCTTCATAGAACATGTTTGGTATTATCCCTTCCTTCTCAATTTTTTGGAAGAGTTTGTGAAGGATAGGCACTAGTTCATTTAAATGTTTGGTAGAATTCATTTGTAAATCCATGTGGTCCTAGGCTTTTGTTTTGGGGGAGGGTTTTGATTACCATTTCAACTTCACTGCTTGTAATGGGGCTGTTTAGGTGTTCTATTTCTTCTTTATCTAGCTTTGGATAATTGTAGAGTTGTAGGAATTTGTCCATCTCTAGATTGTTGAGCTTGTTTGCATATAACTGTTCATAGTAGTCTCTGATTATTCTTTTGATTTCTGCTGTGTCTGTTGTGATTTCTCCTCTTTCATTTGTGATCCTATTTATTTGTGCTTTCTCCCATTTTTCCTTTGTGAGCCTTGCTAGGGGTTTGTCTATTTTATTTATTTTTTTCAAAGAACCAATCTTTGGTTTCATTGATCTTTTGGATTGTTCTTTTAGTTTCTATGTCATTTATTTCTGCTTTGATTTTTATTATTTCTTTTCTTCTACTGGTTTTGGGGGGGTTTTGTTGTTCTTTTTCTAGTTCTTTGAGCTTTGATGTTAGGTTGTTTCTTTGAGTTCTTGTTCTTGATGTGAGCCTGTATTGCTATATATTTTCCACTTATTACCGCTTTTGCTGCATCCCATATATTTAGGAAATTGGTGTCCTCATCATTCAACTAAAAGTATTTTTTAATTTCTTCTTTGATCTCCTCATTAGTCCAGTGGTCTTCCAGTAGTGTTGCTTTCAATCTCTATGAGATAGGAGAGTTCCTTGCCTTCTTTTTATGGTTTATTTCTAGTTTGATAGCTTCATGGTCAGAGAAGATGGTTATATACCACTGTTTCTTATGCCCATGAAAATATGTTCTTTATACTTAGTGACAAATTGTAACAATGGGATAGAAAAACAGGGGAAAAACCATTCATTAAGAGAATTTTCGAGGGGGGCGGAGCAACATGGCGGCGAGGAGACGCTGCGAGTAAGATCTCCCATTAAAAAAAGTTATTAGGGAGGAAAAGCGGCAGGTCCCAGTGAGAACCGGGACACGGAAGATAAACGGGTGATGCCAGCGAACTGCCCGAAGAAGAAAGTGGCCATAAAAGAGGACTAGAAGGGAGGGAAGCGCAGAACCCTGCTCCCCTCCCCCGCCCACAGAGGCGGCACTCTCCGACCGGCAGAGAGGAGGGAAACAACAAACCAAAACGGCCACCAAGAACAAAGGACGCAGCAAGCGGGGCTGTGAGTGGAAAGGAACTATTGCAGCCACCACACCCCGTGAACGGGAGCTGTGGAGAACCCTGCAGGATCCGCCGCGGTGGTGAGCAAACGGCTCCGGGCGCCATTGAAGAGAGGCCCCGCCCCCGGGGAGGAGACCAGCCCCAGCACACAGCCCCAGGCTGCCCGGTAAGCCTGCACGGAAAGGCGGCGCGCTGGAAAAACAGGCGCGGATCGCGGTCAGGATTGCGCGGAACAGCGGCGCGCTGGAAAACCAAGTGCGGATCGGTATCCGGATCGCGCGCGGAAAAGCAGTGCAGTTGAAAAGCAAACGCGGATCCAGATCGCAGTTGCCCAGGTCCCTGCGCCTGCGACCTAGGCTTGCGGGGAGACGCGCGGAGACCCTCACTGAGTGAGCAGGCCCAGGCGCCCAGGCACGGGAGCGGGATTCAAAAGGCGCCATTCCCGCGCCACTGAACTGGGCTACAGGCTGAGTCCTGGAACTGAGGGCTTTGGAACTGACACCCGGGGCACGAAACTAGGGGCGTGGGTTCCCCACGATGGTGGGGCACAAGGCAGACACAGCACCCCAAAGCCGTTGAGGTTTACCCTACCATTCCCGCTCTATTCCCTGTCCCACGGGGTGGAAAATCAGCTCCCCAAGGGCTCCAGGAGAGATCTCTGGTGCCACCTAGCGACTTGAAGCCAGCAGAGGCGCCTAAAGGAGCCAGTGGCCAGCTGGGGAGTTAGCCCACGCCGGGCCCCTTCCGACCAGTAGTCTGAGCCCACAGGGGGAGCGAGCACCCACAGCCGGGGCAGACCAGGCGTGCAGAAGAGTGTGCCTGAGACCGGACGCACAGGGAGTGTGTCCCACATCACCATCTTAGAACAGGGACATTTCTTCGGTAAAGACTACCTGCAGAAGGCTTCCTCAGGAGCCAGAGGTGAGCGGGGGAAGTTCGCCCACGCCAGACCCCCTCTGGCCTGCAGTCCAAGCCCAGAGGGGGAGCAGGAACCCACCGCCGGGGCAGACCAGGCGCACAGGGGAGTGTGTCCCCACATCGGCATTTTAGAACAGGGACCTTTCTCCAGTAAAGACTGCTTGAAACTGACAGATGACTCCTGGAGGAACCAGAGGAGAGCAGAGAAGCTCACCCAAGATGCCGGCCAGTCCCAACTACACAGTGTCCTAATGCATACGGCAAATTAGAAAACAGACAGTAGGGAGGAGAAGAACCACACGCAACCTAGCAACTCCCCAGGGGAAAAGCACACCACAAAAAGAAAACCAGCCCCCAGATTGCAACGACAGTAACTTGGAAGAACTTCTGAGCCTTCCAGAAAGAGAATTTAAAATTGCCGTGATTAAAAAACTGACAGAAGTCATAAAGGAAAACAATGATAAGGGAAAAATAATCAACGATCAGAAGAATGAAATTGAGTCGCTAAAGAGGGAAAACAATGGTCAGAAGAATGAAATTGAGTCCCTAAAGAGGGAAGTAAAAGAAATGCAGGAGATCAAAGAATTAATGGAAGAACTAAAGAATTCTGGGAAAAGCAATGAAAGCAGAATAGATGAAATGGAAGAACGAATAAGTAATCTTGAAGACACAGAAATAAAAAGAACCAAAACAGAAAAGGAAAGAGAAGTACGAAGGAAAAAGAATGAAGAAAGACTTCGGGAACTATCTGACTCCATGAGGAAAGGAAATATAAGAGTTATAGGAATACCAGAAGGAGAGGAGAGAGATGTAGGAACAGAGAAAATATTCCAGGAGATAATTGAAGAGAACTTCCCAAATGTGAAGAAGGAGCTGAAAATTGATATACAAGAAGCAAGAAGAACACCAAACTTCCACGACGAAAGGAAAAATACAGCAAGACACATAATAGTAAAGCTCCCAAGAATCCAGGACAAGGAAAAAATAATGAAGCTTACAAGAGGGAAGAAACAGATAACATTCAAAGGAAAGCCAATCAGGCTGACATCAGACTTCTCCGAAGAAACACTACGGGCAAGGAAGGAATGGAGGGACATAGTCAACAGACTCCAAGAAAACAGATGCCAACCAAGAATTCTCTATCCTGCAAAGCTCTCCTTTCTCTTTGAAGAAAGAATATGGACCTTCCCAGACAAACAGAAACTCCGGAATTTCATTGCAACTAAACCTCCACTCCAAAAAATACTACAAGGAGTCCTAAAGCCAGAACCTCAGAGGGACGAATAACAATGAAAGAAGGCAAAAAAAAAAAAAGTTATTAAAAGAGTAAATAAATAAAATCAAAAGAAAGACTAACACAATGGCAAATACAGATGCTAACATATCAATATTAACTCTAAATGTAAATGGACTAAACTCTTCAATAAAAAGACACAGAGTTGCAGCCTGGATTAAGAAACAAAACCCAACCTTTTGCTGTCTCCAGGAAACACATTTAGCTACAAAAGATAAAAATAGGCTTAAAGTTAAAGGATGGAAAACAATCCTACAAGCAAATGGACCAAAAAAGAAAGCAGGAACAGCTATACTTATATCAGATAAAACAGATTTCAAACTCAAAATGATAAAAAGAGACCCCAATGGTCACTACATTATGATCAAGGGGACAATACTTCAAGAAGAAATAACACTCATTAACATATACTCACCAAACGAAGGAGCACCAAAATATATCAGACAACTGTTATCCTCTCTGAAAAAAGACATCAGAGAAAACACATACGTAGTGGGAGACTTCAACACACCACTATCAACAATAGATAGATCAACAAGACAAAAAATAAGTAAAGAAACCAAAGCTCTAAATAAGGACCTAGAGCAATTGGGCTTAACAGACATCTATAGAACACTAAACCCCAAAAAAACGGAGTACACATTTTTCTCAAGAGCACACGGATCATTCTCCAGGATCGATCACATACTGGGGCACAAGACAAACATCAACAGATACACCAAGATTGAAATCATATCAACCATCTTTTCTGACCATGAAGGCATCAAACTAGAAATAAACCATAAAAAGAAGGCAAGGAACTTTCCTACCTCATGGAGATTAAAAACCACACTACTGGAAGACCACTGGACTAATGAGGAGATCAAAGAAGAAATTAAAAAATTCTTTGAATTGAACGACAAGGAGGACACCAATATCCTAAATGTATGGGATGCAGCAAAAGCAGTAATAAGAGGAAAATATATAGCAATAGAAGCTCACATCAAGAAACAAGAAAGAACTCAAAGAAACAACCTAATCTCGAAGCTCAAAGATCTAGAAAAAGAACAACAAAAAAACCCCAAAACCAGTAGAAGAAAAGAAATAATAAAAACCAAAGCAGAAATAAATGAAATTGAAACTAAAAAAACAATCCAAAAGATCAATGAAACCACGAGCTGGTTCTTTGAAAAAATCAATAAAATAGACAAACCCCTAGCCAGGCTCACAAAGGAAAAAAGGGAGAAAGCACAAATAAACAGGATCATCAATGAAAGAGGAGAAATCACAACGGACACAGCAGAAATCAAAAGAATAATCAGTAACTACTATGAACAGTTATATGGAAACAAGTTTAACAATCTAGAGGAGATGGACAAATTCCTACAACTCTACAATCACCCAAAGCTAGATAAAGAAGAAATAGAACACCTAAACAGACCAATTACAATTAGCGAAATTGAAATGGTAATCAAAAACCTCCCCAAAAACAAAAGCCCAGGACCTGATGGATTTACAAATGAATTCTACCAAACATTCAGAGACGAATTAGTGCCTATCCTTCACAAACTCTTCCAAAAAATTGAGAAGGAAGGGACAATACCAAACACGTTCTATGAAGCCAACATTACACTAATACCAAAACCAAACAAGGACAACACAAAAAAGGAAAACTACAGGCCAATCTCCCTAATGAACACTGATGCAAAAATCCTCAATAAAATTTTAGCTATCAGAATCCAACAATGCATCCATAAGATAATTCACCACGACCAAGTAGGATTCATTCCAGGGACACAAGGATGGTTTAACATCAAAAATCAATCAACGTTATCCAACACATCAACAAAAAGAAATATAAAAACCATATGATAATATCAATAGATGCTGAGAAAGCTTTCGACAAAGTGCAACACCCATTCATGATAAAAGCCCTTGAAATTCTTGGGATACAAGGAACATACCTCAACATCATAAAGCCATCTATGACAAGCCAACAGCCAGTATCATTCTCAATGGTGAAAAGCTGAAAGCACTTCCATTAAGATCTGGAACAAGACAAGGATGTCCACTCTCACCACTGCTTTTCAATATAATACTGGAAGTCCTAGCCAGAGCAATAAGACAAGAGAAAGACATCCAAGGAATCCAAATAGGAAAAGAAGAAGTCAAACTATCACTATTTGCAGATGATATGATAATATACATAGAGAACCCCAAAAAGTCCACAGAAAAACTAATTCAACTCATCAATCAGTTCAGTAAAGTGGCAGGATACAAAATCAACACGCAAAAGTCAGTAGCCTTCCTATACACAAACAATAAATCTGAAGAAGAAGAAATCAAAAAATCCATCCCTTTTTTTATTGAAACAAAAAAAAATCAAATATTTGGGAATAAATCTAACAAAAGAGGTAAAGGACCTATACAAAGAAAACTATAAAACACTGTTAAAAGAAATAGAAGAAGACACAAAGAAATGGAAAGACATCCCCTGCTCATGGATTGGAAGAATAAACATTATTAAAATGGCCATCCTTCCAAAAGCAATATACAGATTCAATGCTATTCCAATCAAAATTTCAATGTCATTCTTCAAAGAAATAGAACAATTATTGATGAAATTCATATGGAATCACAAAAAACCCCGAATAGCCAAAGCTCTACTGAAAAAAAAAGAAGGGAATGGAGGCATCACACTCCCAGACTTCAAACTCTACTACAAAGCCATAATCATCAAAACTGCATGGTATTGGAACAAGAACAGACATACAGACCAATGGAATCAAATAGAAAATCCAGAAATAAACCCACAGATTTATGGTCAACTAATCTTTGACAAAGGAGCAAAGACTATTCATTGGAGCAAAGAAAATTTGTTCAATAAATGGTGCTGGGAAAACTGGGTCGCTACATGCAAAAGAATGAAGCTTGACCACTACCTCACACCATACACAAAAATCAACTCAAAATGGATTAAAGAACTAGACATAAGACCTGAAACCATAAAATATATAGAAGGAAATATAGGCGAAACACTACGTGATTTGCACATCAAAGACATCTTTACAGACACATCACCCAAAGCAGTGATAGTGAAGGCGAAGATAAACAGCTGGGACTACATCAAATTAAAGAGCTTCTGCACAGCAAAAGAGACAATAACAAAAACAAAGAGAAACCCCACCAAATGGGAGAACATTTTTGCACACAACACTAATGATAAAGGACTGATCACAAAAATCTGCAAAGAGCTGATGAGACTTTACAACAACAAAGAAAAAAATCCAGTCAAAAAATGGGCAGAAGAGCTAAAAAGAAACTTCTCTGAAGAGGAAATGCAAATGGCCAACAGACATATGAAAAAATGTTCAACATCACTTGTCATCAGGGAAATGCAAATCAAAACTACCATGAGATACCATCTTACACCAGTGAGAATGGCACATATTAAAAAAACTAGCAACAACAAATGTTGGCGAGGGTGTGGAGAAAAAGGAACTCTTCTGCACTGTTGGTGGGAGTGCAAACTGGTCCAACCACTGTGGAGAGCTGTGTGGAGATTTCTGGACCTACTAAACATAGAGCTTCCATATGATCCAGCAATTCCACTCCTAGGTATTTACCCAAAGGACACAGAAACATCAATTCCAAAGAACACCTGCACCCCTATGTTTATAGCAGCACTGTTTACAATAGCTAAGCTTTGGAAACAACCCAAATGCCCAAAAATAGATGACTGGATCAAGAAGATGTGGTACATATATACCATGGAATATTACTCAGCATTCAAAAAAGATAAACACATGCAATTTGCAGCAACATGGATGGCACTGGAAGGGATCATGCTCAGCGAAATAAGCCAAAAAGAAAAAGAAAAATACCGGATGGTCTCACTCATAGCAGGAATCTAGAAAACTTAAATAAGGGACCAGGAAACGAATAACTATAAGAAAGTGAAAATCAAAATCAACAAAAAACTACGAACCAGAGACACTTTTAGGGGGGCGGGTGGAAGGGGAGGGATTGGGGTCAGAATGGGGGGGCTGCAATTGTATGGGGAATATAAAAATAAAATTTATTGTTAAAAAAAAAAGAGAGAATTTTCTTTGTATGTTTATGGTTTTAAGTTCTCATATTTACCTTATACTATGCATTAACTTTTTTTTTCAATAGAAAATTAATTCGCTGGGTTACCTGGAATATAGCACATAAGGCACTTTGTGGAGGATGAGGCAATACCAGAATGGAAAAATGTTTGAGGAGACGTGGGCTAATATCCCTCCTCTCAAGGGGAGGAGCACATGATGCAACGAGAGAGAAATCTTGAATAGTCTATGAAAGAGTAAAACACAAAGGTAATTAAATATACCTGTATAAAGTGAAATACACACCTGACGCCAACCCTCAAAGTTGAAACCCATCCTAAAACTAGCCCTGCATTCTTTCTGCCCATCAGTTAGCTATTAGCCATATTTAGTCACTTTCCAATTTTCAGCCTGGCTGGTTCAATCAGATACCTTATGACTCCCATTGCTTCAATACCAAAAATAATTTGTTCTTCACAAGCAATTCTGCCTGTCCAGATAAAGAAAACCCAGCAGTCCTGGTCCAACCCTTGCCCAAGAGGCATCCATGACTCAGAAGGATCTGATCCCAGCCCAGTACAGATAAGAGCCTACCACTGCCAACTACCTTCAGCCAAACCTACATTCTTGCATCCTCAGCTCACCCTCCACCAATAAAATTCAACTCTGATTTTACAGTCTTAATATATAATATAGCTCACTCCCCTGGCCATTTGGAGAGGCAGGTCTGAATCTGGGGCTCCTGCCTCCTACTGAGTGGCTCTGTAATAAAGTCCTTTCTTCTCCTAAATACCAGGGGGGCATATCTTTGGCATTACTGTGCATTGAGTAAATGAGCATTTGATTTCCTGGTAGCATGACCATTTTTCTGGCCCCAAATGGACAAAAAAATTTAAAATGTTTAGGCAAAAAGATTAAAATTATTATTTACTGCAAAACAAAAATTATAATGGTAATAAAAATCTATCTTCTTTGAAATAAACCAATCTAAATGTAATTTCAAGATATGTTACTTCTAGGAGGCTTTCTCATGTCATCAGGAAATAGACTATTTTTCAAAAAGCAATCACTGGAAAACAAGGCTGACAAAGAGAATTCTGGTGACAAAATCAGAATAGCCTAATAAGTGTGTCTCCAGAAAGCCCAGGGTTGACATGGGGTGAGAAGAAGGTTGATTGTTTACAGAATAGCCATGTGACATACTGAAACATCACAGTATTATAGAGTTGGGTGGAATCTATCATCCACTCCTCTCAATGTGGTCCTTCAACAGCTTTCTTTCTGCCTATCCCAATGCCCAGCATCACAGAAATCCCATCAAAAGCCTGCCACGCTATTTCTGGTCAGTTCAGGGAATTTCTTCAGGTTGTGCATTCTATATCCACTTCTTGATTTCTCTTTTCTCCCATCTCCTAGATTCTCTCTGGTGGGCTACTTCTAGATTCTTATCTCTGCCTTAGACTGATAGTGGTTCAAGCTAGTGTGGATCACCCAGGACCCTGGGTTGAAGTCTGTCGGAGACATGAAGCTGTAACCACCATCTAACTTTTATAGATGAAGAATGAAGGTCCAGAAAGTTGCAGAAAAGTTGGTTCTGGAACACGGGGTGGGTGATTTCCAGAGAAGACAAGAAATAGGAAGAAAACTGCATTTATTTTATTTTTTTTAAACTTAAGCCATTCTAATTTGGTTCAATGTAACAAAAATAAATGCACAGAAGTTCTCCCTGGGCAATTTTTTGACTTTGCAATACTTCTGAAAATCTGTGATCTAAGTTCTTAAAAACAAAGATGAATTTAATTTCATTAATAAATATGTAAAGTAATCTCACATAGAGATTAAGAATGTATTTGTTACACTGCATTTTTACTAGCTTTTCTCATGTGTTTCAATGGCTACTGCATTAAAAATATAATTATTGATCATTTAACAACAGTGAGCATTACTTGACTTAGAAACAAAATCTGTAGGACATACTTGTAATTTTTACTAAGACTTAATTCTACTAAAAATAGAATTTCTATAAGCTTATGGACCTGTACAAAATTGCAAAGATGCAGCTGGCATGGTTAAGGATTTAACTGTGTTTTATATCTCCACCTGATGAGGTTTTATCACTCAATTTACACAACATTGTTACAAATGTTTAATTTGTTAAGTAACAATATTTAATGTGAACAAACTTTTAGTATATACCTACCTTCCATGTAAGTTTTTCAGTATCATAAACTCCTCCCATTTCTAGTAACTGTCTGATTAATTCCAGGGCCGGCTGTGTTCCATAGACATCTGGTTCTGGCATACTCAGATCATCAATGAATATTATAGTCTTAAGGAAGAAAAAGTACTTTAAAACATATTAGTACTGTCTTTCTTTAAGTTACAAATTAGAACTATTAATTATGCTATGGCATAAGAACAAAGTTGCCTGTGATGTCTGTTTTTCTATCAAAAGGCAACTGGGGGGGGGGTTCTCCCTGGTGGTGCAAGGGGTTAAGATGCAACACTGTGAAGCTATTGGCAGTCACCGCAGCATGACAGTTTGATCTCCAGCCAGGGAGCTGACCCACATGGTGCAGCAGACTTCTCCTGACTTGCCTGCTGCTCAGTGTATTTCAGTTGATCCACCTGTTCTGTTCCCCATTCTGTCTCTGGTGAATCCTCTTACTGCCTGCACCACTGGCCTATACTCCAGTTCTTGTAGCATAAATAAATAACTCTTTTTTTTTAAAAGGCAACTGAAAATTTCTATTTTGAAGACGTGATTTTGGAAAATAATGCTACCTATAGTATTATGTCAAATAATACCTATAGTTTTACGTCAAATAATAGTTACAATAGTTATTTTTACATTTCTACTTCAAATGCTGTTGTCATGAATAACCAGCAGAAAATTCAGACACATTTCCAATTTTTAATTTGTGTTACTTTTTCACTTTTGTAAGTATTATGCATTGAAGTATGACTATATTCTTTATGCATTAGTTTTATTTTTTTAATTAAATAATAAATTTTTTTTTATATTCCCCCATACAACTGCACATGCCCCATTCTGACCCCAATCCCTCCCCTCCCGGCACCCACCCCCCAAAAAGTGTCCTGGTTCATAGTTTTTTGTTGATTTTGATTTTCACTTTCTTATAGTTATTCTTTTTCCTGATCCCTCATTTAAGTTTTCTAGATTCCTGCTATGAGTGAGACCATCCGGTATTTTTCTTTTTCTTTTTGGCTTATTTCGCTGAGCATGATCCCTTCCAGCGCCATCCATGTTGCTGCAAATTGTATGTGTTTATCTTTTTTGAATGCTGAGTAATATTCCATGGTATATATGTACCACATCTTCTTGATCCAGTCATCTATTTTTGGGCATTTGGGCTGTTTCCAAAGCTTAGCTATTGTAAATAGTGCTGCTATAAACATAGGGGTGCAGGTGTTCTTTGGAATGGATGTTTCTGTGTCCTTTGGGTAAATACCTAGGAGTGGAAATGCTGGATCATATGGAAGCTCTATGTTTAGTAGGTCCAGAAATCTCCACACAGCTCTCCATAGTGGTTGGACCAGTTTGCATTCCCACCAACAGTGCAGGAGAGTTCCTTTTTCTCCACAACCTCGCCAACATTTGTTGTTGCTAGTTTTTTTAATATGTGCCATTCTCACTGGTGTAAGATGGTATCTCATGGTAGTTTTGATTTGCATTTCCCTGATGACAAGTGATGTTGAACATTTTTTCATATGTCTGTTGGCCATTTGCATTTCCTCTTCAGAGAAGTTTCTTTTTAGCTCTTCTGCCCATTTTTTGACTGGAGTATTTTCTTTGTTGTTGTTGAGTTTCATCAGCTCTTTGCAGATTTTTGTGATCAGTCCTTTATCATTAGTGTTGTGTGCAAAAATGTTCTCCCAGTTGGTGGGGTTTCTCTTTGTTTTGGTTATTGTCTCTTTTGCTGTGCAGAAGCTCTTTGATTTGATGTAGTCCCAGCTGTTTATCTTTGCCTTCACTATCACTGCTTTGGGTGATGTGTCTGTAAAGATGTCTTTGATATGCAAATCACGTAGTGTTTCACCTATATTTCCTTCTATGTATTTTATGGTTTCAGGTCTTATGTCTAGTTCTTTAATCCATTTTGAGTTGATTTTTGTGTATGGTGTGAGGTAGTGGTCAAGCTTCATTCTTTTGCATGTAGCAACCCAGTTTTCCCAACACCATTTATTGAACAAACTTTCTTCGCCCCAATGCATAGTCTTTGCTCCTTTGTCAAAGATTAGTTGACCATAAATCTGTGGGTTTATTTCTGGATTTTCTATTCCATTCCATTGGTCTGTATGTCTGTTCTTGTTCCAATACCATGCAGTTTTGATGATTATGGCTTTGTAGTATAGTTTGAAGTCTGGGAGTGTGATGCCTCCATTCCCTTCTTTTTTTTTCAGTAGAGCTTTGGCTATTCGGGGTTTTGGTGATTCCATATGAATTTCATCAATAATTGTTCTATTTCTTTGAAGAATGACATTGAAATTTTGATTGGAATAGCATTGAATCGGTATATTGCTTTTGGTAGGATGGCCATTTTAATAATGTTTATTCTTCCAATCCATGAGCAGGGGATGTCTTTCCATTTCTTTGTGTCTTCTTCTATTTCTTTTAACAGTGTTTTATAATTTTCTTTGTATAGGTCCTTTACCTCTTTTGTTAGATTTATTCCCAAATATTTGATTTTTTTTCTTTCGATAATAAAAGGGATGTTTTTTTTGATTTCTTCTTCTTCAGATTTATTGTTTGTGTATAGGAAGGCTACTGACTTTTGCATGTTGATTTTGTATCCTGCCACTTACTGAATTGATTGATAAGTTGAATTAGTTTTTCTGTGGAGTTTTTGGGGTTCTCTCTGTATATTATCATATCATCTGCAAATAGTGATAGTTTGACTTCTTCTTTTCCTATTTGGATTCCTTGTATGTCTTTCTCTTGTCTTATTGCTCTGGCTAGGACTTCCAGTATTATATTGAAAAGCAGTGGTGAGAGTGGACATACTTGTCTTGTTCCAGATCTTAATGGAATTGCTTTCAACTTTTCACCATTGAGGATGATACCGGCAGTTGGCTTGTCATAGATGGCCTTTATGATGTTGAGGTATGTTCCTTGTATCCCAAGATTTTCAAGGGCTTTTATCATGAATGGGTGTTGCACTTTGTCGAAAGCTTTCTCAGCATCTATTGATATTATCATATGGTTTTTATATTTCTTTTTGTTGATGTGTTGGATAACGTTGATTGATTTTCGGATGTTAAACCATCCTTGTGTCCCTGGAATGAATCCTACTTGGTCGTGGTGAATTATCTTATGGATACATTGTTGGATTCTGATAGCTAAAATTTTATTGAGGATTTTTGCATCAGTGTTCATTAGGGAGATTGGCCTGTAGTTTTCCTTTTTTGTGTTGTCCTTATTCGGTTTTGGTATTAGTGTAATGTTGGCTTCATAGAACGTGTTTGGTATTGTCCCTTCCTTCTCAATTTTTTGGAAGAGTTTTTGAAGGATAGGCACTAATTCGTCTCTGAGTCTTTGATAGAATTCATTTGTAAATCCATCAGGTCCTGGGCTTTTGTTTTTGGGAAGGTTTTTGATTACCATTTCAATTTCGCTGCTTGTAATTGGTCTGTTTAGGTGTTCTATTTCTTCTTTATCTAGCTTTGGGTGATTGTAGAGTTGTAGGAATTTGTCCATCTCCTCTAGATTGTTGTACTTGTTTCCATATAACTTTTCATAGTAGTTACTGATTATTCTTTTGATTTCTGCTGTGTCCGTTGTGATTTCTCCTCTTTCATTTATGATCCTGTTTATTTGTGCTTTCTCCCTTTTTTCCTTTGTGAGCCTGGCTAGGGGTTTGTCTATTTTATTGATTTTATTGAAGAACCAGCTCTTGGTTTCATTGATCTTTTGGATTGTTTTTTTAGTTTCAATTTCATTTATTTCTGCTTTGGTTTTTATTATTTCTTTTCTTCTACTGGTTTTGGGGTTTTTTTTTTGTTCTTTTTCTAGATCTCTGAGCTTCGAGATTAGGTTGTTTCTTTGAGTTCTTTCTTGTTTTTTGATGTGAGCTTCTATTGCTATATATTTTCCTCTTATTACTGCTTTTGCTGCATCCCATACATTTAGGATATTAGTGTCCTCCTTGTCATTCAATTCAAAGAATTTTTTAATTTCTTCTTTTTCTCCTCGTTAGTCCAGTGGTCTTCCAGTAGTGTGGTTTTTAATCTCCATGAGGTAGGATAGTTCCTTGCCTTCTTTTTATGGTTTATTTCTAGTTTGATGCCTTCATGGTCAGAAAAAATGGTTGGTATGATTTCAATCTTGGTGTATCTGTGATGTTTGTCTTGTGCCCCAGTATGTGATCGATCCTGGAGAATGATCCGTGTGCGCTTGAGAAAAATGTGTACTCCGTTTTTTTGGGGTTTAGTTTTCTATAGATGTCTGTTAAGCCCAAATGCTCTAGGTCCTTATTTAGAGCTTTAGTTTCTTTACTTATTTTTTGTCTTGTTGATCTATCCATTGTTGATAGTGGTGTGTTGAAGTCTCCCACTACGTATGTGTTTTCTCTGATGTCTGTTTTCAGAGAGGACAACAATTGTCTATATATTTTGGTGCTCCTTCGTTTGGTGAGTATATGTTAATGAGTGTTATTTCTTCTTGAAGTATTGTCCCCTTGATCATAATGTAGTGACCACTGGGGTCTCTTTTTATTTTTTTGAGTTTGAAATCTGTTTTATCTGATATAAGTATAGCTGTTCCTGCTTTCTTTTTTGGTCCATTTGCTTGTAGGATTGTTTTCCATCCTTTAACTTTAAGCCTATTTTTATCTTTTGTAGCTAAATGTGTTTCCTGGAGACAGCAAAAGGTTGGGTTTTGTTTCTTAATCCAGGCTGCAACTCTGTGTCTTTTTATTGAAGAGTTTAGTCCTTATACATTTAGAGTTAATATTGATATGTTAGCATCTGTATTTGCCATTGTGTTTGTCTTTCCTTTGATTTTATTTATTTATTCTTTTAATAACTTTTTTTTTTTTTGGTCTTCTTTCGTTGTTATTCATCCCTCTGAGGTTCTGGCTTTAGGATTCCTTGTAGTATTTTTTGGAGTGTGGGTTTAGTCGTAATGAAATTCCGGAGTTTCTCTTTGTCTGGGAAGGTCCATATTCTTTCTTCAAAGAGGAAGGAGAGCTTTGCGGGATAGAGTATTCTTGGTTGGCATCTGTTTACTTGGAGTCTGTTGACTATGTCCCTCCACTCTCTCCTTGCCCGTAGTGTTTCTTCAGAGAAGTCTGATGTCAGCCTGATTGGTTTTCCTTTGAATGTTATCTGTCTCTTCCCTCTTGTCAGCTTCATTATTTTTTCCTTGTCCTGGATTCTTGGGAGCTTTACTATTATGTGTCTTGCTGTGTTTTTCCTTTCGTCGTGGAAGTTTGGTGTTCTTCTTGCTTCTTGTATATCAATTTTCAGCTCCTTCTTCACATTTGGGAAGTTCTCTTCAATTATCTCCTGGAATATTTTCTCTGTTCCTACATCTCTCTCCTCTCCTTCTGGAATTCCTATAACTCTTATATTTCCTTTCCTCATGGAGTCAGATAGTTCCCGAAGTCTTTCTTTGTTCTTTTTCCTTCGTACTTCTCTTTCCTTTTCTGTTTTTTTGTTCTTTTTATTTCTGTGTCTTCAAGAGTACTTATTCGTTCTTCCATTTCATCTATTCTGCTTTCATTGCTTTTCCCAGAGTTCTTTAGTTCCTCCATTAATTCTTTGATCTCTTGCATTTCTTTTACTTCCCTTTTTAGGGACTCAATTTCATTCTTCTGACCATTGTTTTCCCTTTTTAGGGACTCAATTTCATTGTTCTGACCATTGTTTTCCCTCTTTAGGGACTCAATTTCCTTCTTCTGATCATTGTTTTCCTTTATGACTTCTGCCACTTTTTTAATCAGGGCAATTTTAAATTCTCTTTCTGGAAGGCTCAGAAGTTCTTCCATGTTACTGTTGTTGCAATCTGGAGGGTGGTTTTCTTTTTGTGGTGTGCTTCTTTCCTGAGGCGTTGTTAGGTTGCGTGTGGTTCTTCTACTCCCTACTGTCTGTTTTCTAATTTGTCGTATGCATTGGGACACTGTGTTGCTCGGACTGGCCGTCATCTTGGGTGAACTTCTCCGCTCCCCTCTGGCTCCTCCAGGAACCATCTCTGGCTTCTGTGGGGGCTTTCTTCTGGTTTCAGGAAGTCTTTACTGAAGAAATGTCCCTTTTCTAAACTGGCGAAGCAGGACGCAGTCCCTGTACATCCAGTCTCAGGCACACACTTCTGTGTGCCCGGTCTGCCCCGGACGTGGGTGCCTGTTCCCTCTGTGGGCTCCGACTGCTGGTTGGAAGGGGCCTGGCGTGGGCTAACTTCCCAGCTGGCCACTGGGTCCTCCAGAGGCCTTCTGCCCTTTTCAAGAAGTCTTAAGAAATTTCCCTGTTCTATGGGGTGTTAGTGACTTTTTTTCTGGTCGCTAGGTGGCGCCAGAGATCTCTCCTATTGTCCTTGGGGGGCTGTTTTTCAACTCCCTCACCCCTGTGAGACAGGGAACAGAGAGCGAGAATGGTAGGGTAAACCTCAACGGCTTTGGGGTGCTGTGTCTGCCTTGTGCCCCACCGTCGTGGAGAACCCACGCCCAGAATTTCGTGCCCCGGGTCTCAGTTCAAAGCCCTCAGGTCCAGGACGCGGGCGGTAGCCCAGTTCAGTGGACGGGAATGTCGCCTTTTGCACCCAGCTCCCGTGCCTGGGCGCCTGGTTCCTGCTTACTCAGGGAGGGACTTTCACCCCTGTGAGGGTCTCCGTGCGTCTCCCTGCAAGCCTAGGTCGCAGGCGCGGGGACCTGGGCAGCCGAGATCCCGATCCGCGTTTGCTTTTCAAGCGCGCCAAGCGCGCCGCGCAAGCTTACTGGCAGCCCGGGCTGTGTGGGTGTCTCCTGGGGTCTTTGTTCTTCTCTAATGGCACCTGGAGCCATTCGCTCACCGCCGTGGTGGATCCTGCAGGGTTCTCCACAGCTCCCGTTCACGGGGTGTGGTGGCTGCAATAGTTCCTTTCCACTCACAGCCCCGCTTGCTGCGTCGTTTGTTCTTGTTGGCCGTTTTGGTTTGTTGTTTTCCTCCTCTCTGCCGGTCGGAGAGTGCCGCCTCTGTGGGCGGGGGAGGAGAGCAGGGTTCTGCGCTTCCCTCTCTTCTAGTCCTCTTTTATGGCCACTTTCTTCTTCGGGCAGTTTGCTGGCGTCACCCGTTTATCTTCCGTGTCCCACTTCTCACTGGGACCTGCCGCTTTCCCTCCCTATTAACTTTTTTTAATGGGAGATCTTACTCGCAGCGTCTCCTCGCCGCCATGTTGCTCCGCCCCCTCCCTCTCTATGCATTAGTTTTAGATTGCATACATTTTTGTAAAAATAGTAAAATGTTTTAAAATACAAATAATCACTTATTTTGAATTATTTAATTTGCTACTCAATTTCATTTAATTAAACCATTCAATTCCCCCTTTTTTGTATCACAAACCAGATGATTAAAGATAATTTGGCCTGACTGAAATTTCTCTTGCTTACATTTTTCATTTGTGTGATTTGGTTGCCCAATTATTATCCTTTCCAAAATCCTAAAATATACCAAATTAGACAAAGACCTCCAAATTTATCCAGCCAAAATCAAGGAAATCTAAAGTAAGCCCTTAAAAGCTCTTGAAATCAGTAGCCACTGGGTTCAATGCATGCATGAAGGAACAGCTGTAATTTTCTTATTAATGTATCTTGCAAATCTCTGGACCCTGAAATGGTTTTAGGCTACAAAACTAGAGTCAATAGTTGGTAATTTCAACTTTGACACAGGGTTTGGTTTAACAACAGGACAGTTAATAATGTGCTAGGCAGACAGAGAGTAAAAAGAAGAAGCATCTATCACCATTTCAAGAAAGAGTTGCCCAAGTTATAGTAAGGCGATACTCTTGATACCTTCCCCTAGGGCTTCACGTACCACATTTCTCTTCTTCTTAGAGTTCCGAGTCATGGTAACATGAAGAAGTGTGCTAAAACACACAGTAACCAAACATTTAGTCATTTTCCATCCTTCCTATCTGCTCATGTTTAATTCAGATCCCAGTTGCTTCGTTTGCTTGAGTAATTCTGAGTCAGTGTAATTCATCATGATGGAAACTGAATTACATTGATTTTAAAATTAAAGTCTCCATTATAAAGTGCATTTTCCAAGAACTTTCAGGAACATCCATTCCTGAAACTTACCTTTTTCTGTTTATGAGCATCAATTAAAATATTTGTAATTATTGCTTGGGATGTGTTTTACTTACCCTTTTGCTTTTTGGTGCTCCAAGGGTGTCTTTAGTTCTTCTTACTAACTTCTTAAGGATCATCTCCTTGGCTTTGGCAGCTGTCGTATTGATGCTAAAATTTATTGCAGAGACCACAATTTCTTTATTATCATATCTGGATGAATTTTTATCATCCTTGATTTTAACTCCTGGATTTGTAGTTTTATCTATAATGCCAAGTATGGAAGAAATGTGGAAATATATTGAAATAACACTCAAAGAATATTTTTCTTGAAGGTGTTAAGAAACATGGAAATTAATTTTATTATATTGTTCTCATTTTCAAAAATTTACTCTGGCTATAAATCAGAGAAGGAACACCAACTTTGAAATGTTTCCAAATGTTTCCTTACTTTGCATAGTAAACAGTGCCTCTTAGCAACAACAGCCAAACACAACAGCATGAAAGCTTAGAGAACCCTCTGTCCATTTATTCACATATATGCATAACTCTTTATAGTTTAAAAAAATTTAGATACAACACACAAACATTTATATTTGTTAAATTTATAATGAAATTGTTCATGAAAGAAATAGCACCTAGGTGTATCCACCAAAGGCATGTCCATTGGGTCATAATCTCTGAGTGGAAATCACAGAGAGGGGTTGTTTGGGATGGTGCTGTAACAAATGTAAAGATAAAAACAAAACCATAAAACTCATCAGGCAAGAATCTGGTGCACAGGCCCCTCTCCTTTCTTACAGCCATCTCTCGACCACTCCTTCCTTTCTCTTAAGAAGTAGAGTTTCTGCTCTCTCTCCAAACTACTGAGTCAAAACTTTCGAGGATAAGGTTCCTTAAGCTCCACATGTTCTATTTCATATGTATATATACTTTTCTATGATATCTATTATATAGATTTGAGAGCGCCCCACAGAATCATAACTATTTCTAAAAGCATCAAAGAACCTGAATATTTTTTTCAGTATTCCTAGGCTTAGTCTACAATTCCATTGATACACTAGTTTCTGTTTTCTGGTAAGTAGGTAGACTACTGTTCTACCAAAACATTGCAGCTTTGGAGTAGATAGAATGGTTTGAGAGGATTTGGGATATTTTTCAGGACTTTTTAAATTGCCAACTGCAATTTTCATTCTGAGGTTCGAATGATGCGAGATGACCCGTGTATGTCTGAGACAGGAAGGTGTTGGAGCTGTTGTGTAATACATACCTTGGCTTCCTGTCTTAGGAGTTTCAGAAATCAAGATGCTGATATTTTGTTTCAGACTGTTGAAGTAAATGTTTCAGCAATTAGTTTCTTTAACACAGTAGCCATAAAACAAAAACCAAGTAAAGGATCAGTGTGTGCTTAATTTTCTATCTCTTACAAGGAAACAGTCTTTCTTTTTCTTGGTCACATTTTACAGATAAAATTAGTGTCACCATTAGAACAGAGAAACATTAGAAAACATGGTCATGCTAAAAAAACAAGCTGGGGAAATTCATAGGCTATGGGGCTATTGGGTGTTTTCTGTAGATAGTAAGCCATTCACTCACTTTCCCTTTATAAAATGCATTTGCCCTATGGATCACTCAACAAAAGCCTCATTCACCTTTATTTCAATATGACTTGAACAAAAGTGGTGTTGAGAATAAAGCAGATGATTCCAAGCTGTATTGTGGAGATAGAACATACTGAACTAGCAGAAAATTTGATGTTGGTTAGGGGAAAAAGTGTTCTCAAGGAGTGTCCACTTATGGGAGATAGATTGGTGCGAGGAAAGGGAGGGATTCACAGATGATCCCTAGGTTTCAGGCTTGAGTAACTGGGTTTCACTTATTGCAGTGAGAAACACCAGAGGAAGAACAGGTTTGGAAGAGAAATCAAGAGTTATGTTCTGACTATATTAAGAGGCTCATGAGATATCCAAGTACACATGTGACATCAGCAATTGATGTGAGTCTAATAATTACAAGGAAGGTCTGGCATGGGGCTCCCACAATTCCATCTTCTTATGCAATTCCATAATAGTGGGCTGCCCTAATATTTTAAAGGAATGGAATTAACTTTAAAATTTTCACATTTTTTGCAATTTAGATTTTGTTTTCATTTGTTTTACCTCAAGGAATGACAGAGATAGCGTTCTTTGTAAAAAATATTTTTATATTTGATAGCAAAGAATTATATCTCTAGTACAACAAAACCGATTATATGCAGTACTTTATTTGTGCATTTAGGTATTTTTTCCCATGAGGGAAAATAAGTTATAGCTGTACTTTGCTATGGAAAAAAAAAAGAGATTTTTTAATTTAGTCATATTGAAAATAAAAACAAGAAGTTCTATTTAAATAATTAATCTAGTTATTAATATTTTAGAAAAGTGACAATTATCTTCTTAACACCTAAATCACTGCATTTTTATGTAATAGGTTTGCTTTTTAAAATAGGGGACATTTACATATGAAAGCAAACATTCTTTTTATCAGACAAATTAAAATTAGAATTTAATATATACAACCTTTTATTTTTAATTTCATTATGTAATAGGACTTCCCCTAAAGTTGATCCATATTTCACATCAAATGTTCCAAAATCCTCTAGTTTTTCCAGCATTTGATTAATGGTAGTTGTTTTCCCAACACCAGAATCTCCTAAGGGAAAAATATACATTAAGTTAGATTTATATGCAAGAAAATAAATAGATGCTAATATATTAAATTTAAGCAGTAATATATTCTTGTATTTGAAAATTGCATTAAAATTACCTTTTTACTATTCCCTTTAAAAATGTGGTTAAGAGTAAACCAGGAACTTAATATGAAAACCACACAAATTATTTGATTACTACTTATCTCTCTCAAAATCTAATGTTCATATAAGTCTATCACAAATTATTTTTGCTTATAGCACAGCAAAACTACTTTACCACATGAATTAATTGCCCTAAAATTTGTTGCCAACACGAATTTGATGATAAATTCCTAACTGTAACATAACAGGGAGTCATAGCTTTACAATTCACCAAATGGTAGGTAAAAATCATAACTAAACTGGAGGCAACATATGGGTTATCCTAGAGTTCTACCTTCATTTTTCTTGAATTTGAGTATGGACCTGGGAAAAATATTGTCATATAGTCTCTAGCAAAAGGCTACACAACTTAAAAACTGGGAAACAGAACCCACTGAATGGGTTGAAATGAATGTTAAGGAAGAGTAGGAAGGAAGTGCATTGAATTACTCAGTTGATAATGGAAAAGGATTGAAAAATTTTATCATAGGGTTGGGAAATTGTTAGGCCATTTTTAGAAAATCAGGTAATTTCATTTTATTCTTTCTTTGATGCAGTGATGTGTGTAAATTCAAATTAAGCCAGTCAATGTTACTGTCATTAGTAGCGCTCTAAGGACCTTGGCCAATAGGCCATGGAGCCATATATATAAATTATTATATATTGTTATATATTAATCTAATTATTTATATTAATCTAATAATTCTGCTTCTGGATTTGTCTTGATGGTAGTGAAAAGATGAAGATTTATAATGTCCTGGGTTGTCAAATTTGTGAGGAAAGAAGTATTCACCTAACATTGGTAAAAAAACATAATCAATTTTGTCATAAAACTTTTAGGGCATATTTATTCCCTCTTGCAAAGTACAAATAAAATGGTTAGGCTGACTGATTACTAATCAGCCTGAAATTCTCCCTCTTTAAATATTTTCAATACCTGTGAGAAGTACAGGACAGGAATTCTTTAAAAGAAGGCTTATGAGAAAAGAAAGGCATGTTGTTTCTCTGGTAGCAGTAAAATTCATGTTCTCTCCATACCCTGCTATCTTCAAGAGATTTTCACTGTATCCTTGAGGATCAGCTAGTATTAAAGTTCCTAAGTTAAAAATTAAAAATGTTTCAATTTCTTCTTAATGTATTACCCATAAAAAATATCAATAATATTCTTCAATAAAAATAGAACAAAAAATAGTAAAATTTAGAAGCAATCCTGAGAAAAAAGGAAATGGAGGCACCACATGACCTGACTTTACCCTATATAAAGTAACAGCTTTGATCTGACCCAAGAAACAGAATCAAAAACCCTAAACCCAAAAATACATCCACATATATACTTATACTTAATTCATGACAAATGTGTCACAACCGTACAATTGAGAAAGGAATGTCTCTTTAACAAATGGTGCCAGTAAAACTGGATGGTAAATTTAAAAGAATGATTTGAATCATTCTTTAACGCCATCTGTACAAAAATTAATTCTAAATGGATTAAAAACTTTGACATAATATTCACAATATTAAAAAATACAGAAGAAAACATTAGCAATGTGTTTCATGACTTTTATGATAAAGGTATTTTCAGAGACTTGGCTGCTATACCAAAGTAAATAAAAGCAAAATAAACAATAGGAATTAACTCAAATTAAAGCTTTTATACAGTGAAAGAAAACATTCTTAGATTAAGATATCCCACTGCCTGGAGAAAATATTTACACATTACACAACTGGCCAGGGGTTGATATGCAAGATGCACAAGAAACATACACTATTATATATTCCTTTCAATTGTATAATCTAAAAGCTGCAAGTTCACTTTGTTCATACACCACAGTCTTGAATTGTGTCATGAGGCCATCTTAGATATAAGGGAGGTTTAGCTGGATGACCAAGTGCCAATGAATCTTCTATAGATAGAGAGTCAGGAAATAACGAGAATTGACCCACAAGTAGTCTGTGCGACACAGGTATCAACAGAAAAAGTATATGGAAAGATAAGTGAAGGTCAACTTAACACAATATTGCCAATTTTTATTATCAATTAACTTCTCCATCATTTTCCTTTGTATTCATCAAAGTCCTATTTTCCCATCTTGTTACTGAAAACAGAAATACTTTATTTCCCTATAGCCCCACACAATGAATATGGCATACACATTAGAATATTGCTGTATTAATGCATATGGAATGTTTATTAAACATTTAAAAATACTGGGCCTCCCCAGTGGCACAGCAGGTTGAGCGCAGCACTGTGAAGCTGTCCGCAGCCGGTTTGATTCCCAGTCAGCCAGGGAGAGTCCCACACAGTGCGCCAGACCTCTCCTGTCTCACCCGCTGCTCCCCTCAGCAGTGTATTTTGGTCCTTCTGCTTGTTCTGCTCCCTGCTCTGTCTCTGGTGGATTCCCTCACCCTCCTGCTCCTCTGACCTATACCCCAGTGCTTGTATAAATAAAATCTTTTTTAAAAAATTATTTAAAAAACATTTAAAAATACTGAGTTTTAAAATACATCCCCTGATGACAGATTAGATTAGAAATATTCTTTTGGAAATTAAAAAAAATCTTATCATAAGAGGTGATTTTTGAAGCATGAGAAGGATCTGACGTTTAGATCCCTGTTAAAGATTTGAGTTTGAAAGCTGGGGGTGGAGGGAATAAATTTCTTCTAAGTACTCTACCGGCTGTTAGGGCATGTTGGGATTACAGGAAGTAATGTTTTAGATTAGAGAAAATACCTCTGGTTTCCACAGACACATTTATGTTAGTGCCAACACTGGGTCATTTTATATATATATATTTCAGAAGTATTTTAAATATAGCTACATGTGACAAATATTGTGCAATAGAGCCTTGGTATTTCCAAAGGAAATTCATTCATGTAGACCTTTGTGGATGTTTCATGATTTTGATATAGCTGGTTGCTTTCTGACAGAAAATCTTACAGCCATATTTTGAAATTCTTTGATTAGGAAAACCTGCCCTCAAACTTATTCAATTCAATTTGTATTTATTGAATTTCTTCAAGAATACTTCATGAAACTTGATGATTAAGTTCCTGTCTCAAACGTCAAAATACAACAATTTTCTATACAATTTTTCTTTTGTAGAAACAGAAGATTGAATAATTTATTGTATATGTGTATTTGTCAAATTATGTTTATACTTTTCTAATTAGCAGTTTCCTTCACAACCAAGTATAGCTCTTCATGCATGCTTTTCCATGTTGGAAGTGGTTCCTTATTTATACAAGAACTGGGGCACAGGTCAGAGGTGCAGGAGGGTGAGAGAATTCACCAGAGACAGAGTGGGGAACAGAACAGACAGATGGACCGAAGACACTGCTGAGGGGAGCAGCGGGCAAGGCAGGAGAGGTCTGCCACACCATGTGGGTATCTCCTTGGCTGGCCGGGAATCAAACTCACACTGCAGAGGCTGCGGACAGCTTCACAGCTCAGCGCTCAACCTGCTGCACCACCGGGGAGGCCCGTTTCTCTTTTCTACTTTCAAAAATATTCGTTGATTAAAATGATAAGTATTTCCATTAGTAAGACTTTCAGTGAAGCATAGCTTTACAGTGGACAAGAGCATCAATCAAATATATTCCAACTTTCTCAGAAAATAATTTTCAAAGGTTATTTTTTATTTTTTAAAAGATTTGTTTGTTTGTTTGTTTGTTTATTTATTTATACAAGAACCAGGGTACAGGCCGGATGCACAGGAGGGTGAGAGGATTCACCAGAGACAGAGTGGGGAGCAGAACAGGCAGACTGACGAAATACACTGCAGAGAGGAGCAGTGGGCAAGACAGGAGAGGTCTGCCGTGCCTTGTGGGACCCTGGCCAGCCAGCCAGGATCAAACCGGTGCTGCAGAGGCTGCTGACAGCTTCACAGCGCTGTGCTTAACAGCCTGCGCCACCAGGGGAGGCCCAAAGGTTATATTTTAAAGGGACATGTCTTGTACATATAATAGCTAAACAGATTCCTATACAACCTTTGAATACATCAGTCCTCAAAGCTGCTGACATGAATACCTATACATATAAATGTAAATATATGAGTATGAGTGTTATAATTATTACCTCGTTGAATAATGGTTTGAATATTAGGAAGTAATTCAGACCATGGTATGAATTCACATTGCTGTATATCCACAAAATACCCAAAGACAGAACATTCACCAGTTGGTAGGCTGATGTCTACATGCAGAAAATATAAATAAGTAAATCCAAGTAAGAAAGATGTGCATTTATGGAATGTTTCACTATGATATGATCTTTATCTGGAAGATATTTTTGAAATAATATTCACCAAGGGTGTATCTCTAAGATGGGCTTAATGAATATAAGCCCAATGATTAAAGAGATCCAAAGTAATATTCTAGAGTAAGCGTAACTGGCATATCTCCCTCCTCCCAAAACTTACTTATATGTGGGTTGTATTCAAATAATTCACGAACAAGTTTGTCAAAATCACTGGTTACTTTTGCAAGAGAAGTAGATTCAAAACCTGAATACAAGAGTATATCATCTTCATGTTCATCTTCACGTTTTAAAGTTCCTCCAAATGCCCACATAAATGCAAACACATAAAGCTTTTGAATCATTACTTTTAATTTATCAGGATTTTCCTTCAGACTCACTGCATTTTCAGTCCTGGGGTAGAAATACATATGAAAGTGTGAAGGTTTAAATATGCACAAGATACCTTTTGCCTTTTGGGACTCTGCATAAATATTTTTGGATTAAACATGCAGCATATAAGATTCCAAAAGTGACTCTCCTGTCCTGCAAAAATGGCACAATTCTAACACTCTAGTTTCTATAATTTATTGAGCACAAACTAAATACCAGGCATTATTCTAGATACCTAGCACATCACATTATTATTCCAGTTTTATAAATGAGAAAATCAAAGCTCAAAAACATTTAGCAACATTTCTTATCTCATAAATACCACATTCATGAAATGTATTAATATCAATTTTATTTCTTTCTAAAATTTGTACAATCTGGAAAAATGTATTTATATTATTCATAGAACTCAGTATCAAAATTTGATGCTCTATTATTAGATAAAAAGGACTCTGAGTTGGAATATAATTAATTCAAAATGGGTTTTCAGATTAGGAAGTCACAAAAGTGTTTTTGGTGTATTGACAGGTAATCAACCCTATGCCTATATGAATATCTGGTACGTTTTAGGGACTAAAACATTGAAAGAATGTAGCTGACCTCTTTTCTGTATGTTCAAATTTGACCAAAGCTTCTAAAGGTGGAGAATTTGTTTCTTCAATGGAAATGTCCTTCAAATCTTCACCTTAAAAGGAAAAGAAAAATTTTCTAGAATTATCAGTAGACCTAAGATTTAGCAGGTTAATTACTGAGGTTAAGTCTTTAACATTGTTTCTATGTGAACAATCATAGAACCATTTTGTTTCACATCTGGTATCTAGAGTTAACTAATAAGACCATATTAGGAGTAACTTTCTAAGCAAAAGAGGAGCAGAGAATGCCCCTGGACTGTCTAAATCAATCCGTACTTATTAAGTATAAATTTGCACATTTTGGGAGCCTTCATTCTGTTCTGACACCTTTTTATATTTGATCCTAAATGCAAATTTCAGAACATTTAAGTGACTACCTCCAAATATGGTGCATATTACAAACTAAATAATAAATAGGTATTTACTCTGACTTTTTTCCTAGCTTCTTCCACTGATCACAGTTCATTTTCAGTCTTCTTTATTTTAGTATTTCAGGTTATAAACTTCCTTCTGAATTACCCACAAGCTTTGAAATATAATTCTTTTGTTCTGTATGTCTTTATTACCTACCTCTCCCTTCAGAATACAAACTTCATTATGGCTGAGATTTTGTCTTAGAGGAAAAATTCTCTCACTCAACCTTGGCTATACAATACAGATAAAACCCAAGGAAAAAAGCTTAAATAAATTTAATGAGAAATCTTTAAAAAAATAAACACTGTAGACAAAGCTTCCTTGAGAAGACAAGGCACTCATTCAACCATTACTGTTATTATCTCGTTAGCTAAAGTCGACTAGTAAATACACACATACTGATTACTATGTTATTATTTCTATTATTTTTTTCTTATGAAAAGGTGCATTCTAATTTTATTTGTGAGATAGGGAAAGTGATTTTCTATAATATTGGACATTTTTGTTTTAAACTTTCTAAAGACTGTGGACTCTAAATATTTCTTTTAGGAACCTACATTTATTTAAATGTTATAGAAAACTGCATTTGTTCATTTGATGATTTTCACTAAATTTGACATAGGAGGTTCTTTGGCCAATAATATTATAACAGTTAATTCACTACTTGTAATACTATCTTTACTCGGTAACTTCATCAGTATATGGATAGCTTGACTTCACTGGCAGATGAGTGTGTTGGCTTTCTCCCTACAGACCTTGTGTTTCTGAAGAGTTTGTTTCCACAAAGTAATGGAAATGTGAGTTTTTCTTTATCAGTCTATTTTGTTTCCTGCTGTATCCATGGTGCCTAAAACAGTGCCTGGCACATAGAAAGTGATCACTAAGTACATATTGAATGAAATAATTCAGTTCTTTTAAAGAATTTTTAATAAGCTCTCCCCTTTGACCCAAGCATTACTTAGGACCTAAGCACTTTTTAATGTCTAATCTTTATGGGTTTTTTTCCCCTTTAGTTATATATCTTTTTGATTTATCATTTAATGGTGGAGTGGTCAGGAAACATAGCCTGTGTAATATACTTGAAATATTTTGAAGCCTTTTTTTTTTTTTTTTTTTGGTAAATGATCTATGGATGCTCAAAAGAACAAATATTCATTTCTTCAGTACAAATGTCTATCTCCCTCTTACTATCTTGGCTGGGGTAGGAGATAATTTCGAAGACTTTCACTTGCCTTTCCTATGACAGCATTTATTACCCAGGCCAATGATCTAAAGTGGTCAAATTACTTAGTGTGACAAATCTAATTATACATTGGGGATCAGGAATATAAGCACCAGTTTTTGTTGTTGTAATTTGGGGTGTCCCAGTGGACTCCAGTAAACTGAGCCCTAATCAGGATTCCATATTTCATTCATTACCTAATCCTCATATACTCTACTCTAGTGGAAGAGGAGCATAATGATGCTTCCGGTTGCTAAAACTGTATTTATCTCTCCATAGTACAAAATATTTAATTAAATAACTCCAGTTGCCTTTGGAGAAGGAGCATTTTTGTAAACGTGCTCCATGACTCTACAGAGGGTCTAAGCCTCCAGAGAAGTAGTTGAGTTCAGTGGGTTCTGGTCACAAAAACTTTGTTCAGGTCTAGAAATGGGCAAGGATCATGATATTTTATTGAGAAAACTATTCTTAACTTTCTGGTCCTTGATTTCTTCTCATGGTACAAGCTAATGTTTGATAATATATTTTGTTCCTAGGGGTGCTATAGTCTATTAATCATCTTCATAGTTCCCTAAGAGTCCTATTTGCCCACATACCACACCCTCTTGCATTCTGCTGGTCACCATTGGACCCTCTTGTTTCAGGACCCCACTACCTCCAGTACTATCAGTGAGCCAGGTTCAGTAATCGTTTTCCCTGTTGTCAGCTCTGTTCTATAGAGAGCCACCAGTGAACATTTTAATAATACATGCCTTTGTGGGTTTACAGCAGTCTGGGGGTTCAAAATGTGAGGTGAGAATTTGTTCAGATGCCCAAATGTTGGGGTTGCTTGGTTAATATTCTTTGGGATTTGGTCACTTGGTTTATTAAATCCTAGTCCTGAGCTTTCACTGCCCTCCACCTACAAGAAGTAAGCATCTCTTTGTACGCAATCTGAGAGGCCTTCTGAGAAGGGTTGCTAAGATATCTTAACTATGATTATTGATTTGTTTATTTAACACTGTTTGGCTAACACTGGGTAGGCTCTTACCATTAATCTACATGGAAAAGATTTTGAGTCTTCCCAGACTCATAAAATAACCTACCAAACCATAGGAGATAAGAATGTTCTACTTTCAGGGCCTCCCCTGGTGGCACAGCAGTTGAGTGCTGGCCTGCAAAGCTGCCCGCAGCCTCTGCAGCGCAGGTTCCATTGCAGGCCACCGGCGAGGGTTCCACATGGCACACAGACCTCTCCTGCTGTGCCTGCTGCTCCCCTCAGCAGTGTATTTCATCAGTCTGCCTGTTCTGCTCCCCGCTCTGGCTCTGATGAATTCACTCACCCTCCTGCACTTCTGACTATACCCAGTGCTTGTTTAAATAAATAAATCTTAAAAAAAAAATTCTACTTTCAGATAGTGAGGGAAACCTGTATACTATTGTGATATTTTGGCTTCTTCTTATTTATGTTTTACTATTTCCATGTTCTTACTTTTGCATAATTACAGCTTACCCTAGGATTTTGGATAGATGTTTCCCACAATTTCTATCTGAGAATCTTTAAAACATAGTAAAACTATTCTTCCCTAATACTCTATGAATTCTTTGAACTCATTTTTCTGTTATCCTTCAAAACTTAATGTGTTTCATTTTACTTTATTGATATGCTCCTCTGTAACTGAGTTTTAGTTGTACCATGTGCATGTCTGCTGTTGTTGTAAGTAAACTAAAAATTCCTGACTTTTTCTTTTATAAAATCTAATTAAAACATGATGAATAATTGGCATTTATAAGCTCAGCTATTGTATCATTAATATGGTTTAGGGAATGAACAACTCACTTTGTCCAAAGCCTCCATTTTCATGAATGAATTCAAAGAAAGCATCAAGAATTCTGCAGAGGGTTATAACAATTGTTATGTCCTGTACAGGAAATGGCTGAAATTTCTTGTATTTCTTTATAAACTGTAGTCCATTTGTGATGCTATTTTTAATCATGAATTCAAGACAATCCACTCCCGATTGACTCATAATTTTAGAAGTCTTCATAAGCCATGACTTAATGTAAGGCTCCCAACCCAGATCAATGGGATCCTAACAATAAAAAGTATAAGATCATTTTATGTCAATCAGTAAAAATAGTGTCTTCCTGCTTTCTTACTATCTCCCCACTTCACAACTGCCCCCTGCCAAACATGGTTTTAAATTATCATTCATTAAAGGGCAAGTTATCAAAAATCATTACCCTCCCCTGAAATTATTGGTGATTTTTAATCATATTCTTAAAAGGCAAGCATCTAGGTGATGTCTAAGGAGGTAAACTGTGTATGTGGTCAGGGGAACTGCTGTTCCCCTGAAGGTCAGCATTGTCTTTAGCTTTATTTGTTAAGTAGATCAAAACATAGAGCTGATCTAGACTAATAATTTAATTTATAGAAAACACAATTATTTGTGTCTTCTACCTCCTCACCTTTCTTTTGATAGTGTTTCACAGGCCTGAGAGTATGGAATGCGTGTGAAAAGGATAATCTTTCCTCTTTTGGAAAAAGAATTTACATAAGCAGCCTAACTTGTCTACTGAAAAGTATGACTTATAGTTGTGGAAAATACTAATAACACTCCATTTACTTTGTAGTATTAATTATAGTAGTAATTATATTCATATTCATTTCTGGGTTAGGAGGCTTTAAGGAACACAAAACATAACTACTGGGATCACCATGCTGGATATAGAGGCAAAAAAAAATAAGCATAAAAATTTCTGTAAAATAGGCCCTCCCCGGTGGCGCAGCAGTTGAGCACTGGGTTGCGAAGCTGCCCGCAGCCTCTGCAGCGCCGGTTTGATCCCCGGCCACCAGTGAGGGTCCCACATGGCACACAGACCTCTCCTGCTGCCCGCTGCTCCCCTCAGCAGTGTATTTCGTCTGTCTGCCTGTTCTGTTCCCCGCTCTGACTCTGGTGAATTCTCTCACCCTCCCATGCTTCTGACTGTACCCAGTGCTTGTATAAATAAATATATCTTTAAAAAAAAATTGTGTAAAATAATAACTGGTCTTTATACTAGACAACAGATTTTGTTAGGAAATTTGTTTTTGAAAACTCACCATGTAGACTATTGCACATCGACTGACAATAGCAGGGCTAGCCTGGGAAAGAGTGTCCACTTCAAAAATCACTCTTATTTTTTCAGTTAAAGCTATTCTCTCACTATTGGCTAGGCATAACATTCCAGTTTCATCTAGCATAGAGTTTATATTTTCCACCCAAGAGGCATCCACGGGGCCATCTAAGATAATCCACTGCCAATCAAAGTCTAGAGAGAAAAATATTTTTAATGTAACAGAATGATCTCAGTCTTCTTCATTACAATCTTGCACATTTTCTATTTTATTTAGAAAATACTCATTAGAATTTTCATTAAATGAAAATGATAGCCTAGAAAACACTAGGGTGAATGTGTTTATAAGCAGTCTCTATTATCTATTAAAATTAATATTCATGCCATATACTTAATGTACTAGATATTGCTTTGATAGTCTTAGATTGCTTAAAATCTGGATAAGAAACTGATCTATGAATATATCTTTTGTATAATAATATGATTTGCAAGTTTCTCTCTGTCATCCAGGAACATACTTAAGATATGCTGCCTCTGGGAATAGCAAACAGAAGTAAGAGCCCTTCGAAAAAAGAAGGAAATAAACAGAAAACAGACTTAAGAGCATTTTACATTGGGAACCCACTTACCTCTCTTTCCACATTTATACCCCCCATCTATCTTCATATTTTTAGAAAATATGGATCAGGATGTGGGGGGCCATGAATGGTTTACCACAGATGAAGATAAAAGTTAAGCCCTGATGATAAGCATCCCAGAAGAACAGGAGAGCAGAGCCAGGATCCAGGTGCCACCACTGTAAAATGCTCTTAAGTCTGTTTATTTCCTTCTTTTTTCAAAGGGCTCTTACTTCTGTTTGCTATTTCCCAGAGGCAGCATATCTTAAATATGTTCCTGGATGACAGAGAGGAACTCGCAAATCATATTATTATACAAAAGATATATTCATAGATCAGTTTCTTATCCAGATTTTAAGCAATCTAAGACTATCAAAGCAATATTTAGTGCATTAAGTATATGGTATGACTCTGACTGGCTGAAATACCTGTCTTGGGCAGTCTCAAAATCCCATTAAGGAAATTTATTATTTGCAATCACTGTACTCTCCCAAGCCAAATACCAAAAAGTGGCCTGCAAAGCTTCATGGATTCTAAGAAAGCAGGCACAATAGTGGAAGTCTCTGTTTCAGAGTCTGGAGTAGATATGGCGCACATGTTGATCCCGTAGGTCTGACGTGGAATAAAGGAAGCAATGGTTGGGCTTCTGCAGTAAGCCATCCACTCCTGCTGGTGAGGTACTCGTCATGCACACTCTCCATTTCCCTGGTTCATGGCAGAGTGTAGGGTGTATAATGTGTGTACCATTCATTTTAGATGAATATGCTTGCATTGTGTGATTGGGCCTGGGAATGTGGAGTCCTACTTCCAAGGCCATACTGTTGTAGTCACTACGCTGCTACTCACTCCACACCTTTAATGTCATTCTACCTTTAACATATTTTGGTTCTTGTGAGACAAAAATGATCCTTTATTAACTGAAAGATCTATATAAGTCCAAGCATTTAGATAACATAATTATATACATCTAAACTGCAGTATAGTATATGGTCATACTACACAAATTTAAAATAAATACATTAGAAAAATACAAATAGTACAAGAACAAAATATCACTGATTGATAAATGTTCTTAAAAATACAAGTAAAGCAGCTGTTGGTTCAATTTATCTTCAATGTTGATTAGTCATCTTTTCCAAATTTAATGTTAATACTTACTTTCTGGAATTTTACCCTCTTTCTCTATCTTCTCAAAAATATTATCATTACTATTTGCTGTATCAATGGATTGAAGTTTGAAAACCTAAAACATGCAATTGATTATATTAAATTTTTATAGTATATTGATACTTTCTTGAGTGAAAAAGTATGAAAGGCAGATATCAACATATACCCAGCACAGTAAAATATATCAGATTTGTGACTACAGGTCATTTCCTTTCAGAAAATACCTTTAAGTTTTTTTGTTTTTCCCATAAAGATAGTACACACTTATTGAATAATGTTTTAACAAGTAACAAAGCACAAAAAGATAAACATGGCCCAAGGTGCTGCCAGAGAAGTTTCCTTGCTTCATTCTGCAGAGTGTCATCTATAGAGGAAGCAGACAGACACTACACCCAGAGAGTCCCGTGGTCTGGGACATAACAGGAACACCTCCTGGACATCAGAAATCAGCACAGACTACTCTAGAGGGCCATGAAGGAGACTAGTGTTTCATTCAATAAGAAGTAGGGAGGAAAGAACGCCTGGAGACAGGTCTGGAGAGGGAAGCCATGGTAAGAACTACAGCACTGCTGCTTGTCAGTGACCCCAGACGGGGACAGCAAAATGAGGTGGGGGCACACACCTTTCCTGAGGGGAGCTACATTCGGAGAAACTGGGGTGCTTCATACAGGCTGGGTTCCCGTGAAAAGAACATGGACAGTACATGGAACTGAGCCCCAATCCTCAGCCTCTCCAGGACTGGTACTGACCCAGTGAACAGCACTGACAGCACAAAGACTACAGGATCTGAGGTCTGAAACATGAGAGGGATAGCGACAGTGCCAGGAACACAAGTCCGCCCTCACCTCAGCACATTTATACCAGCAGCTGGGCCTTTCCAGACCCCTCCCCTATCTCTGACCCAGCAGCTGCAAGATCAGGTCTCTGGACCTTAGAAGACAACAAAGGTCAAAAAACTAAAATGCTAGCCCTTCGAAAAGTAGTAGTAGTTCAAATCTCACAGTGACTGCTGTAGATAGCTTTAAAAAATATATAGAAATCTAAAGCAGCAAAAGGGCAGACCAAAAAAAAAAAAAAATTCAAAACATGATTCCCTGAAGTCTCAAGACAATAGGAAATAAAGGGAGAAAATAACTATAAATCCAGGGCCGCCCCTGGTGGCACAGGCAGTTGAGCGCAGCGCTGTGAAGCTGTCCGCAGCCTCTGCAGCGCCAGTTCAATCCCGGCGGGCTGGCGAGGGTACCACATGGTGCAGCAGACCTCTCCTGTCTCGCCCACTGTTGCCCTCAACAGTGTATTTTGTCAGTCTGCATGTTCTGCTCCCTGCTCTGTCTCAGGTGAATCCTCTCACCCTCCTGCGAATCTGGGCTGTACCCTGCTTCATGCATAAATAAATAAATAAATCTTTAAAAAAAAAACTATAGGGCCTCCCCGGTGGCGCAGCAGTTGAGCGCTGGGTTGCGAAGCTGCCTGCAGCCTCTGCAGCGCCGGTTGGATCCCCGGCTGCTCCCCGGCCACCTGAGGAGGGTCCCACATGGCGACCTCTCCTGCCGCCCGCTGCTCCCCTCAGCAGTGTACTTCGGTCCTTCTGCCTGCTCTGCTCCCCGTTCTGGCTCTGGTGAATTCTCTCATCCTCCCGCGCTTCTGACTGTACCCAGTGCATGTATAAATAAACAAACAAAACAAAACAAATAAATAAATAAAAAACATGCCTCTATTAAAAAAAAACTATAAATCCAATAATAAAGACATTGACTATTTCATCTTCCTATCAGAGAAAGTTAAAACTTGCCATAATAAAGGCAAAGAGATAGAAGATAATGCAGAAAAACAAGTCAAAGTGAAACAAGAAGGATGAAGCACGGGCAAGCACCCTCGAAAGGCAAATATCCTTAACTTCATTCAGAAAAGGGAGTAACAGACATACAACAAAATTCAGAAAAACAAATGAATGACCTGAGAAATAAAATGAATGAACACAATAAAATCAGCAACATAAATATCCTATTATTTGAGAACTTAAAAATGTTTTTTCTTAAACGATTCTTGCATCAATGAGGAAATGAAACATACATTCAGAAGAGCTACAAACTAAATTCTAAAGGTAGTGAAAAGAAACTAGCTCTTCTAGATATTAAAATACATTGTAAAGCTATTGTAATTAAAAATGTGTCATTTTGTTATGTAGGTGGAGAGGCAGAAAAAAGAATGTAGAAATACCTATATACATATGGTATTTATAATCATGTCATATTAGTGGGAAAGAGATGAATTTTCAATTGTCAGAACAATATTCCATCTGAGAAAAAAATTCAGTCACTCACACAAAATAAAATAAAGAGGTCTAAAATTTAAAGGTGTTTATTTTATGTCTGCAATTGAGTAACCTACAATGTACCAGAATAACCTTAGATTAGGGAAAGCTGTGACTGAAAACCTAGACTGTACAAAAGACTGTATTTATAAGATTATTTTCATGGATTGCAGAAAATAAGTATAACACAGTTCAAAAATAAATGATTACTTTTCAAGACAGAAAATATTTTAAGTCAATATCAAAAACAGCAACAACACAATAAAATTTTTTGTTTCCTTAGAATAAATTATTAGAGTAGATTTTTAAAAGTTAAAATAGCTAGTTAAAAATCTCAATATGCAGCCACTAAATTAATCCTAGATGTATATGAACTTCTATTTCACAGCCTTGTGATTATGGCATATCATTAGAAAAACTACTAATAAGCTTGGTTCAAAATACCATCTTTTTGTTAGTATATTTTAGCTAATGAAATAAATGTACTAGTAATCTCTACTCATTAATAATGATAACACAACTTTCCAAGTGTGTTTTTTCTATTCATATTTATTCCTTGATAAATTTTATATCAAATATTTTATTCATCTTAATGAAGTTTTTCATACCCCATTATTTTGTAAGGTATATTGGTGGTGCCAGAATCAGAAGGGTATCCTCCACTTACAGATAATCAAGTATTCCTTGTCATTTTTCTTTTTTCAAACTGATATTTTAAATTTATTTTTATGTGGATAAAGCATCTAATAATTCTTTAATAATATTTAGATAAACAACAAAACAATCCCCAATAATCAAATAAAAATACTCATTCCAAACTAAACTTACATTAGATTTATGCAGTCCTTGGAGGAAGTGTTTCTTTGAGTAATTTTCAGTGTTTGAATGCACATAATTTCGAATTGTTGCTGATAATAATCCATCAGTCCATTCCATAGTATTAGACTCCAACTGTCCATATAACTCATTAAGAGTGATACACTTTGGATTTAAAACACAAACATCTACTTTTCCTTTTCTTCCTGCAAACTGAGAAAAATCCAGTGTAGTTTCCAAAGTACAATTAGTTGATTTTTTTTTACACTGTTATTACCAAAAGATTTTAGGAGAGATCTTTTACCCTAAAGAAAGATTCTCAATAAAGGTGGCAGGATAAATAGGAATAGGAAAAATAGACTTATTGAGTAAAATTAGCGAGAACAGTCAAATGATTATTTTTTTAAGACTGTTAAATATTATAAATGCTGTTGTTTTTCAAAAATGGGGTAATACACTGTGCCTCACCCAAGAACACAATATATTAGCTGAGATGTGGTGGGTTTTTTTTTTTTATTTTTTTATCTTATTTTTTAAGACTTTTACTTTTTATTTATATAGCACTGGGGTACATGCCAGAGGCACGGGAGGGTGAGAAAATCCACCAGAGACAGAGCAGGGAGCAGAACAGGCAGAAGGACTGAAGTACACTGCTGAGGGGAGCAGTGGGAGAGACTGGAGAGGTCTGCCTCGACATGTGGGAATTTCCATGGCCGGCCAGGAGTCGAACCGGTGTGGCAGAAAAGCTGCAGACAGCTTCACAGCACTGTGCTCAACCCACTGCGCCACTGGGGAGGCCCCTGAGATGTGTTTTTGGAGCAAGGGTTGGATATAAATGTAAGGGACGATTTTATTTGCAACATTTTAACAAATCTTGGGCTGCCAGAAGAACTGGTGTCTGGTCTATCTCAGATTTCTGGAGGAAAAATGGCAGGTACTTCTTGTGAAGGCGGCAGGAAGACAACAGGGACCCTCAGAAGCTGAAGACAAGAGATTATGGCTAGAGACATAAAATAGACCAGAGAGACATAATGGTAGGAATTGGTGGGAAATTAATACATTCAAATGCAACTGTGTCTAGAGGGTAACTGTGAGTGCCACACACAGCGCCAGTCAAGATGTGTGTCCAGAAAAGACCTGAAAAGAACTTAGACCTCACCTTAGACTAACCCTTAGGTTCAGGGCAGTGAACAACTACTTTAGTAAAGAGCAAAGAAAAACCACAAATGGATAAAACCCATTGAAGCTCAGCTATTGTACATATTAGAAAAGTCTTTAATTGTCTTGAATATGTTCAAACAGTTGAAGAAACCATGGCCAAAGAACTCAAGGAAATATGAGAAAAACTAGAGAATAGAATAGCTAGAAACTGTAAAAAGAAACCAAATAAATTATGAAGCTAAAAATACAACAGCTGAAATAAAAAAATCAACACAGGTACTACATTAAAAATTAAACAGACAGAGAAAAGACACAGCAAATTTGAAGATCAGGTTAATGAGATCATCCAGACAGGAGTCACCCTAAATAACAGAGATGAAATACACATTCTCCAACTGCAATAGTATAAAACTAGAAATCAATAACAAAAAAAAGAAAATTCTGCAAATACACGGCAAATAAGTCACACACTATTAAACAATCAATGGCTCAGAGAACAAATAGCTAGGGAATTGAGATAACAGAAAATGAAAACAAAACATAACCAAACTTACAGGAAGCAGGAATGAAGTTCGAGGAGGAAAAATTATGGCTGATAATTAGGGTAATTATGGTTATCTTAAAACGAAAAAACTAATTAAAATGAGAGGATTATTAATAAATTATAGTGTAGTCATATATTAGAACACAGTCATTTAAATAACATTGTGAGGCATATTTAACGCCATCAGCTTAATTCTCAATATATAAAATTAAGTGAGAATACCAATATTACAAATATTGAGATCACTTATATGCAGTATGATCTCAATTTTTTTAAGACTTATTTACCATAGAAAAATAAAAGAAATATGGAAAATGTTTGCAGTCATCCTCTCTAGGTTATTAAAATTAACTATTCACAGTTCATTAATTACTTATATTTCCAAATTCTTCACCATTGTACAACCTGTGTTGTAAATTAAAAAGTGTTTTGGTAAGGTATCAGAATAAAAACAAATATATAGACCAATGGACTAGAACTGAGAGGCACAAAATACACCACCACATATATGAGCAGTTAAACTTCAACCAAAAAGTTGAGACAATACAGTGGCAAAAGGAAAACCTCGTCAACAAGTGGTGCCAGGAAACTGGCTGGGAGAAGATATTTGCTCTTCATGCATCTATTAAGAGCATAATATTCAAAAATATATAAACTCACACAACTCAACCAAAAAAACAAACAACCCAACCAAAAGATGGGCAGAGGATTTGAATGGACATTTCTCCAGAGGATATTCAGATGGCTAATGGGCACATGATAAAAGTGTTCATTTATTGGGCCTCCCCGGTGGCGCAGCATTTGAACGCTGGGTTGCGAAGCTGCCTGCAGCCTCTGCAGCACCGGTTCGATCCCCCGCTGCTCCCCGGCCACCAGAGGAGGGTCCCACATGGCGCGCAGACCTCTCCTGCCGCCCGCTGCTCCCCTCAGCAGTGTACTTCGGTCCTTCTGCCTGTTCTGCTCCCCGCTCTGGCTCGGTGAATTCTCTCACCCTCCTATGCCGCTGACTGTACCCAGTGCTTGCATAAATAATTAAATAAATCTTAATAAATAAATAACTTAAAAAATAATTTAAAAAAAAAGTGTTCATTTATTATTAGAGAAATGCAAGTCAGATCCACAATGAGAGCCTCCCTGGTGGCACAGGGATTAAGACTCAGCACTATGAAGCTAGGTTTGACCCCTGGCCAGGGAGGTGACCCACAGGGTGCAGCAGACCTCTCCTGTCTCTCCTGCTGCTCCCCTCAGCAGTGTATTTCAGTCGATCTGCCTGTTCTGCTCCCCACTCTGTCTCTGGTGAATCCACTCACTCTCTCACCTTTCTGGCCTGTACGCCAGCTCTTGATTGCATAAATAAATAAAATAAATAAAATCTAAAAAAAAAAAAAACAAAACACCAAAACCACAGAGATACCACTTCAAACCTCGGGATGGAATTTTTTTTAAGATGTATTTATTTATGCATACAAGAACTGGGGTTCAGGCCAGATGTGCGGGAGGGTGAGAGGATTCAACAGAGACAGAGTGGGGAGCAGATCAGGCAGAGTGACTGAAATACACTGCTGAGGGGAGCAGTGGGTGCGAGTCAGGAGAGGTCTGCTGCACCATGTGGGTAGCTCCCTCCTGGGCCCGGGATCCAACTCATGCTGCAGTGGTTTTGGATAGCTTCATAGCACTGTGCTTAATCCCTTGCGCCACCAGGGAAGCCCAGAATTTCTTGGTAGTATGCTAATTCTATATTTAGCTTTTGAGTTTGAGAGCAGCAGTACCATATTAAATTACCACAAATGATGTTATCAAGTTGGCTATTTTCCACATCACAGAAACTTGATGTGGGTTTTTTTTTTTCTATTCTAGTGGGTGTAAAATAGAATTTCAAAGTGTATTTGTATTTCCTTAATAACATATGGATAAGCTTTGGAAACAACCCAAATGCCCAAAAATAGATGACTGGATCAAGAAGATGTGGTACATATATACCATGGAATATTACTCAGCATTCAAAAAAGATAAACACATGCAATTTGCAGCAACATGGATGGTGCTGGAAGGGATCATGCTCAGCGAAATAAGCCAGAAAGAAAAAGAAAAATACCGGATGGTCTCACTCATAGCAGGAATCTAGAGAACTTAAATAAGGGACCAGGAAAATGAATAACTATAAGAAAGTGAAAATCAAAATCAACAAAAAACTATGAACCAGAGACACTTTTAGGGGGGTGGGAGCGGGAAGGGAGGGATTGGGGTCAGAATAGGGAGGGCTGCAATTGTATGGGGAATATAAAAATAAAACTTATAAAAAAAATAAATAAATAAAATCAGGACGTGTGATGCCAAAAAAAAAAAATAACATACGGATATTTAACATGTGTTCATGTGGTTACTGGCTATTTGTAAATCTTCTTTGGAGAAATGTCTATTTACATTTTTGTTCATTTTTAATTTGAATGGTTTGCTTTTTTTGTTGGTGAAAGAAGGAGGTGACTAAATACAAAAGATACACAATTAAATAGTACACTAGCAATTACCAGTTTGAGATTCAAATAAAAAAAATCCCATTTACTGCAATGATTCCTAACTATAAAATTCCTAATGATAAATTTAATAAGAACATATTCAGTAAGGAAAACATAAAATGTTACTACAGTATAAAATAATATGGAAATGAGAAATATTTTATTTTGCAGAACATTTACCTGTGAACTACGTTGCAGTTGTTCAATTGATAAGAAATCTACAACTGGTAAGTGTATTAATGCTTTTTCTAAAATTCTTCTGACTGTTGTCTTTCCTCCACCTGTTGGACCCACTAACATCACACCAACATAATTCTAAAAAAAAAAATTGCATATTATTGTTAAATCCTAGTTTACTTATGGTTCCAAAAACTGAAACCTGCAGGTTCTTATTTACAAATATGTCAAAAACTATACATTTGAACTCCTTCAAATTATCATTCAAACAATATTCTCTTTTTTTTAAAATAATAAATTTTATTTTTATATTCTCCATACATTTGCAACCCCCCAATTCTGACCCGACTCCCTCCCCTCCCACCCCCCACTCCCCAAAAACTGTCTCTGGTTCATAGTTTTTTGTTGATTTTGATTTTCACTTTCTTATAGTTATTCATTTTCCTGGTCCCTTATTTAAGTTCTCTAGATTCCTGCTATGAGTGAGACCATCCGGTATTTTTCTTTTTCTTTCTGGCTTATTTCGCTGAGCATGATCCCTTCCAGCGCCATCCATGTTGCTGCAAATTGCATGTGTTTATCTTTTTTGAATGCTGAGTAATATTCCATGGTATATATGTACCACATCTTCTTGATCCAGTCATCTATTTTTGGGCATTTGGGCTGTTTCCAAAGCTTAGCTATTGTAAATAGAGCTGCTATAAACATAGGGGTGCGGGTGTCCTTTGGGTAAATACCTAGGAGTGGAATTGCTGGATCATATGGAAGCTCAATGTTTAGTAGGTCCAGAAATCTCCACACAGCTTTCCATAGTGGTTGGGCCAGTTTGTACTCCCACCAACAGTGCAGGAGAGTTCCTTTCTCTCCACATGCTCGCCAACATTTGTTGTTTTGTTTTTTTTAATATGTGCCATTCTCACTGGTGTAAGATGGTATCTCATGGTAGTTTTGATTTGCATTTCCCTGATTACAAGTGATGTTGAACATTTTTTCATATGCCTGTTGACCATTTGCATTTCCTCTTCAGAGAAGTTTCTTTTTAGCTCTTCTGCCCATTTTTGACAGGATTATTTTCTTTGTTGTTGTTGAGTCTCATCAGCTCTTTGCAGATTTTTGTGATCAGTCCTTTATCATTAGTGTTGTGTGCAAAAATATTCTCCCAGTGGGTGGGGTTTGTCTTTGTTTTTGTTATTGTCTCTTTTGCTGTACAGAAGCTCTTTAATTTGATGTAATCCTAGCTGTTTATCTTTGCCTTCACTATCACTGCTTTGGGTGATGTCTGTAAAGATGTCTTTGATGTGCATATCACGTAGTGTTTCGCCTATATTTCCTTCTATGTATTTTATGGTTTCAGGTCTTATGTCTAGTTCTTTAATCCATTTTGAGTTGATTTTTGTGTATGGTGTGAGGTAGTGGTCAAGCTTCATTCTTTTGCATGTAGCGACCCTGTTTTCCCAGCACCATTTATTGAACAGACTTTCTTTGCTCCAATGCATAGTCTTTGCTCCTTTGTCAAAGATTAGTTGACCATAAATCTGTGGGTTTATTTCTGGATTTTCTATTTGATTCCATTGGTCTGTATGTCTGTTCTTGTTCCAATACCATGCAGTTTTGATGATTATGGCTTTGTTGTATAGTTTGAAGTCTGGGAGTGTGATGCCTCCATTCTCTTCTTTTCAGGAGAGCTTTGGCTATTCGGGGTTTTTGGTGATTCCATATGAATTTCATTAATAATTGTATTTCTTTGAAGAATGACATTGAGATTTTTATTGGAATAGCATTGAATCTGTATATTGCTTTTGGTAGGATGGCCATTTTAATAATGTTTATTCTTTCAATCCATGAGCAGGGGATGTCTTTCCATTTCTTTGTGTCTTCTTCTATTTCTTTTAACAGTGTTTTATAGTTTTCTTTGTATAGGTCCTTTACCTCTTTTGTTAGATTTATTCCCAAATATTTGATTTTTTTTGTTTTGATAATAAAAGGGATTTTTTTTTATTTCTTCTTCTTCAGATTTATTGTTTGTGTATAGGAAGGCTACTGATTTTTGCGTGTTGATTTTGTATCCTGCCACTTTACTGAACTGATTGATGAGTTGAATTCGTTTTTCTGTGGAGTTTTTGGGGTTCTCTATGTATATTATCATATTATCTGCAAATAGTGATAGTTTGACTTCTTCTTTTCCTATTTGGATTCCTTGGATGTCTTTCTCTTGTCTTATTGCTCTGGCTAGGACTTCCAGTATTATATTGAAAAGCAGTGGTGAGAATGGACATCCTTGTCTTGTTCCAGATCTTAATGGAATTGCTTTCAGCTTTTCACCATTGAGAATGATACTGGCTGTTGGCTTGTCATAGATGGCCTTTATGATGTTGAGGTACGTTCCTTGTATCCCAAGAATTTCAAGGGCTTTTATCATGAATGGGTGTTGCACTTTGTCAAAAGCTTTCTCAGCATCTATTGATATTATCATTTGGTTTTTATATTTCTTTTTGTTGATGTGTTGGATAACGCTGATTGCTTTTCGGATGTTAAACCATCCTTGTGTCCCTGGCATGAATCCTACTTGGTCATGGTGAATTATCTTATGGATACATTTAAACAATATTCTCTTGATGCTGTATTTAAGTTAATGTTAAAATTACCTGGGCCCATGTAACCAAATGGATTTGGTCCCAGGCTCTGTCAGATTAAATATGAGTGGTCCACAGAGTGGCTTACTCATGGGAAATTTCACCAGTAGCCAAGATAATAAACAAGGGGTAAATGTTGTTGGAATGAACTCTTTCAATGTCTCTGTCATTTATCACATACCTCTGAGCAAAGGCAGTAAAAGCTTTCTTTAGAACTGTCCTTTCAAGAATGTTTGTTTAGCAAACAATTTGAGAAGACAGAAAATTGGAATAAAAAAATAATGTCTCCTTCCTGAACAAAAACTGGGAAAGTTTGCAGGTAGCACCATTATAAGATTGGAAGGTTTCTAATTTGGGGTTCTGCTGATCAAGCTATCTGAATTACCGGTTGATTATACAAGAAAATAGTAAAAATAGCAAAGATGGAAAATTACAATGGGACAGTGGACATGCTACATAAAATTTGGACTTTGGCATTTTAGTTTACTAATATAACCATAAGTGAACTTAAAGTTTTAGAGAAATATAATATCCAGATTTTTCAAAAGTGGAAAATTCTAACATTAAAACACAAACCATGATAAAGATCAATAGGTTTTACTGCATTAACAATGGTTTCTGCATAACTGCACACCATGATATTTCTAAAAAGCCATGTCAGAGAATGTATTTAGTATTTACAATGCACATAAGCAATAAGAAATACGATATAAAAATACGTAATGAAGAGTCTACATATTTACTATGAAATAGATAAACAATCCAGGCCTCCCTGGTGGTGCGCTATGAAACTAGCACCAGCCACTGCAGCATGAGTTCCACCTCTGGTGAGTGAGCTGAGCCGTATGTCGCAGCAGATATCTCCTCTCTCACCTGCTGCTCCCCCTCAGCAGTGTATTTCAATCAATCTGCCTGTTCTGCTCCCCACTTTGTCTCTGGTGAATCCTATCACCACCCCGCACCTCTGGCCTACACTCCAGCTCTTGTATGCATAATTAAATAAAGTAAATTGTTAAAAAAAAAAAAGCCCAATTGAAAATAGTAAATTACATAATTTGGCAATTCATGGGAAATTCACATGGCTAATAAACATTAAAAAGCACGTGTAATTTCACTACTAATCAGGGAAATGCATGATATGATAGTTTCCCCAATGTTTCATTCACGGAGAGCAGAAAATTCAAACAAGGTGTAGCAATGAAATGCAGAACATTTTATACAACATTTGTAGGGCTTCTCTTACTTACAATTATGTATTAAGAGGGTGTATGTGAATAAGACTCATCTGTTGAAAAATCAGCAAAGGGTCAAGTAACAAAGCCCAGCGAATTAGTCAATATACCTCTTTAATTTGAAGAACATTATAATAGTCATTCATTATTATTGTATTTTTTTCTTTCATCAGTCTATTAAAACCAGAACAAAGAAATGTTAACATGGCATTCTACATTTACCTGAAGTTGATTATAAAACTGCATTATTTTCTCTTTCTGAGCTGGCCATTGTTGTAAGCCCAGTTGTTGGGTTGCAGTATGTATTACTTTCTAAGAGAAAATAAAAATATTAATTTAAAATCATTACAAATTAAACTCAACATATAATCCCACAAAATGTTTCTTAACTAGCTTCCAAATACTGCACTTCAAGACCGTTCTTAATATTTTAGTTTACCAACCGGAGAATGATGACAACTTTTATTACTTTCCCTTTAAAAACACAATCCATATAAAATTTTATGTTCACAGATCCCTGGTAGCAAAAGCACAGACCCTACTCTACGTAAAGATGTACTAAAGGGAATATTATAAAGCAAAAGGAAAACAAATACAGAGTTAACAGTCACCGAAATCACAAAAACTGGAGGAAGTAGCGCTTAACAATGTGGCCCATCAGAATGAATTGAGATCAGACTATCTAATGAGCAACAAAAATAGGCCATCATGTACTAACATCAGCAGAACCTTCAAAGAAAAACCAATACAAGTAACATATAAGACAATGAGAATGGAACCTAAACTTAAAAGATGTCAAGAGATAAAAAAACAAAGTCAAAATAAGAAAAAAAGGCAAGTCATTATACTACAATACAAAGTTCACCTTCTGCTATTTACAGGAAACCCAACATACCAACAATGGCAAGCACAGATCTATAAGCAAATGGCCATCCAAAAAGTTAGGAAGACCTATATACACATGTATTACATTATATAGATGTTTAATTAAAATAAATATTAAGAATACAGATGGGCATTACATCATAATGAAGGGCCTAATACAAAAAGATGATACAATACTTACATATGCATCAAATGATGGAAAATTAAGGCACACAAGGCAATTATTAATACAACTAAAGAAAGATATTGACAACAAAACAATAATACCAGGGATTTTAATAACTGCTTACCAAAACATTAACAGCTTACCAAAACTTTGCTCTTTTTGGTTTGAATTGACCCATCTAACCTTAGCAGGGGAATCCCAAAGCACTCCACCCACAGACCCTAATAAAGGCTTGTGCCCCTAATGCTGGCATGTTCTCTCTCTGCACCCTGATTTGACCTCCCTGTGTGGCTCCTCCAGGCATTTAGCGTACGCTTCCTCTAGGACTATGAATAACAGTCCCTCAATTTCTCTTGTGATCTTTTGCTAAACTGTGGCTCCCCATCTGCACCCTGTGCCCCACTGTAGAGGCAGGACTGGACACCGAGCAGGTTTTCTGATCCAGCAGACTGGGGTAAAGGAGGAAGGAGACCTGGAGCCCTCAATGGCTTTTGCAGGCTTTTATTGGGATTTACCAGGTACACAGCAGGCAGGGGTGCTGGGGGGTGGGGAGGCTGGCAGGTCTCCCAACCCCCAGCAACTTTTTACTCTTTCTGGGCTCTCTGGTGATCTCTGCTGCTCTCATGGTTCTTCATGCTTCTCTGCTGCTTCTCCCATTTGTTCTGCTTCTGCTTCTCTGCTTCTACTGCTTCTCTTCTCTCAGCTTCTGCTGGCGTCCCCGCGATGCCGCCCCTAAAAGCCCAGTCTCAGCCCAGGTGAATCCCATCTACCTATGCCCACACCCTATTCCAGGTGCCCGCCATCAGGCATGCATTCAGGACCGCAGGGTTCTGTCATCTATCCTCATAGCAGGAGGGCAGAAAAGCCTGATACACCCACTTAACAAAGGTTAATCTAAAAGAGTCATAACAAATGGAGATAAGTGCATCTCTATATCTCATATTTTCAGCTGACAAGAGAAAATACTTTCTTATGTGCATATGATATATTGATAAAAATTACTTTAAGTTAGGCAATAAAAATCTAAATTACATTGTTAAGGATAAAGATAATACCATTTGATCATTATATTAAGACTAGAAATTAATAACAGAATGAAAAAAAAATGAAAGGTCCTGTAAAGTAAGGTAAAAAGTATCAGGCTTTTCTGCCCTCCCGCCATTGGGATAGATGACGGAACACTGCAGTCCTGAATGCATGCCTGATGGCGGGCACCTGGAGTAGGGTATGGGCATATGTAGATGGGATTCACCTGGGCTAAGACTGGGCTTTTAAGGGCAGCGACATGGGGACACCAGCAGAAGCCAAAAAGAAGCGGAGAATTAGAACAGAAGCTGAGAGAGAGAAAGAGAAAACAACGGAGAGCCCAGATAGAGTGGAGACTTGCTGGGGGCTGGGAGCCCCCCCAGCACCCCTGCCTGCTGTGTACCTGGTAAATCCCAATAAAAGCCAGCAAAGCCACTGAGGGCTCTAGGACTCCTCCTTCACCCGGTCTGCTGGATCAGAAAACCTGCCCTGTGTCATTCCTGCCTTTACAGGTCCCTTACCTGGAAATTAAAAATATGAAAAACTCAGCTTAAGAGCATACTTAGGAAAAAAGGAAGTGCTAGCTATAGTATTTCTGGAAAACAGTAATACTATATGAAAACGCTGAACTTATGGTATATATAACTAAAGCAGTGCTTAGAGGAAGTTTTATAGTCTTACAGACTTATATTAGTAAAATAAAAAGAAAGTAGATGAATTCTACATCTTACTTAAAAAGTTGTACAAACAAAAAAAAGAATGGATACATAAAAATATTGATATGATGTGGATATTAAAGAGCCGGGAAGCAGAAAAAGATGTATGAAATAAATAAAAGGCTGGTTATTTGAGGAAAAAAAAATCAATCTCTAGTCTAATTAATGAAGAAAACCCAAATTAAGAAAATAATGACTGGGAGAATAACCTCAGTAACAGGTGTAGTGGCAGGAAGGGCACAGAACAGGTTTCTCTATGATCCGAGCAAACCGGGTAAGGAGGAGTCCTGGAGCCCACAGTGCCTTTTTCAGGCTTTTATTTGCACTTACCAGGTACATGACAGGCGGGGGGGGGGGGGGCCCAGGGGGTGAGGGTTGTGCAAGGGAGGAGTTTGGGCAGGGGCAGGGGGGCGGTTCCGGGAGGCTGGCAGGCTTCCCAACCCCAGGCAGGCAAGTCTTTACTCTCTGGGTTCTCTGGCGTTCTTTCGTGGCCACGGCCTCTCTGCTCCTTTCGCTCTGCTCTTCTGCTATTCCGCTGGTGTCCCTGTGAAGCCACCCTTATAAGCTCAGTCTTAGCCCACCTATGTATGCCCACACCCTACTCCAGGTGCCCACCATCAGGCATGCATTCAGGACCACAGGGATCCATCATCTATCCTAATGGCGGGAGAGCAGAAAAGCCTGGTACTTTTTTTTACCTTACCCTACATAGGAAATTGAAAGGATTATGATAGCAGTTTGCTCTAATCCACACAAACACATATTACAACTTGAATGAAATGTGAATATTATCAAGTTTAGCAAAATTGACTCTAAAAGACATATAAACTCTAAATGGACTAGAATTGCATAAGAGCTACCCTGTATAAAACTCCTGGTCCAGATGTTTTTCAAGGGAAATTCTTCTAAATTCTAAAATCTTCCTCCTATATAACCTAATAAATGACCTTTTTCTGTAAGTGCTACATGTGTGCTCAAAATTAGTATGTAGTCTGCACTTGTGGGCATCAAGTTACATACAAAACCGATTCATTGCCTTTAAGGAATGGCTAATCATGAAACTTTTAAAATTTATTTTCTAAAATAAATCAAAAACAGTATTCTTTGAAGATGAATAGGATCCCAGGGATGGGAATCAATATGATCTATGGCCTGGCACCTGATAAAGGGCTAGGGAGACCCAGAAAACAGGGAGAATTCAGGGTAAAAGAACATGGAGTAGAGAAAAGGGTGGAGGGAGGGAAATGGATCTGATATATGGAGAGAGGACCTGATCTAGCTACAATGAAAGACATGATATGCCAAGGTAATTAATTTGGTTCTTATACTACAAAGCAACACTGATTCAGCAGCAGTTTCCTGGATGTGATCAGGAAAGCGACTCTGGTGGCCACAGGGCAACACTTTACAGTGCAGGGAGGGCAGGAGGCTGTGCAGCAGCAACAGGAGGTAGTGAGATTCCCCCCAGTCCAACAAAGTGACTGCAAGATTGTATATATAAAAGAAGTTTTATAATTACAATACGTAGATGTGATGTGACAAATTATTTACATTTAAAAGTCTTTTGTCATAACTCTGATCTAATTTGATTCTCAAAGCACCCTTTTAAAGTTAGAGCAGGCCTCCCCTGGTGGCGCAGCGGTTGAGCGCTGGGTTGCAAGGCTGCCCGCAGCCTCTGCAGCACCGACTCGATCCCCGGCCACTGGGCAAGGGTCCCACATGGCGTGCAGACCTCTCCTGCTGCCCGCTGCTCCCCTCAGCAGTGTACTTCAGTTGTTCTGCTCCCCGCTCTGGCTCTGGTGAATTCTCTCACCCTCCCATGCTTCTGACTGTACCCAGTACTTTTATAAATAAACAAATCTTTAAATAATAATAATAAGTTGGAAGAGCAACACTGGCAGCAGGAGAAGAGCACGCCAGAAAACCTTAGGAGAGGGCAGCTGGGCAACCACCATTTGGTCCCAGGGTTCATGGCAGAGCCTCAGGCTGCAGGGACTCCCCCTGCTGGCATCTTGCAGGGCTTGGGCACACTATAAATGGAGACCCCAAAACACTGGCTATCAATTTAACACTCCAATGTGAAAAGTGTTTTCTTATTCATTATCAAACTTAATTGATATTATTAAATAATCATGATACAAATGTGTCCACTAGTACTTGTTCATTTTTTTAATTGAAGTGATATTGCATCATAATATTAAGTATTAGGATTGCATTGTTGAGAACAAATGTGTACATACAGACAGCAGTAAGTTCACCATTAAATATCCAATTCTATGTTTTATCCTGCTACGAAAAAAAAATAAAATTGGAAGAGCAGATGTTATCATTCCCATTTGAAAGATGAGAAAATTGAGGGGATAAAATATGTAACAGCTTTCTTTTCCTAAAAGTACATAGTTCTTTGTTCTTTCTATTCGGCTACAATGCACTGTGAGGAGAACGTATCTCTAAGCATTTAATCCCCCAAATCATAACATGATGAGTACTTCAGGAAAAACTATTATCTTTAATCTACATTTAGCTTCTTAATTGATATTCCACATCTAAATCATTTGTGATCATTTGCAACTGTCTCATTACCTCCAACGCGATTTGATTTACTTTTGAAACTATCCTTTCATGAAAAATATCTGCTGTAAATTTTTTGAAAAGTGAAACATCTTCAGGAAGAAATTTTGGCAAAATAGCCTCTCTCAGAACCTCAATAATGATCATTGCTTCCTCTGTTTCCAAAAGAGTGTCACTGTTGTTACTTTAATGATACAAGAAAAACAAATATGTTAGCAAGCATACTTTGCTGAATATTAAAGATCATTAACATTCATTTTTAGAGGTGGCTATCCCTATATGCTTTTCTGCTCTCTTTCACTACAAAGCAGTGACATTGGCTGGATAAGGCTAACCTGGTCCCCACCTCTAAGTGTGGCCCTGATTGATCTAGAAGGGTCAAGGTAATGCCACTCAGTCACTGATTCAGGAATGGGCATTGCACCTGCCAAGCTTTACAGCTGCAAATAACAGAAATACATTCAGGCTAATACTAAATGAAAAATAAGTTTATTAAAAATATCTAGGAGTCCCAGAGATGTAGGCTTTCAGGAGAGGCAGCTGGAAACTACAGCCAAAATTATGCCACAGAACTGGTCCTGTGGAGACATGATTGCCACCAGTCCAGAAAGCTGTGCCAGGCGTGCCAGTACACTGATGCTGGCACTAGAAATGCTCACTGTCCCTGCTGTTTTTGGTCACTGGCCATAGCTGCTGGCCAACATTTGAGTACTTTTTAACCAGGCACTCTGCTTAATTCTTTAAGTCATTTCATTAATCTTCAAACTGCCTAAGAAGAAGGGAGGGTAAGACTCAGAAAAAATAAATAACATGCCCAATATCATACAGTTAGTAAGTGTCTGAACTAGGATTCAATAAGATTTCGGATTTCAAAGTTCTTTCTTAAAATCACTAGTATTATATTTATTTTATTTAGTTTATCATCATTTTCTCCATGTACCACATAACGGATATTGAATGGTGTTTTTATTTCTCCTTATGACTTATTTTACTAAGCCTAATAATACTTTGCTTGTTTAGTTTTCCCAACATCATTAAATAAAAAGTCTGTTCTTGCCTCCCAATTTAAGATATACTAAACACCCAATGCATATCATACTGTTTCTGGACTTTTTGTCTTATTCCAAAGGTTTGCCTTTCTACTCATAAGCCAGTGTCACATTATTTCATTATTAATACTTGAATTTTAATACTTAATATTAAATACTTAATACTTGAATATTTCTCTTTCTTTGTGCTTGTTTTTCAGTATTTTTCATTCTAATGTAATAGCTTATTTTTCTATGTGAAACTTAGGATTAGCTAACATATCAATAAAAACAAAAAATAATACCATTTAGTATTTTCACTTATACTGTTAAATCTTTTAAGATATTGTAGTAAGTACATGGTGTATTATTTCACTTATTCATGTGTGTCTTTCAGTCAAGTTTTAACATTTTATCCATATGTACTTTACACATTTCTCATATACATATGTTCATACAGGTTTCACATTTATCATTAAGTTGCTGCTCTTCTACATGAGTCTTTAATTCCAGTATATCTTTTATTATGTAAAGGTAAACCACTTTTACTTTTTTTTTAAGGAATAGGCTCTATTGGGGAAATGGATCCAGAGATTTTGTACATTTTTTCCTCCCTCTTCTTTAATGTTCTTAATAATCTCTCCCACATTTTACTTGGACACTCTGATATCTTCCTGTTTAATCTTGTCATCATTACTTAAAATTTACAAATTATATTCCCAGTGTTAGAGAAGTCCTTTTGACCTAATACTGAATTCAAAATTCAACTGACCATTTCAACGTCAGTCTCTTCTTTCCAGCCATTTTTAAAATTGTCTTCAGAGACCTCAAGCTAAAATTATAATGAGCCTGTCAACATAAAAATATTTGAGTTACTAAGTTTCTTAAAGAAATATGGAACAATTTGAAAATTAATACATATAGTATATAAATCGCTAATTATATTTTGTAAAGAGAAACAGGGATATGAGTTTAGGAAGCCCTCAATTCTGTTTCTGATGCTTTCACTTCTCTCCCAAACTGGTGCTCATAAAAATCTCCTTTTTAAAAGAAAGAGTCACAAGTAAGAAAGATGTTAAAATAAATCATCAGTATCTCAATAAATTTTCTCTGAAATGGAAAGAATTGAAAGAATATTGAAAAGAGGAGCACTGTGGCGATCATGTGGTTAGCTGTCCAAAACCTTTTGGGTTATAAACAAATATTTGTTAAGTTGACAAATCCTATAGTAAAAATGTTCCAAGTATAATACTCAGATCAGCAGCATCAGGAACACTTGAGAACCTTTAGAAATGCAAATTCTCAAGTTCCATCACAGACAATTAGAAAGCTGGTCATAAGCCCTGACAATTCGTCTTAAGAGTTCCAAATTTCTTTGCTGCACAATAAAATTTGAGAACCACTGCTCTAAATGTTAACTTCCTTGTGTGGAAAAAGTTTTAACAGATCCTTAATTCCGCTCTCCAATTTGTAGAGGAAAGGTTTGGAATCCTGACTGATTTTACGTAAGTTAGTCTTTTATATAAGTTAGTAAATAGACCTGATATGCTGATAAGAATCATATCCAAACATTTAGGCAAGTCTTATTTATAAAGTTTAACATAATCATCTTTGAGAAAAGCAGTTCCTTACCTCTTCTGAGAGCTGTTTGTCAGCTAATTCAAAAAGGTTAACTAGCTTTCCAGAGAGTGAGCTTGCTGATTTAAAACCAAATGAAGACAGTGTTACTTCAACAATCACTTCATAATGGGGGGCCATCATTGCCACTGGGCGAAACAGAGATTTTAAATTAGCTGGGAGTTCTACTCCATGTTTGTATCTTAAGAGGATAAGAAAAACAAAGAAACACAAAACACCACTTTTCAGTCTTTCCAATAAGGAACCACATAACTGACCCCTTCTCCCCGGTAATTCTACTGACTGTCTATGTGACCTTCAACTGAAAACAAATATACAAAAGGGTTTCTATTGTGCTTTTCATCTCATAGGGCTTCCTCGCTTATGATCTTTTCTTCCTTATGATCTTTTCTTCCTTTTCTTCCTTATGATCTTTTCTTCTAATATTAGTGCCTCCACCCACAATTCACTTCACATCAGTTCCCCTGCTCCCCAGGGTCATCACAACATACCATCCATCAGCAGGCACTGATTGAGTCTGCCCAGCCTGCACTCACTGTAGTCTTATTTCTTTTACTACTCTCATCACTTTTTCTGCCTGTGTCCTCTTGGACAAACTGCTAATCTTTTCACTTCTTGCTGGCTGTTCGCAAAGTGAAAATGTCCCTTGGTCAAGATTTAAATGTGAGATAACCCATATGAATAAAGGCAGAGTTAGAGTTGTTTCTAATGGTATGAGTAGTGGAGGAAAAGCGGAGGGTGACTGATAAATATACAATGACAGACAAACTTCAACTGTGGATAAGATTTAAGAAATGGATTTTGGCCTGTGTTCACTCCTCCCACACATTAACTGGACTTACCCAGGGTTCATGGTGATAAATACTGCACAAGACATATTGATAGAAATTTCTTTTCCTTCCATTACAAACCTACAAGACATTGAAGTATTCATCATTAAGGAAACTGTTTTCTCTAGACCAAAGTATGAAAGAAAAAGAAAAATACCGGATGGTCTCACTCATAGCAGGAATCTAGAAAACTTAAACAAGGGACCAGGAAAAAGAATAACTGTAAGAAAGTAAAAATCAAAATCAACAAACAACTATGAACCAGAGACAGTCTATGGGGGGTGGGGGGCAGGGAGGGGAGGGATTGGGGTCAAAATAAGGGGGTCGCAATTGTATGGGGAATATAAAAATAAAATTTAAATTAAAAAAATTAAAAAATAATAATAAAAAAAAGAAGCTAAGAAAAAAAAAAACTACAAGTATGGACATTTTCCTAAGGCTGGATTATATTTAAATCCAAACAGAGAATATTGGAAAAAAATAATGGTAAGAGGAGAAAGAAGAGGCTCATCTTGAACCAAAGCTGTAAGCTCTGTTGGAATTCAGATTTATTTGGTCATGGCTTTAGATGTCTGAAGAGTTTTGTGGAACTTGAGGCTGGAAGGGACCCTCTTGAAAGAGTGAACTTACACAGGGAAAGGAAGCCAAGGAAACTCTTAAGAGCACAGAGCTCTGCCGGATGACACAGCAGAACACAAAATGGCGACAGCATCCTCTTCGGCTATTAGCCTGGAACAAAGCCTACCCACTAGTACCTGATTAAACAATTTTGAAAACACTGTGAAATAGAAGTGTCCTGGGCCTGGACATAAGCGTCAAGTTGTCAGCATCAGTGGTAGAGAGGATGGGAAAACTTTCTTTAGTGATTTCCTGTAAAACTAAAACCAATAAAGTGGGAAAAACAAAAAAGAAAGAACTAGAATAAAACCCAAGGATTCCCTGAACATAACTGAGGAAAACTTTGCAGAGGCTAAGATGTGATAAAGAACTGGTAAAATGTGGGTTACTATGATCCCCCACTTATTTCCATAGATATAAATCTTTTGCAGCTTGAACAAAATCCTTAAGAGTAAAGACAGAATGTCTATTAGTAACCTGAGTTATAAATACTAGATTGTAATAGAATGTTTAAATCCAGAAATCCAATTATGCCTATAAAGTAAATCATGTGAGTTTCTGAACTTATCTGAGGAGAAAAAAAGTTTTTGCCTAGATTAGTAAGCATTAGTAATCCAAATACTCAAATATTATTATTACAAGATTTTTCAATAAAAGTCCATTAGGGCCTCCCCTGGTGGCACAGTGGTTGAGCACTGGGCTGCAAAGCTGCCCACAGCCTCTGCAGCACCGGTTCGATCCCCGGCCACCAGCAAGGGTCCCACACGGCGCAGACCTCTCCTGCCATGCCTGCTGCTCCCCTCAGCAGTGTATTTCGTCAGTCTGCCTGTTCTGTTCCCCGCTCTGTCTCTGGTGAATTCTCTCACCCTCCCGCGCTTCTGACTGTATTTATTTATACTGCTTGTATAAATAAATAAATAAAATCTTTAAAATAAATAAATAAAAGTCCACTAGTTCAGAGTAATGGGTGTGTGACCAATGTAATTTTTTTTAAGATGTAGAATTAATTAAAAAGAACCTTGGTTTCTTCAAACGAAATATCATAAGAAATGGCACTAAGAGAGTTTAAATTAAAAATAATTAATTAAAAAATATACTACGTCAAGAAACAGTCCAAGCTTGGATAAGAATTTGGACACCTCCAAGTTGGCATTGAAAGCTGGTTATACATATTTTCAGGTCATTTGCCAAGCAACTAAACAGTAATCATAGCTCAAATTTTCCATTCCAAAAGTACAAACATATTCAATAAATACCTGACAGAATAACTGTCTTTTGCGGCTTTAATGGTTAGGATCTGTGAGGCAATCACGGAGATGACTTCTGTATCAACTCGATTGAATTCATCCAAACAACACCACACTCCTGACTGAACCACTCCGAAGAAGAATTTTACCATTATCTTAAAAAAAAAATAATAATATTATATAGGTGAAAATCTTTAGTAAGGTGTTAACTTGTGAATGTCCTTTCCATTTTATCCAGACCAAGCAAACAGGGTTCGCCTGTTCTCGCCTCCTGCACTTCTGTAGGGCTGAAGGCAGAGTCAGAGTCAGACTCTGAGTTAGACTCAGAGTCCGCTACTCTGCCTGCCTCTCACAACAGCCTCAAGAATCGGGGCGTGGCTTACATTCCACAGCATAGCACCCTCTCTTTTTTCCAGGTCAGGCTGAGACTCCTTATGGGATAGTGGTGGGCTGCTGTGGGTAATTTATAGTGATTACTGAATCAGGTCCAACTAAAGACAAAGGACGGTTTTGGTGAAAGACTGAAGGTCTGGATTGAAATCTTGATTTGTATATGTTAGCAGTTAAAATAAAACCAAAACACTGTCCCCTCAATCAGAGTATCTGTGGACTCAAGGCAGAGGGGTTTAGAGAGAGCCCTCAGGCCAAGGATAGGGAGTAGGTTCCTCCCACTGGCTGAAGGAATCAGTTCTTTTCTTTTAAAATTTTAGCATTTTGTTTACCATAGGGTTTTGGGCATTAATATTGATATTTTAAAAATATTATTGATTTCACCAGGTTTTTGGGACCACGCCCCCGACCCCCGCCCCACCGCTGCAAGTTTCACTCACCTAATCCCAGCCCTGCTAGGCCCGACTGTAAGGGGGGAGACAAGAGCCTACTTGTAAAATGTCTTAAAAATAGTATTTCAATCAACTTATTTATGTTTATTGATTTTTTCTAATGTGAGCACACACTGGAAATACAAAATCTCAGGAAATAGAGAATCTCAGAGGTAATGTGCTTTACGCTGCAAGCAAAATGGTAGCAAAAAACTGTGGTTTATACTTAGCCCAAAAATCAAAATAAATTGGAATGTTTTGAAGCTGAAGAACTTTGTGATGGGTACAGAGGTACATTAAATTTAAAAAGTATTTCTAAATGTGTAAGAAATTGCTCAAGCAGCCCCAGGGCACTTAAGTCCTTCAAATGATTGAAGTGTGGCCTCCTCTGCTGGGCAGGATAAGGGGTCAAAATCTGCCCCCAAGTCCAGATACTGCCCAGACCTGAGACAATTGCCTCAGGCCCTGATCAGAACTCTGTCCTTGACTATGTTAACGAAGGAGGGGGCTGCTAGGAAGGATATAGCTAAAAGGGCATTTGGGGAGCTTTTAAAAGAAAGTAATGCATGTGAGCTCTCTTTTTGTGCAGCTACTGCAGACAGCAGCCATCCAGTCTGCTAGATGGGTGGCAGGCCCTCACCCTCTCCACCATGGGTGTGGGGGATTCCCCAACCTCAGCAGTGACAGCCTTCAGCCACTCCCAGCCACCCCAGTATGGCAGGACCTGCAGCCATACTGTGAAGGCCAGCTCCTGCAGCAGCAGCTCCACTTTTCCTTCATAGTAACTGGACCATCTCCCTCTCTCTCTCTCTCCTTCCAGTTTTTCTCCTTCTCCCTCTCCCTGTACCCTGCTGGAGAATAAATCAGTTTTATTTTTTCAGTACTTTCAGCACTAAAGTGCTGTGGTGGTGGCTGGCTGGACCAAGAACTGGTAAGAGGTTCTGATGCAATGATAGGTTTTAGACATTTTGCCGGGTAACAGTAAGTCTTAGATAATGAAAAAGGCCGACACAAAATTGTAATCATCTATATAAAATCTTACTCAAATTTCATGCTAATCATAATAGTCTCATTGTATTTAACGATTACATTATCAGTAAATAGAAGTTAGAAGTTATAAAATAGGGCCTCCCTGGTGGCGCAAGGGGTTAAGCACCTTACTATGAGATAATCCACAGCCTCTGCAGCATGAGTTCTATTCCTTGGCTGGCCAGGGAGAAACCCACATGGTGAGGCAGACCTCTAAGATCTCATCTGCTGTTCCCCTCAGCAGTGTATTTCAGTCAGTCTGGCTGTTCTGTTCCCCACTTTGTCTCTGGTGGATCCTCTCACACACACCCCCTCCACCCGCATCTCTGGCCTGTACCCCAGCTCCTGTATGCATAAATAAATAAATCTTTAAAAAAAAAAAGAAGTTATAAAATAAATGTATATGATATATCTATAGCAGTACTCTTCATTGTTTTTACATATGTATTCTGTTCCATGTCAGATTTTGTCTGGAAAGATCCCCCATCAAAAAATCTTATAACTACTGTCTTAAGAAGTAGTTTAGAGAGACCTCATCAACATGGAGGCGAGGAAACGCTGCGAGTAAGACCTCTCATAAAAAAAATTTAATAGGGAGGAAAAGCGGCAGGTCCCTGCGAGAACTGGGACACAGAAGCTAAACGGACGACTCCAGCAAACTACCCGAAGAAGAAAGTTGCCATAAAAGAGGCCTAAAGGGAGGAAAGCTCAGAACCCTGCTACCCTTCCCCACCCACAAAGTCAGCACTCTCCAAACAACAGAAAGGAGGGGAAAAAAAAAAACTAAAACAACCAACAAGAACAAAAAACGCATCAAGCAGGACTGTGAGTGGAAAGGAACTATTTCAGCCACCGCACCCTGTGAACTGGAACTGTGGGGAAACATGCAGGATTCACCACAGAGGTGAGCAAAAGGCTCCAGGCCCCATTGGAGAAAAATACAGACTCCCAGGAGACCTACAAACAGCCCAAGTCGGGCCTGTAAGCTTGTGCAGAAAAGTGGCATGCTTGAAAAGCATATGCAGATCAGGGCTGCCCAGGTCCCCTCGCCTGCAACCTAGGCTTGTGAGGAGACGCGCAGGGGCCCTCAATGAGGTGAATGTCCCTCACTGAGTAATCAGAAACCAGGTGCCCAGACACAGGAGCTGAGTGCAAAAGGCACCATTTCTGCGGACACTGAACTGGGCTACAGCCCGAGTCCTGGACCTGAGGGCTTTGGGAACGGAGGAGACCAGGGGGCACGAAATTCGGGGCATGGGTTCCCCACTACGGTGGGGCACTAGGCAGACACAACACCCCCACGCCATTGAGGCTCTGCACACCACTCCCACTCTGTTCCCCTGGACCCACGGGCTTAAAAACAGTTCCCGAAGGACACTAGGAAAGATCTCTGGTGCCACCTAGTGACCAGAAAAAATCACCAACACCCTATAGTTGGAAACCAGGGATCACAAAAACACCCTCAGGCACTGAGAGAGGGTGGGTCACAAAGACATGGGGTAAGGAGGGAAATAAGGCGTGGAGCAAGACCCACTCCTGGAACTGATAGCTAGGCACAGGATCCAGGGCTTGGGATGTGCCATAGTAATAGGCACTGCACGGGGTGACAGCCGGCGTTTTGAATCTGATAGCCCTGGCTGAGACTAGAGTGCAGACTTCAGGGCATAGGATCCACACAGCTGCGGGCATAACACCTGGTGAACACAGGGCAGACACAGCACCTGGCTTGAATAAGAGCCCCTGTGTTGAGGTGCTCCCCTGCACCCCCCATCCATCACTCAGCTAACCACTGGGAAAAAGCACAGGTCAGCAAGTACGGGTCTCTTCCACCACCTCATGACCAGAACTAAATCACCAAGTAGCGGATTCCCTGTTGGAACTGAGTAAATACAGAGGGAGGGAACTGTAAGAGACAGAGCCCAGCAACACAGCATCAACACTCTTGTGGAGTTTTGGCCTACAGTGCTGGTCTCAGTCTGGTAAACAGTTTCCAACACCGCTAAAGGAACACTCCAAAGAGCTGCCCGCCAACACCAGTGGCACAATGCCCCAACGCATAGAACTAATTAGAAAGCAAACAACAGGGAGAAAAAAATATATAAATAACCGAGCAAGCCAGCAGGAGGACACACCACAAAAAGAAACACAGTCACCAGAGCTCAACGATGACATGGAAGAACATCTTGGCCTATCAGATAGAGAATAAATAATAATCCTGATTAATAAGCAGAAAGAAAACAGAAAGAAAAAAAATGAGTTGAAACAAATAATCAAGGAACTGAAGAATTAAATTGAGACCTTAAGAAAGGAAAGAAAAGAAACTCAGGAGATTAAAAGATTACTAGAAGAGATAAAGAACTCTGGGAAAAGCAATAAAAACAGGATCGATGAAATGGAAGAATGGATCAGTACTATAGAAGATCAGAAATAAAAAGAGCTAAAAGAGAAAAGGAGAGAGAAGTGCAAATGAAGCAGTATGAGGAGACTCTTAGACAATTATCAGACTCCATGAAGAGAGGAAATGTAAGAGAGGAAATGTAAGGCATTCAAGAAGGTGAGGATAGAGACAAAGGAACTGAGAAACTATTCAAAGAGATAAATGAAGAAAACTTTCCAAGCATGATAAAGGAGATGAATATAGACATACAGGAAGCAAGAAGAACTCCCAATTACCATAATGAAAAGAAAACTAAGGCAAAACACCTAATAGTAAAGCTTGCAAGAGTCCAAGACAAGGAAAAAATAATGAAACTGGCAAGGGGGAAGAAACAGATAACTTATAAGGGAAAACCAATCAGGATAACTTCTGACTCCTCCAAAGAAACATTACGGGCAAGAAGAGAAAGGAGTAACATATTCAGCAAACTTCAAAACAGCAAATGCCAACCAAGAATACTTTACCCTGCAAAGCAATCCTTCCTCTATGAATAAAAAATATGGACCTTCTCAGACAAACAGAAACTCCATAAATTCATTACAATGAAACCCCCACTCCAAAAAATTCTACAAGAAGTCCTAATGCCAAAACCAACAGAAGAATGAACAAGAACAGAATAAAGCAAGGAATAAAATCACAAAAAAGACAAACAAAATGGCAAACACAGATGCCAACATATCAATATTAACTCTAAATGTAAATGGATTAAACTCATCAGTAAAAAGACACAGAGTAGCAGGCTGGATTAAAAAACAAAATCCAACCTTCTGCTGTCTCCAGGAAACACATTTAACCACAAAGGATAAACACAGACTGAAAGCAAAAAGGTGGAAAACACTCCTACAAGCAAAGGGACCAAAGAAGAAGGAAGGGACAGCCATACTTATATCAGATGAAATAGACTTCAAATTGAAAAAAAGTAAAAAGAGACATTGATGGACACTACATTATGATCAAGGGGACAATACATCAGGAAGATATAACACTCATCAACATATACTCACCAAATGAAGGGGCACCAAAATATATTAGACAATTATTATCAGCTCTGAAAACAGATATTAAAGAAAATACATATATAGTGGGGACTTCGCACCCCACTCTCACCAATGGACAGATCAATGAGACAAAAAATAAACAAAGACACTAGAGCCCTAAATAAAGACATAGAACTCATGGACTTAACAGACATCTATAGGACACTGCGCCCAAAAAAATTCTGAGCACACATTTTTCTCAAGTGCACATGGATCATTCTCCAGAATCGATCACATACTGGGCCACAAGACAAACATCAACAGATACATGAAAATCAAAATCATTCCAACTATCTTCTCCAATCATAAAGGCATCAAGCTAGAAATAAATCATGAAAAGAAAACAAGGAAGCTTCCCACCTCATGGAGATTGAAGTACACACTACTGGAAGAACACTGGACTAATGAGGAGATCAAAGAAGAAATTTAAAAATACCTTGAGTTGAATGACAAGGAGGACACCACTTTCCAGAATGTATGGGATGCAGCAAAAGCAGTGATAGGAGGAAAATATATAGCACTACCGGCTCACATCAACAAACAAGAAAGAACTCAAAGAAACAACCTAATCTCACATCTCAAAGAACTAGAAAAAGAACAACAAAAAAACCCTAAAGCCAGTAGAAGAAAGGAAATAATAAAAATCAAAGCAGAAATAAATGAATTAGAAATTTAAAAAACAATCCAAAAGATCAATGAAACCAAAGTTGATTCTTTGAAAAAATAAACAAAATAGACAAACCTCTAGCAAGGCACAAAAAAAAAAGGGAGAAAACATGTGTAAATAGGATTATAAATGAAAGAGGAGAAATCACAATGGACTCAGTAGAAATCAAAAGAATTATAAGAGATTACTATGAACACTCATACGCAAACAAATTTAACAATCTAGAAGAGAGGGACAAATTCCTAGAATGATATAATCATCCAAAGCTGGACAAAGAAGAAATAGAACAAGTAAACAGACCAATTACAAGCAGCAAAATTGAAGCAGTAATCAAAGCACTCCCCAAAAACAAAAGCCCAGGCCCAGACGGCTTCACAAATGAATTCTACCAAACGTTCAGCAGTGAATTAGTGCCTGTCCTACACAAACTCTTTCAAAAAATTGAAAAAGAAGGAATACTACCAAATACGTTCTACAAAGCCAACAATACACTAATACCAAAACCCAACAAAGACGCCCCCCAAAAAAATAAAATTACAGGCCAATCTCCCTAATGAACACTGATGCATGAACCCTCAACAAAATCCTTGCAAACAGAATCCAACAATGCATCTATAAGATAATTCCCCACGACCAAGTAGGATTTATTCCAGGGACAAAGGATGGTTTAACATCCAAAAATCAATGTAACCCAACACATCAACAAAAAGAAATATAAAAACCATATGATAATATTCATAGATGCTGAGAAAGCATTCGACAAAGTAAAACACCCATTCATGATAAAGGCCCTTGAAATTCTCGGGATACAAGGAACATACCTCAACATCATAAAGGCCATCTATGACAAGCCCACAGCCAATATCATTGTCAATGTGAAAAGCTGAAAGCATTCCCATTAAGATCTGGAACAAGACAAGGATGTCCACTCTCACCACTGCTTTTCAACATAATACTGGAAATCCTAGCCAGAGCAATAAGACAAGAGAAAGACATACAAGGAATCCAAATAGGCAAGGAAGAAGTCAAACTATCACTATTTGCGGATGATATGATAATATACATAGAGAACCTCAAAAAACTCCACAGAAAAACTAATTTAACTAATTAATCAGTTTAGTAAAGTGGCAGGATACAAAATCAATGCACAAAAATCGATAGCCTTCCTCTACACAAACAATAAATCTGAAGAAGAAGAAATCAAGAAAACCATTCCTTTTATTATTGAAACAAAAAAAAATCAAATACTTGGGAATAAACCTAAGAAAAGAGTAAAGGACCTATACAAAGAAAACTATAAAACACTCTTAAAAGAAATAGAAGTAGACACAAAGAAATGGAAAGACATCCCCTGCTCATCGATCAGAAGAATTAACATTATCAAAATGGCCATCCTACCAAAAGCAATCTACAGATTCAGTGCTATTCCAATTAAAATTTCAATGTCATTCTTCAAAGAAATAGAAAAAATATTGATGAAATTCATATGGAGCCACCAAAATCCCTGAGTAGCCAAAACCCCCTGAAAAAAATAGAAGGGAATGGAGTCATCACTCTCCCAGATTTCAAACTATACTACAAAGCCATAATAATCAAAACTGCATGGTATAGCCCCAGAACAGACATATGGACCAATGGAACTGAAAAGAAAACCCAGAAATAAACCCACAGCTTTATGGTCAACTAATCTTTGACAAAGGAGCAAAGAACATGCACTGGAGCAAAGAAATTCTGTTCAATAAATGGTGCTGGGAAAACTGGGTCGCTACATGCAAAAGAATGAAGCTTGACTACTATCTCACATCATGCACAAAAACCAACTCAAAATGGATTAAAGAACTAGACATAAGACCTGAAACCATAAAACATATAGAAGGAAATATAGGCGAAACACCACATGACATGCACCTCAAAGACATCTTTAAAGACACATCACCCAAAGCAGTGATAGTGGATGCAAAGATAAACAGCTGGGACTACATCAAATTAAAGAGCTTCTGCACAGCAAAAGAGACAATAACAAAAACAAAGAGAAACCCCACCAACTGGGAGAACATTTTTGCACACAACACTAACAATAAAGGACTGATCACCAAAATCTACAAAGAGCTGATGAGACTCAACAAAAACAAAGAAAATAATCCAGTCAAAAAATGGGCAGAAGAGCTAAAAAGATACTTCTCCAAAGAGGAAATACAAATGGCCAACAGGCATATGAAAAAATGTTCAACATCACTTGCAATCAGGGAAATGCAAATCAAAACTACAATGAGATACCATCTTATACCAGTAAGAGTGGCATATATTTAAAAAACTAGCAACAACAAATGTTGGTGAGTGTGTGGAGAGAAAGGAACTCTCCTGGACTGCTGGTGGGAGTGCAAACTGGTCCAACCACTGTGGAGAGCTGTGTGGAGATTCCTCAATCTACTGAAGATAGAGCTCACATATGATTCAGCTATTCCACTCCTAGGTATTTACCCAAAGGACACAGAAACATCAATTCCAAAGAGCACCTGCACCCCTATGTTTATAGCAGCACAATTTACAATAGCTAAGCTTTGGAAACAACCCCAATGCCCAAAAACAGATGACTGGATCAAGAAGATGTGGTACATATACACAATGGAATATTACTTAGCATTCAAAAAAGATAAACACATGCAATTTACAGCAACATGGATGGAGCTGGAAGGGATCATGCTCAGCGAAATAAGCCAGAAAGAAAAAGAAAAATACTGGATGGTCTCACTCATAACAGGAATCTAGAAAACCTAAATAATGGACCAGGAAAAAGAATAACTTTATAGTTATTCTTATTTCTTTAAGAAAGAAAAAATCAAAATCAACAAACAATTATAAACCAGAGACACACTATTGAGGGTGGAGGGCGGGGAAAGGAGGGTTTGGGGTCAAAATAAGGGGGTTGCAATTGTATGGGGAATATAAAAATAAAATTTAAAAAAATAAATAAATAAAAAGAGTAAATAAAAAAAGTAGTTTAGTTGACTAAAAGCATAATGCATAATATTTTAAAAGTTTTAATTAAAGTTTAAATTTCCATTAGTTTAAAAGAATAGCATTATACTTCTATTAATACTAAATGTCTGTCCAAGATATTTTTTATCTCAGTCCTCCACAAATTATTTCTTCTATGTGCACATTATTTTTCCTAAGTGTATGTAATTAAGTTTTACCTTATAATCCAAATTCTCAAAACAATTGAAGATCACACAATATTTGCCTAAAGCCTGGGAAACAAAAATAATATTTTAATATTTTTGAATTATAGCACATAATATTAATGTTAAAACTTTCAGAGCAGTAAAATGTCTTTATATTCTTTTGAAAAAAAATTTTGTGATTTAAAGATGAATTAGGTACCAAATTAAGAAATTCACAAGTCAACAGAGTATAAATATACATATACTATTATAGTTCAGTTCTCACTCTCTCATTTCCCCACAAATAGACACATACACACACAAACTTGAACAGCCCCGCACATGCTATTAATCACAAAGACTAGGCAAAAGTGTGTATATGTCTAAAAATAAATGAATTACCCCTTCAAGAAGAGTAGGGAAGGGGACCAATGGTGCCATTCACATGTCAGTTGGTTAGTACAGTGGTATTCCAAGAAAATACAAAGGATCCACTCGCTTACTGAGATGCCAAGTCCCACTACACAACAGACATCCAAAAATTAATTAATTGTATGAATCAATGTGTTAGTGTGTTTGTTAAATGTTACGAACATCTTAATAACAGTAGTATGGTAAAGATAACATTAAAGAAAGAGGTTTTCTATGTTGGATATAGAAGCCACTTACTTTTGCTAGATCTTTAACACTCTCTGTTTTTCCTATATCAGTTGGACCAGCAAGGTAGCCTCCTAGATTCAAGTACAGTGCTCCTGTGAGAGTTAGCCAGCATCTGTCAGTGAGAGGCGTGATGACCAGTCTTGAGGTACAACCCAAGTACTCATAGCCATAAGTAAATATGGCACCTCCTTGACTTATGTAGCACAACTTTTGTTTTTCATTCCATTTATATTGCAAATGTCTGAAAACAATATTTTAAATGTTCATATTATATAGGCAAAATTATTTTTAGTCTTTTTCAAAAGTAGAAACATAATAAAAATTGAAATGGAATTTTGATTGAAAGAACAGAAATCTGAGAGACATCATCAACATGGCAGCAAGGAAATGCTGCAAGTAAGACCTCCCATTAAAAAAAAAGTTAATAGGGAGGAAAAGTGGCATATCCCTGAGAGAACTGGGACACGGAAGATAAACGGGTGACTCTGGCAAACTGCCCGAAGAAGAAAGTTGCCATAAAAGAGGACTAGAAGGGAGAAATGCTCAGAACCCTGCTACCCTCCCCCACCCACAAAGTGGCACTCTCCAACCAACAGAAAGGAGGGGAAAAAAAAAATCTAAAACAACCAATAAGAACAAACTATGCATCAAGCAGGACTGTGAATGGAAAGGAACTATTTCAGCCGCCACACCCTGTGAACTGGAACTGTGGAGAAACATGTAGGATTCCCCATGGAGGTGAGCAACGGCTCCTGGCGCCATTGGAGAAAAATAAAACTCCCAAGAGACCTACAAATAGCCCAAGACCAGCCCATAAGCTTGTGTGGAAAAGCGGCATGCTTGAAAAGCATATGCAGATCAGGACTGCCCAGGTCCCCTCGCCTGCGACCTAGGCTTGTGGGGAGACACTCTGGGGCCTTCTATGAGGTGAATGTCCCTCACTGAGTAATCAGAAACCAGGTGCCCAGACACAGGAGCTGGGTGCAAAAGGCACCATTTCTGCGGACACTGAACTGGGCTACAGCCCGCGTCCTGGACCTGAGGGCTTTGGGAACTGAGACCCTGGGCACAAAATTCGGGGAAGGTATACCCACGACGGTGGGGCACAAGGCAGACACAACACCCCCACACCATTGAGGCTCTGCACACCACTACCACTCCACTTTCCCTGGACCCACAGGCTTAAAAACAGTTCCCGAAGGACACTAGGAAAGATCTCTGGTGCACCTAGCAACCAGAAAATGTCACCAACACCCTATAGTTGGAAACCAGGGATCACAAAAACACCCTCAGGCACTGAGAGAGGGTGGGTCACACAGACAGGGGGTAAGGAGAGAAATAAGGCATGGAGCAAGATCCCCATCCTGGAACTGATAGCTAGGCACAGGATCCGGGGTGTGGGATGGGCCATAGAAGTGAGCACTGAACAGGGTGACAGCCAGCATTTTGGATCTGATAGCCCTGGAACTGAGACTAGAATGCAGACTTCAGGGCATGGGATCCATAAAGCTGTGGGCATAACACCTGGTGAACACAGGGCAGACACAGCACCTGGCTTGAATAAGAGCCCCTGTGTTGAGGTGCTGCCCTGCACCCCCCATCCATCACTCAGCTAACCACTGGGAAAAAGCACAGGTCAGCAAGTACGGGTCTCTGCCACCACCTCATGACCAGAACTAAATCACCAAGTAGCTGATTCCCTGTTGGAACTGAGTAAATACAGAGGGAGGGAACTGTAAGAGACAGAGCCCAGCAACACAGCATCAACACTCTTGTGGAGTTTTGGCCTACAGTGCTGGTCTCAGTCTGGTAAACAGTTTCCAACACCGCTAAAGGAACACTCCAAAGAGCTGCCCGCCAACACCAGTGGCACAATGCCCCAACACATAGAACTAATTAGAAAGCAAACAACAGGGAGAAAACAAATATAAATAACCAAGCAAACCAGCAGCAGGACACACCACAAAAAGAAACACAGTCACCAGAGCTCAACGATGACATGGAAGAACTTCTTGGCCTATCAGATAGAGAATAAATAATAATCCTGATTAAAAAGCAGAAAGAAAATGAAAAGGCAAAAATGAGTTGAGACAAAAAATCACTGAACTAAAGTTTTAAATTGAGACCTTAAGAAAGGAAAGAAAAGAAACTCAGGAGATTAAAAGATTACGAGAAGAGATAAAGAACTCTGGGAAAAGCAATGAAAACAAGATCAATGAAATGGAAGAATGGGTCAGAACTCTTGAAGATACAGAAATAAAAAGAGCCAAAAGAGAAAAGGAGAGAGAAGTGCAAATGAAGCAGTATAGGAGACTCTACACAATTATCAGACTTCATGAAGAGAGAAAATGTAAGAGTTATAGGCATTCCAGAAGGTGAGGATAGAGACAAAGGAACTGAGAAATTATTAGGGAGATAAATGAAGAAAACTTCCCAAGCATGATAAAGGAAATGAATATATACAGGAAGTGAGAAATGTGGAACCAAGCTTAGCTAAGTTTTCGCCATTTTGTATATCCTCCACCGTGATATGTTAGTACTTGTACAGCCGCATTCTGGAGATAGTTTCAATAGTCACAACCATCACTCCACTTGGTGACGAAAAAGCAGACCACCCCAGCCGCCAATGAGGGCAGTCCTATCCATAAATGGGACAGCATCTCTAACTGTCTAATCAGTTTGAAACTGTAACCGTGCACGCCAAAATGCCTTTGTAGTAGCCAATGAGTAATTGCCAGCTTCTTTCAAAATTCACGCTGCTCATGACCCTGTAAGAGCCCCCTGCTTCCTCTGTTCGGGGCTCTCGCTATCTGCCACTGTGTTGGTAGGAGCTGTGAGCCCGGACTCGAGCCCGTAATAAACTCCCGTTTGCATTTGCATCAGCTGTCTTTGGATTCTTGGAGGCTAAGCTCACCAATCTCTGATGATCTTGGGCACAAAAAGAAGACCTCCCAATACCATAATGAAAAGAAAACTAAGGCAAAACACCTAATAGTAAAGCTTGCAAGAGTCCAAGACAAGGAAAAAATAATGAAACTGGCAAGGGAGAAGAAACAGATAACTTATAAGGGAAAACCAATCAGGTTAACTTCTGACTTCTCTAAAGAAACATTACAGGCAAGAAGAAAAGGGAGTAACATTCAGCAAACTTTAAGACAGCAAATGCCAACCAAGAATACTTTACCCTGCAAAGCTCTCCTTCCTCTATGAAGAAAAAATATGGACCTTCTCAGACAAACAGAAACTCCAGAAACTCATTACAATGAAACTCCCACTCCAAAAAATTCTACAAGAAGTCCTAATGCCAAAACCAACAGAAGAATGAACAAGAACAGAATAAAGCAAGGAATAAAATCACAAAAAAGACAAACAAAATGGCAAACACAGATGCCAACATATCAATATTAACTCTAAATGTAAATGGATTAAACTCATCAGTAAAAAGACACAGAGTAGCAGGCTGGATTAAAAAACAAAATCCAACCTTCTGCTGTCTCCAGGAAACACATTTAACCACAAAGGATAAACACAGACTGAAAGCAAAAAGGTGGAAAACACTCCTACAAGCAAAGGAATCAAAAAAGAAGAAGGAAGGGACAGCCATACTTATATCAGATGAAATAGACTTCAAATTGAAAAAGTAAAAAGAGACATAGATGGACACTACATTATGATCAAGGGGACAATACATCAGGAAGATATAACACTCATCAACATATACTCACCAAATGAAGGGGCACCAAAATATATTAGACAATTATTATCAACTCTGAAAACAGATATTAAAGAAAATACATATATAGTGGGGACTTCGCACCCCACTCTCACCAATGGACAGATCAATGAGACAAAAAATAAACAAAGACACTAGAGCCCTAAATAAAGACATAGAACTCATGGACTTAACAGACATCTATAGGACACTGCGCCCAAAAAAATTCTGAGCACACATTTTTCTCAAGTGCACGTGGATCATTCTCCAGAATCGATCACATACTGGGCCACAAGACAAACATCAACAGATACATGAAAATCAAAATCATTCCAACTATCTTCTCCAATCATAAAGGCATCAAGCTAGAAATAAATCATGAAAAGAAAACAAGGAACCTTCCCACCTCATGGAGATTGAAATACACACTACTGGAAGAACACTGGACTAACGAGGAGATCAAAGAAGAAATTTAAAAATACTTTGAGTTGAATGACAAGGAGGACACCACTTTCCAGAATGTATGGGATGCAGCAAAAGCAGTGATAGGAGGAAAATATATAGCACTACAGGCTCACATCAACAAACAAGAAAGAACTCAAAGAAACAACCTAATCTCACATCTCAAAGAACTAGAAAAAGAACAACAAAAAAACCCTAAAGCCAGTAGAAGAAAGGAAATAATAAAAATCAAAGCAGAAATAAATGAATTAGAAATTTAAAAAACAATCCAAAAGATCAATGAAACCAAAGTTGATTCTTTGAAAAAATAAACAAAATAGACAAACCTCTAGCAAGGCACAATAAAAAAAGGGAGAAAACATGTGTAAATAGGATTATAAATGAAAGAGGAGAAATCACAACGGACTCAGTAGAAATCAAAAGAATTATAAGAGATTACTATGAACACTCATGCGCAAACAAATTTAACAATCTAGAAAAGAGGGACAAATTCCTAGAATGATATAATCATCCAAAGCTGGACAAAGAAGAAATAGAACAAGTAAACAGACCAATTACAAGCAGCAAAATTGAAGCAGTAATCAAAGCACTCCCCAAAAACAAAAGCACAGGCCCAGACGGCTTTACAAATGAATTCTACCAAATGTTCAGCAGTGAATTAGTGCCTATCCTACACAAACTCTTTCAAAAAATTGAAAAAGAAGGAATACTACCAAATACGTTCTACAAAGCCAACAATACACTAATACCAAAACCCAACAAAGACGGCACAAAAAAAGAAAATTACAGGCCAATCTCCCTAATGAACACTGATGCATAAACCCTCAACAAAATCCTTGCAAACAGAATCCAACAATGCATCTATAAGATAATTCCCCACGACCAAGTAGGATTTATTCCAGGGACAAAGGATGGTTCAACATCCGAAAATCAATGTAACCCAACACATCAACAAAAAGAAATATAAAAACCATATGATAATATTCATAGATGCTGAGAAAGCATTCGACAAAGTAAAACACCCATTCATGATAAAGGCCCTTGAAATTCTCGGGATACAAGGAACATACCTCAACATCATAAAGGCCATCTATGACAAGCCCACAGCCAATATCATTGCAATGTGAAAAGCTGAAAGCATTCCCATTAAGATCTGGAACAAGACAAGGTTGTCCACTCTCACCACTGCTTTTCAACATAATACTGGAAATCCTAGCCAGAGCAATAAGACAAGAGAAAGACATACAAGGAATCCAAATAGGCAAGGAAGAAGTCAAACTATCACTATTTGCGGATGATATGATAATATACATAGAGAACCTCAAAAAACTCCACAGAAAAACTAATTTAACTAATCAATCAGTTTAGTAAAGTGGCAGGATACAAAATCAATGCACAAAAATCGTTAGCCTTCCTATACACAAACAATAAATCTGAAGAAGAAGCAATCAAGAAAACCAATCCTTTTATTATTGAAACAAAAAAAAAAAATCAAATACTTGGGAATAAACCTAACAAAAGAGTAAAGGACCTATACAAAGAAAACTATAAAACACTCTTAAAAGAAATAGATGTAGACACAAAGAAATGGAAAGACATCCCCTGCTCATCGATCTGAAGAATTAACATTATCAAAATGGCCATCCTACCAAAAGCAATCTACAGATTCAGTGCTATTCCAATTAAAATTTCAATGTCATTCTTCAAAGAAATAGAAAAAATATTGATGAAATTCATAGGGAGCCACCAAAAACCCCGAATATCCAAAACCCTCCTGATAAAAAAAAGAAGGGAATGGAGGCATCACTCTCCCAGATTTCAAACTATACTACAAAGCCATAATAATCAAAACTGCATGGTATAGACCCAGAACAGACACATGGACCAATGGAACTGAAAAGAAAACCCAGAAATAAACCCACAGATCTATGGTCAACTAATACTTTTTGACAAAGGAGCAAAGAATATGCACCGGAGCTAAGAAAGTTTATTCAATAAATGGTGCTGGGAAAACTGGGTGCTACATGCAAAAGAATGAAGCTTGACTACTACCTCACACCATGCACAAAAACCAACTCAAAATGGATTAAAGAGCTAGACGCAAGACCTGAAACCATAAAATATATAGAAGGAAATATAGGCGAAACACTACATGACATGCACCTCAAAGACATCTTTACAGATGCATCACCCAAAGCAGTGATAGTGAAGGCAAAGACAAACAGCTGGGACTACATCAAATTAAAGAGCTTCTGCACAGCAAAAGAGACAATAACAAAAACAAAGAGAAACCCCACCAACTGGGAGAACATTTTTGCACCCAATACTAACAATAAAGGACTGATCACCAAAATCTACAAAGAGCTGATAAGACTCAACAAAAACAAAGAAAATAATCCAGTCAAAAAATGGGCAGAAGAGCTAAAAAGAAACTTCTCCGAAGAGGAAATACAAATGGCCAACAGGCATATGAAAAAATGTTCAGTGTCACAGGGAATCAGGGAAATGCAATCAGGGAAATGCAAATCAAAACTACAGTGAGATACCATCTCACACCAGTGAGATTGGCACATATTAAAAAAACTAGTAACAACAAATTTTGGTGAGTATGTGGAGAGAAAGGAACTCTCCTGCACTACTGGTGGGAGTGCAAACTGGTCCAACCACTATGGAAACTTGTGTGGAGATTTCTCAGCCTGCTAAAGATGGAGCTTCCACATGATCCAGCAATTCCACTCCTAGGTATTTACCCAAAGGACACAGAAACATCAATTCCAAAGAGCACCTGCACCCGTATGTTTATAGCAGCACAATTTACAATAGCTAAGCTTTGGAAACAACCCCAATGCCCAAAAACAGATGACTGGATCAAGAAGATGTGATACATATACACAATGGAATATTACTCAGCATTCAAAAAAGATAAACACACACAATTTGCAGCAACATGGATGGCGCTGGAAGGGATCATGCTCAGCGAAATAAGCCAGAAAGAAAAAGAAAAATACCAGATGGTCTCACTCATAGCAGGAATCTAAAAAACTTAAATAAGGGACCAGGAAAAAGAGTAACTATAAGAAAGAAAAAATTCAAAATCAACAAACAACTATGAACCAGAGACACACTTTGGGGGGGTGGCCAAGTATAGGAGGGATTGGGGTCAAAATCAGGGGGTTGCAATTGTATAGGGAATATAAAAATAAAAAAAAAGAACAGAAATACAAACTCTAAAATCAAATGAAAGGAATGATGGAATTGTCATCTGATATTGAGTAAAATATTAATTGGTATTTTATTTTATAGATATTATTCAGCAAGTACTTTTAATAAACAAACAAAAACTTAAATATTCTAAGATTTAAAAACTTCAGGGGCTATTGCATTAACTTCAGGTGTTCTTGCTAAGTAATTGACTTGATTTAGTTAGTTAGGTAGTTAGTTTTCAGGTAGCACTGGTTTACAACACTGTATATGATTTAGAATTATAAATTCACACCTCTTCAGTAAGAGTGAGGCACACTGCACCCCACAGTAAGGCATTCATAGACCTCAACTATAGTCCATCTGGTCCTATTCCTCCTTTGCTCTACACCATCCCCCTTCCTCTCTGGCAGCTTCAAATGCACTCTCAGATTTCTAGAGTTTTAGTTTGGTTTTGTCTGGCCAGTGTTTTAATTCTCTAGAGTACACATATAAGTAAAACCATCTAGCATTTGTCTTTCCTTCTGGCTTATTTAGTTTAGCATTATCCCTTCCATTTCCATTCATGTTGTTGCAAACGTCAGGATTGATTTCATCTTTTTTATAGCTAGGTAGTATTCCATTGTGTGTGTGTGTGTGTGTGTGTGTGTATACTGAATCTTTTTAATACACTCATCTGTCCTTGGACATTGGGTTGTTTCCATAACTTGGCTATTGTAAATAGTGCCATACTGCACATGGGAGTGCATATATCCTTTCTAATTATTCTTTTTATATTCTTCATGATGCACACCTAGAAGTGCTAAACATATGCTAAATCACGTTAGATCAATTTTTAACATTTTGTGAAACCTCCATGCTATTTTCCATATAGCTGAAACAATCTACATTCCCACCAAGAGTGCATGAAGGTTCCCTTTTCTCTTTACCCTCACTAATACTGGTTATTTCTGGTCTTCTTGATATGGGTCTTTCTCATAGGTGTGAGATTGGTTTTTCACTTCCTTATTGTTTTTCATTTCCTTATTGTTATGTTTTTACAGTAAAATTAACATGTCAATATACATTAAATATAAAGTTTTTGGATAAAACATACTCAACATTAGTATCTGTCAAATACATCAGCCTCATTCTGTTCCATTTTCCCTAGAGTTTTAAGGAAATTATAACCCTAGTTAAGGAAATTCATGTAATGTAAAATTTCTCAAAATTTAACTTTTTTTTTTGTGGGACCCTTGTCGGTGGCGGGGGAATGAACCGGCACTGCAGAGGCTGTGGGCAGCCTCACAGCCCAGCACTCAACCACTGCGCCACCAGGGGAGGCCCTCAAAATTTAACTTTTAAGAATCAAAGACAAGACAGTGTTGTTGTTGTTTTCTATGAACAAAGGAAACTTTAGAAGACCTTAATTCAAAAGTTTAAAACTTCATTTTTATTGTAGGAATCTTATGGCTGATCTCTCTAAAATTAGTGACTCTGTTTTTCTATACTTTCATATTTGTATTTGAAATAATACAAGTGTCTGAATATATACTAATTGACTCTGGTTAAGAGGAATTGCCTAGAAATGTTCTCTGGTTAGTTATCCAGCTTAGTCTGTTCCAGAATTCATAGCACACAGGGAAAAGAAGCAGCTTGAAGTAGAACTTCTCTCGCTAACCATTGAAAAGTCCCCTCCAGTTGAGTGGAAAAGGAAAAATGCAAGTATAAAAAGGGTGCAGTCAATTCTTATTGTTTTCTTCAAGCAGAAAGAAATTAAAATGAAGAAAAGCATAAAAGAGAAAGGAGAAAGCAAGGAATGATACTCAAATTGGCACAGTTTGTTTTAAACTCTAAATCACAGAATATTAATTTATACTTGACAAAAATTAAGGTAGGGAATTTTCCTAGAGATGGGAATATAACAAGTTATTTTATATAGTTATAATTTAGATCTACCTACCTCGTCCACTCAAAATCCTCCACATTCAAGATATTTTTAAGTAGTAGATTTTTCACTATATCTCTGCAGTAAACATAAAGGGTGAGCAATGCCCCTAGTACAGCTTTTGTCCGAGAGTTACTAGATTGCAAGACTACCAGCGCTGCTATCTCATCTAGACGACATAGCACTCCAGCATGGACATTTTCCAACTCTTCTCTTGAATGAGAATTGAAAAAACTTTTGATACAATCACTAAAAAACATGATCTGGCTCTGAAAAAGTCAGATATAAATATGATAGTTGAAACAATGTTTATAAATTTAAACATTTTAATGAAGCATAGATTTTATGTGTGCACATGTGCATGGGTGTGTGTGTGTGTGTGTGTGTGTGTAGAAGAGAAACTTACATATTGTATGTTCACATATTGTATGTATTTCCATTAGAGATTGAATTTTGATTAATGCTTTGGGAATCTTATTCATTAATTAGTGAGAATACATTTATTACCAATGTTTATATTCTGTAAATCCTGTATTCTTAATCATCACTAACCTAAATCATAACCTGGGGACAGTAAAAATGATAAAAGACTTTATAGTGAAATTAGTACTATTTCCTCAGTTGAACCCAGAGTATTATGCCTGGAATATTTTCTGTAACAGTTTCCAGAAATTTTATATAACTTGTGTTACTTGATTCATCTTTTGAAAATCGCTCTTCCCATACATAACAGAATGATTTTAAGATGGTTACTTGATTAATGTCAGATTGACCTGAAAGTTAATGGAGGAGGAGAGGTTAGGAGGCTTATAGATTTCTGGCCTGTAATTGGGTGAAATGTGATTCCAGTCACCAAGATCAAACATAGTGAAAGAAAAAGTGTGTTATAGGTGATAGAGCATAATGAATACATCTTATGATATACTGAATTTGAAGTGCCTAAGGAACATGTGAGCAGACCTGTAAAAAAGTGAATATGGGAATAATTAGCATAAAAGTCATATGTATAGTGGTGAGATTTCTTTTTTCCCAGAGGAACTATTTGACTTCTATATGACTACAGAATAATGGGCAGAGAGATGCAACATTGTTAGCTTTGAAGATGAGAGGGCCACAAGTTAACATCAATGGCCTCTAGAAGTCTCCAGAAAGGAATGAAGTCCTGCTGACATCTTGATTTTAGCCCAGTGAGACCTGTGTTGAACTTCTAAGCTACTAAACTGTAAGATAATAAGTCTGTGTTGTTTTAAACAACTAAGTTTGTAATAATTTTATAATGACAGTAATAGAAAGTGACTATAAAGCAATATACTGACATCCCTAGGAAAATATTGATTATTTTCATTCAGTAAATCTGTTATGGAAAAATTTTAAACTATGGAAAAGTTGAAGGAATTATGAAATGAATACCCATATACCCACAGTCTATATTTGACAATTAACTTTTTGTTATATTTCCTTTATCTATCCATCTGTCCATCTTATTTTTTTTTATGTATTTCAAAGTAAGTTACACATAGCAGTAACTTCAAAGGAATTTGTTCCTAAATGTTTGGTTTTTTGACAGGGTAGCCACAAATTAAATACTTGATATCAAAGCATTAACTTACCACAATAAGCACCACTTGGCCTATATGTGATGTCACAAATAAAGAAAAATTTTGGTTGCTCCAGTCTTCAATCCCTTGATTTATAAATCTATAAATAAAAAAATTATTTATAACTAATCATTGCCTATGGTCATTGAATCACTGAGCATGGTAAGATCATAGAATTGTCCTTTTAGATCTAATTATTTTGTGCTTAATTAGGTATTTATATAGGACCAAAGAGAGTTCCTAGAGCCTTAATTCATGCATAATACATATTCCTTGAATTCTTCTTTAACATCATGTGCACTTTTCCTATGAGATCATGGAGTTTCCAGGATGATAAAGCTAATTTTAATTATGAGAGGACACATACTAACTTTGAATTGTTAATTCTTGCAATTACAAAATCAGTATTTAAAATAATTTCTACTACTTTTTTTTTTTTATTTCTTTTTTTTTTTTTAATAAATTTTATTGTTATATTCCCCATACAATTGCAGCCCCCCCATTCTGACCCCAATCCCTCCCCTCCCACCCCGCCCCCCTAAAAGTGTCTCTGGTTCATAGTTTTTTGTTGATTTTGATTTTCACTTTCTTATAGTTATTCATTTTCCTGGTCCCTTATTTAAGTTTTCTAGATTCCTGCTATGAGTGAGACCATCCGGTATTTTTCTTTTTCTTTTTGGCTTATTTCGCTGAGCATGATCCCTTCCAGCGCCATCCATGTTGCTGCAAATTGCATGTGTTTATCTTTTTTGAATGCTGAGTAATATTCCATGGTATATATGTACCACATCTTCTTGATCCAGTCATCTATTTTTGGGCATTTGGGTTGTTTCCAAAGCTTAGCTATTGTAAACAGTGCTGCTATAAACATAGGGGTGCAGGTGCTCTTTGGAATTGATGTTTCTGTGTCCTTTGGGTAAATACCTAGGAGTGGAATTGCTGGATCATATGGAAGCTCTATGTTTAGTAGGTCCAGAAATCTCCATACAGCTTTCCACAGTGGTTGGACCAGTTTGCACTCCCACCAACAGTGCAGAAGAGTTCCTTTTTCTCCACACCCTCGCCAACATTTGTTGTTGCTAGTTTTTTTAATATGTGCCATTCTCACTGGTGTAAGATGGTATCTCATGGTAGTTTTGATTTGCATTTCCCTGATGACAAGTCATGTTGAACATTTTTTCATATGCCTGTTGGCCATTTGCATTTCCTCTTCAGAGAAGTTTCTTTTAAGCTCTTCTGCCCATTTTTTGACTGGATTATTTTCTTTGTTGTTGTTGAGTCTCATCAGCTCTTTGCAGATTTTTGTGATCAGTCCTTTATCATTAGTGTTGGGTGCAAAAATGTTCTCCCAGTTGGTGGGTTTCTCTTTGTTTTTGTTATTGTCTCTTTTGCTGTGCAAAAGCTCTTTTATTTGATGTAGTCCCAGCTGTTTATCTTTGCCTTCACTATCACTGCTTTGGTGATGTGTCTGTAAAGATGTCTTTGATGTGCAAATCACGTAGTGTTTCGCCTATATTTCCTTCTATATATTTTATGGTTTCAGGTCTTATGTCTAGTTCTTTAATCCATTTTGAGTTGATTTTTGTGTATGGTGTGAGGTGGTGGTCAAGCTTCATTCTTTTGCATGTAGCGACCCAGTTTTCCCAGCACCATTTATTGAACAAACTTTCTTTGCTCCAATGCATATTCTTTGCTCCTTTGTCAAAGATTAGTTGACCATAAATCTGTGGGTTTATTTCTGGATTTTCTATTCGATTCCATTGGTCTGTATGTCTGTTCTTGTTCCAATACCATGCAGTTTTGATGATTATGGCTTTGTAGTATAGTTTGAAGTCTGGGAATCTGATGCCTCCATTCCCTTCTTTTTTTTTCAGGAGAGCTTTGGCTATCGGGGTTTTTGGTGATTCCATATGAATTTCATCAATAATTGTTCTATTTCTTTGAAGAATGACATTGAAATTTTGATTGGAATAGCATTGAATCTGTATATTGCTTTTGGAAGGATGGCCATTTTAATGTTTATTCTTCCAATCCACGAGCAGGGGATGTCTCTCCATTTCTTTGTGTCTTCTTCTATTTCTTTTAACAGTGTTTTATAGTTTTCTTTGTATAGATCCTTTACCTCTTTTGTTAGATTTATTCCCAAATATTTGATTTTTTTTGTTTCAATAACAAAAGGGATGGTTTTTTTGATTTCCTCTTCTTCAGATTTATTGTTTGTGTATAGGAAGGCTACTGACTTTTGCGTGTTGATTTTGTATCCTGCCACTTTACTGAACTGATTGATGAGTTGAATTAGCTTTTCTGTGGAGTTTTTGGGGTTCTCTATGTATAATATCATATTGTCTGCAAATAGTGATAGTTTGACTTTTTCTTTTCCTATTTGGATTCCTTGGATGTCTTTCTCTTGTCTTATTGCCCTGGCTAGGACTTCCAGTATTATATTGAAAAGCAATGGTGAGAGTGGACATCCTTGTCTTGTTCCAGATCTTAATGGAATTGCTTTCAGCTTTTCACCATTGAGAATGATACTGGATGTTGGCTTGTCATAGATGGCCTTTATGATGTTGAGGTATATTCCTTGTATCCCCAGAATTTCAAGGGCTTTTATCATGAATGGGTGTTGCACTTTGTCGAAAGCTTTCTCAGCATCTATTGATATTATCATATGGTTTTTATATTTCTTTTTGTTGATGTGTTGGATAACGTTGATTGATTTTCGGATGTTAAACCATCCTTGTGCCCCTGGAATGAATCCAACTTGGTCGTGGTGAATTATCTTATGGATACATTGTTGGATTCTGATAGCTAAAATTTTATTGAGGATTTTTGCATCAGTGTTCATTAGGGAGATTGGCCTGTAGTTTTCCTTTTTGTGTTGTCCTTGTTCGGTTTGGTATTAGTGTAATGTTGGCTTCATAAACATGTTTGGTATTGTCCCTTCCTTCTCAATTTTTTGGAAGAGTTTGTGAAGGATAGGCACTAATTCGTCTCTGAATGTTTGGTAGAATTCATTTGTAAATCCATCAGGTCCTGGGCTTTTGTTTTTGGGGAGGTTTTTTTTTACCATTTCAATTTCGCTAATTGTAATTGGTCTGTTTAGGTGTTCTATTTCTTCTTTATCTAGCTTTGGGTGATTGTAGAGTTGTATGAATTTGTCCATCTCCTCTAGATTGTTGAACTTGTTTCCATATAACTGTTCATAGTAGTTACTGATTATTCTTTTGATTTCTGCTGTATCTGTTGTGATTTCTCCTCTTTCATTTATGATCCTGTTTATTTGTGCTTTCTCCAAGCTATCACTACTTGCAGATGATATGATAATATACATAGAGAACCCCAAAAACTCCACAGAAAAACTAATTCAACTCATCAATCAGTTCAGTAAAGTGGCAGGATACAAAATCAACACGCAAAAGTCAGTAGCCTTCCTATACACAAACAATAAATCTGAAGAAGAAGAAATCAAAAAAACCATCCTTTTTATTATTAAAACAAAAAAAATCAAATATTTGGGAATAAATCTAACAAAAGAGGTAAAGGACCTATACAAAGAAAACTATAAAACACTGTTAAAAGAAATAGAAGAAGACACAAAGAAATGAAAAGACATCCCCTGCTCATGGATTGGGAGAATAAACATTATTAAATGGCCATCCTACCAAAAGCAATATACAGATTCAATGCTATTCCAACAAAAATTTCAATATCATTCCTCAAGGAAATACAACAATTATTGATGAAATTCATATGGAATCACCAAAAACCCCGAATAGCCAAGGCTCTCCTGAAAAAAAAAGAAGGGAATGGAGGCATCACACTCCCAGACTTCAAAATATACAGCAAAGCCATAATCATCAAAATGCATGGTATTGGAACAAGAACAGACATACAGACAAATGGAATCGAATAGAAAATCCAGAAATAAACCCACAGATTTATGGTCAACTAATCTTTGACAAAGGAGCAAAGACTATGCATTGGAGCAAAGAAAGTTTGATCACTAAATGGTGCTGGGAAAACAGGGTCGCTACATGCAAAAGAATGAAGCTTGACCACTACCACACACCATACACAAAAATCAACTCAAAATGGCTAAAGGACTAGACATAAGACCTGAAACCATAAAATACATAGAAGGAAATATAGGCAAAACACTACGTGATATGCACATCAAAGACATCTTTACAGACACATCACCCAAAGCAGTGATAGTGAAGGCAAAGATAAACAGCTTGGACTACATCAAATTAAAGAGCTTCTGCACAGCAAAAGAGACAATAACAAAAACAAAGAGAAACCCCACCCACTGGGAGAACATTTTTGCACCCAACACTAATGATAAAGGACTGATCACAAAAATCTGCAAAGAGCTGATGAGACTCAACAACAACAAAGAAAATAATCCAGTCAAAAAATGGGCAGAAGAGCTAAAAAGAAACTTCTCTGAAGAGGAAATGCAAATGGCCAACAGGCATATGAAAAAATGTTCAACATCACTTGTAATCAGGGAAATGCAAATCAAAACTACCATGAGATACCATCTTACACCAGTGAGAATGGCACATATTAAAAAAACTAGCAACAACAAATGTTGGCGAGGGTGTGGAGAAAAAGGAACTCTCCTGCACTGCTGGTGGGAGTGCAAATTGGTCCAACCACTGTGGAGAGCTGTGTGGAGATTTGTGGACCTACTAAACATAGAGCTTCCATATGATCCAGCAATTCCACTCCTAGGTATTTACCCAAAGGACACAGAAACATCAATTCCAAAGAGCACCTGCACCCCTATGTTTATAGCAGCACTGTTTATAATAGCTAAGCTTTGGAAACAGACCAAAAGCCCAAAAATAGATGACTGGATCAAGAAGATGTGGTACATATACACCATGGAATATTACTCAGCATTCAAAAAAGATAAACACATGCAATTTGCAGCAACATGGATGGCGCTGGAAGGGATCATGCTCAGTGAAATTAGCCAAATGAAAAAGAACAATACCGGATGGTCTCACTCATAGCATGAATCTAGAAAACTTAAATAAGGGACCAGGAAAATGAATAACTGTAAGAAAGTGAAAATCAAAATCAACAAAAAAC